AGTCCAAGGTGCTGAAGGTACATCATGGGGAAGCAACGGCTCTTTCTGTTGCCTTGCCTGGTGTTCCTGGCATGCAGCACATTGCTTTACGAGCTGTTCAATGTCCTTGTTGATGTGTGGCCAGAACACTGTCTCACGAGCTAGTCGTCTCGTGCTCTCGATTCCCATGTGTCCAAGATGAAGTTGTCTGAGGATATCTTCCTGAAGTGTCTTTGGTATGATGACTCGACTTCCTTTGAAGAGTACTCCTTGAGATACTCCAATCTCATCTCTGTAAGACCAGAATTCCCTTAGGGATGTCGGCAGCTCCTGAAGTGTTTCGGGCCAACCCTGAGTGACTGTCTGCCACAATGACCTAAGAACAGGGTCATTGGATGTTTCCCTCTGGAGTTCTGTTCTCTTGTGTTGTCCGAAGAAGATCAAGTCGATTTGATGAGTGTCTTCTACTTCGGAGCAGATGGATTCCACTCTGATGTCTAGTGGAACATCGCGTGCTTCCTTGGGGTTAGGAAGACGGCTCAAGGTATCTGAAAGAATCATTTCTTTCCCAGGTCGGTACTTGACTTGGCATCTGTATCCTTGTACCTTGATCAATAGTCTCTGTAGACGAGGTGGTGCGCTTCTTAGAGGTTTCTTCCAAATTGTCTCCAAAGGCCTGTGATCTGTTATCACAGTGAATTCCTTCCCGAATAGGTATGTATGGAATCGGGTGATACCAAACACTAGGGCTAAGGTTTCCCTCTCTATGTTCGAGTAGTTGGACTGTGCATTGGAGAGACTTTTGGATGCAAAAGCTACGGGTTTGCCATCTTGGAGCAGGCATGCTCCCAGCCCTTTCATTGACGCATCTACCTCAACGGTTGTCTCTTTCTTTGGGTCAAAGAACTGCAGGCATGCACCCGATGAGACTGCGCTTTTCAGGCTGTTTAAGGCATGTTCGTGATCCTCGTCCCAGACGAATGGAATTTCCTTGTGAAGGAGTTCACGAAGTGGTGCTGACTTCTCTGATAGATTAGGAATGTATGGTGCTAGGTATGTGAATAATCCTAGGCATCTCTGAACATCTTCCTTGTCCTTGGGTGAAGGCATTGTGTTGATAGCTTCAACCTTGCTTGGATCTGGGAAGATTCCAGATCTTGTGTACATGGATCCAAAGTAGCTGATAGCTTCCTTCTTGATAGTACACTTGGAGCTGTTGAACACGAGTCCTTCCTGTTTCGCTGTCTCCATGAGTAAGTGGAGATTCTTGTCGTGTTCCTCCTCTGTTTTCCCGACAATGGCAATGTCGTCTGCGATACATACGCAGCCAGGCACATTCTGGACGATCCTATCCATGTGTTGCTGGAAGATGTCTTGGCTTGTGCATAAGCCGAAGGGTAATCTTTGGAAACAATATCTTCCAAATGGTGTTCTGAAGGTGGTCAGGTCTTGGCATTCCTCTGCTAGGTGTACTGACCAGTATCCAGCCTTTGCGTCTAGCTTGGAGAAGAATTGAGCTCCTGCGAAGATTGGTTGGATTTCTTCCAAGGTTGGAATTTTGTGTGGACACCTTTTCAAGGCATCGTTCAACCTTCTGGGGTCAAGACATATCCGTATGGATCCATCTTTCTTCACAACGGTGGTCATCGAGCTACACCAATCTGTGTGGTGTTCTATCTTTCTGATGACTCCTTGCTTCTCCATGTTATCTAGTTCGGCTTTGATCTTGTCCTTCAGATGGACACTGCACTTTCTAGGTGCATCTATGGTTGGCTCTGCATCATCTTTCAGATGCAGCATTGCTTTCCCGCTAAAGCTTCCTATGGCATCAAACTGATCTGGGTATGTTTGTTTGAGGTCACTAACACTTGTGATAGGTGGATGTGTAGGTGTGTCCTTGTGCATTGTGTGGATTGTGATAATCCCGAGATCTGTGCAACCTAACAACCCTAAGATAGCTGGTCCATTCACGTCTGCTACGTAGAATGTATGTGTATACCATTCTGGACTCTTGTATCTACACTTTATGTCTAGTGTACCAACGCATGGTATTGATATTTCGCCATATGCTACTAGCTTTACTGGTGTACGTTTCACTACTTGCCTCCACTTGTCACCATATATTTGTTTGGCTGTGCGTACTGTGATAGTATTAGCGCTTGCCCCAGAGTCTATCTTCAGATATAGGTAATGCTGACCTGATTTCTGTGGGCATATGATGTCAATGTTTGCAAAAGCTACTGTACCCTTTGAGTTGATCACTGTGTGTGTTCCGATCGTGTGTATGGTGTCAAAATGTTCGAAGTTTGATGGACCTGCTGATTGTTGATGTTCATGATCTGTGCTAGTATCATGTTCAGTGTCCATTTCACTTATCGGTTTATACTTTCGACCCTTTGATTTTGATCGTGATTGGTTACCGTGTTTCGGTTGACGGTCATCAGATTTATGGTCATCTGATCTACGATCTGGTTTTCGACTTCGATCGTTCTTAGCCTTTCTACAGAACTTGGCCCAATGGCCCTTTGTGTCACAGGCACGACACACATCGTGGTACGCAGGGCACTGACGAGGTTTGTGGATACGTCCACAATTTCCACACGTCTTTCGTCCCTGGTTCCGCTTGAATGAATCTATGCTTTCTTTAGCCGGCTCAAGCGTTTCTAGGCATTTTCTGCTCGCCGCAACTGCCTCGTATTTTCGACCCTCTACTAGAATTGCATCGATTTGATATCCTTTAGGCTGGTCCAATAGGAATTTCTGGAATTCTAGACTTGGTGTTGAGGTGATGACTACCTCCATTATCCGCTCGGCAAGCTCGGATTCCTCAAAATCGCATGTGTTGGCTTTGTCTCTACATCGAGTAACGAATGCGTCAATGCTCTCATCTTGTCTCTGCCGATATCGCATCAGCTCGAGACGATGGACCCGAAAATTAATGTTTACCTTTATTTGTTTCTCAAATAGTTTCCACAGCTCTTGTGGTTTTTCTTGGTCGGCCTCTGATAGCCCAGACGCATTGATTCTGCGCAAACCTTCGTTGCCTACAGCGATTTTGATTTTTATAGCCTTTTTTTTGTTTTCAGTTATTTCTTGATCTGCCAACACTAGCTCCATTCTCTGCTTAAATAGCTTGAACTCTTCGGGTAGGTCTGGTACCTCCCAGTTCATCTCTGGATACTTAGTACTCATTGTATATGTCACGTGTGCGTATTGGTTACGACAGATTATATGAATGAGTGTAAATCTTTGTGTTGTTTATCTTAGTGTGAACGGGTCCTAACCGGCTGGTGTTGATAAGGTTCGTACACGTAAACCTGTGTACGCTCTCGCACCTGTGTGGATGTCATTAAGTGTCTCATGCAATGAAAATGTTGGTCACTCTCACTCAATGTCTGACAGTGACAATTCCTCACACACCAGATATTATTGTTAATATTATCTGAAAACAGGTTTAATGTTCACACCTCTGATTTAGTTTAATTTTAGATTTAAACTTTACTAGTTAAGTTATTATGCAGACCCCTGTGTCAGTGATTGAGCACAGTTATAACTTGATTAGGCTATTCTGAGCAGGCTTTATGAACCTTTATATGCTCATACACACATCACCATTCACGTACGAGTTCATCGGGATTATGCAGTAGCATCAGTGTCTCGGTACACTGTGCGGTATGTACGATGCACGTACTATGCATACGAAAAAGTGCGACGTGACAAATCGCTAATCGACGATAATTTTGCTAATTATACTTCCCAACTGTCGTGAACTGGATCAATTGTGTCTTCAAAAATCAAACTTGATTTCGAAGATCCCAGCAGCTGCCACCATGATGAGTTCGAGGGTCTTAGATTTGGTAGATACTCATGATAATAGACGAGTCGGCAGTCAGGTTTGTGATGATGGTGACCATGTTTATTGAACTACGACGGATACCGGATATATCGGATATCGTATATCGTAACAGTGGGGGGCTGCATTATTTATACAAAAAACTTCACGTGAAGCCAATACCTTCTTTTCGTAGAATTTTTTTGAAGCAGCCCCCCCCCCAAAAAAAAAAAAAATAAGAAGGCGATTCTTCAGCTCACTGAAGAATCTGCTTAGAGTACTAGGCTAGGCCCTTACGTTAGATCTAGCTATTTATCAAGTCTCTAACTTTTAGGAGTAAAATATGATTATCTGATTATGAAAAAGAAAAATTCCATTCCTTTCATTAATCGAATATTCTACTCTGAATGACTAATCTAGTAATCTAGTATATGATAATGATGTAGCTACAGTAGATATAGGTCTAGTTTACTCACTAAATCAAATTGGATATTCTACTCGGAATGAATAATGATAATACAGTAGATATAGATCTAGTTTGATTAGTTATACTCACACATCACTCGATCAAATTGGGCAGTACAATCATGCAATGCAGTGCAGCAGCCCGGCACGAGTCGGTGAATTCCCCCGCCGACCCGGCCGGCGGCGCTGTACGGCTAGCTGCACACTGAGCTAAGCTGCTGCGGTAGCACTAGGCAGTAGTCTGCTAATTTACGGCCAGGACGAAAGAATGTGAACAAACATCAACCATCTAGTCTAAAATGTACTATGTTCGACTTCTCAATAATGAAATCTGTGTCAGGAATAAAAAATAGACCTTCATACGAGATAAAAATGATACTTTTGCAGTGATTTACCGACAAAAACACTGCTCGAATTTCAGTGGTCCGAGTAGATACAACGCACATTTAATGTACGTGCGGCAATGCGGATTGCGAGCTGTGAGTAAATTGTCCGAAATGTCATTTTTTTGTCATTTTACCTAAAGATAAGTCATAGATTGTTTTTATTAGTATCATTTAACACAATTCCATTAAAGATTTTGGTTGGAAAGGGCATTATTAAGTCACAAAGAGCACAAACATATACACATTGGTATCTCTCGATCGATTAATCAGGTCGGGACATCTCGGCCCAGTTTTTCCAGCTGGGCCGAGTAGTCCCGTGGGCCGAGTTAGCCCGACTCCGCCTATATAGGCCTATGACATGAATATTCATGAGGTTATATTTGATCGAGGTCTGCTTTGTTTTCATTGCATTGATTCCCATCAATTTGATTTTTCAAAAGTTATGGTAAGATAATTTTCAAATTTTATGTTGTTTTGGCCATCTCACCGAATCAATTATTCTGAATCCTTTGATGTAACTAACAACATACTTATTTGCGACAAAAAGTTACTTCGAAACAGAGGGCCGTGATCGGGAAATATTTTGACATTTTGTAACGTGTGGTTGAATGAGAGGGTGAGAGTTGTCATTTCCGGTCAAGAGTCGAGTCTTTATCTTTTTAAGGAAAAGTTAGAGAATTTATGTGGGGTAATAAATCTAGATTATCAGTAGGGAATTTTGAGCAAATAAATGATGCATGCATGATTATAAATTAGCCATTATCGAGTTATTGAGTGAACATGCATGGTGAAAAGAAATCAAAACAATGCGAAAAATCACACGCCATCACAAAATGGGAAATTAAAATACATTCTCACTTTCACAACTTTTTCCCTTCCTTCTAGCTTCTGGAGGTGATGATGACTAATGTGACAAGACGGTAAGATGCCTATCATACGCACATTGAAGGAAACGGGTAATAGCTATGTAAGTATAATGAGATGGAGAACGCATTTGTTTGTCCAGTGGATGGATCATGCGCATGCAGCTCTGTCAAACTTAATCAAAGTTCAAATTTAATTTTTCAGTAAACTAGAGTCTGAACATTATACTGTCAGTTTACAAACACTCGCTAGAAGGGCAGTCAGAGAAGGGTGAAATCTTTGTATTTGATTAAACTATACATTCACTAGCTGTGTGTGCACTTCACACGACGCACACGTCAGTGCATATTTCTTCCCTGTTCCAATTTTATGTTTGAATTTTTGTCTGTAGATCTAGATGATGTTTGTTGTGTTTTCTCTGTTTTTTTTTTTTAGCTGGTACTTTATTTATATTAATCATATCTTACTTAAAGATACTTCTCCTTAATGCAGGCTTAATTATTAAAGCGTATTCAGCTCAAAATTCCTCCATCGTGTTAAGACTTAAGTTGGCTAGATCATGACCAGGTGGGTCGGCATGGAATTTGAATTTGGGAGGTACACTACGATCTCCAGTACTTGTCCAGACTGTTTTCAAGACTATAGACACCCTTTGCATTAACTAAATCTTCATTTTAAACTACTTTCAGGATTTTCGCATTCTTATGTAATATGTCTTTTGAGTTTCTCAGTGACAGACCATGATATATTTGTGTTTCTTGCAGGAGGCTGCAAAGCAAAGATTGCTAGAGGCTACAGCACATCTTGAAGATGATGAGGGCACAGTAATAGGTACGTAGTACTTAACAAGATCTGGGGAGGGGGTGTTTCACAAAGATCCTAAGTTGGACTTAACAATTATGAAACAATTTCAGGTCGTCAAGAACAACTTTGGTTTAAAAAATATGAATAAAATTTAAATGTGTTAGTAAATCTGTGTGTTGCCATATTAACTGATTTTCACTTTTGGATGAAATGTATGGATAAATGCAACAATTTGCTTGGAATCACCCTCATCCGTGACTTTTCTATGAGTTTGTTTATAGATAAACTCGCATGAATGAGGTCTGGTAAAAATTAGATATAGAAAATAAATTCTCACAGAATCCAATAAAACTTACACTGAATGTTCAAGATTACAAATAAATGACATGTGCCAAACAATTTTGGTAGTAAAAGTATAGGGGCTGATAATGACAAAAGATCAGATAAAGATATTAGTAGGCTCGACACCATGTGCTTACACAGGCTGCTATGTGCAAATTCAGTTGTGGTCTTTATCAAATCTGATGCCCCCAATGGGATTTTGTGCATTTGTTTCACTAGTGCAAACAACCAATCTACTGCAGGATAAAAAATCTAGAATAAATCATAGCCATGTTCTGTCAAAATACGATTCCCATACCACAGGCGTGTTTCACAAAGATCCTTAGTTGAACATATCTCTAAGTTGGACTTGACAATTATGGAAAGCTGTTAGCATCTTTGAAAATGTTTTGTTAAAGTTATTATAAAATTTATGAAAAGTCTAAAATACTTGAATTTTTGCTTTTTAATATATTTTATGTGAAGTCTACAAATGGCTGTCCATAATGTTTAAGTCTAACTTATAGCTAAGTTCGACCTAGGATTTTTGTGAAACAACCCCAAGGCTCAAGATTAGCTTCAATCTTGTACTTTTATCTTTCTCACCCTTGCAGCAACTGGTGTCCGAGTGAAAGCAAAAAGAAATCGGATCATTAGCGATTCCTCATCCTCCTCTTCATCCTCCTCGGATGACAAGCGGGATGATGACGATGGCGACGATGATGCAGATGATGATGATGAAGATGAAGAAGATATTATATCGCAGAAAAGACAGCGAGGCAGGGAAAGGAAACTGCTCAGGAATCTTGAGAAGGTGGGTTCAACATTTGTTGTGAGTCAGGGAGACAGATGTTTTGGGGAGCTCAACGGAATATACGTCATTCAAGGCTTGTTAAAGGGGGTGTAGCATGACGTAACTACGTGTCTTTCCCGTGGCCTGACTCGGGGGGCCAATCAGGTATAATACCACTACGAACGACGCGACCGCAGTATTCACATGCATGCAACATACGCGAAACCGAAGCGTGAGGAGAACTTACGTGCAGTTGTCCGAAAGAAGTCGTAGAGGGCGTTAACCAGTATTTTCCATGCTACATCCCCTTTAAGATTACAGTTTTTTTGTTATGTACTACATGAATGGCCAGTTGAGACAACAATGTATGCAAAAGGTAATTTGTGTGTTCTCACTTATCTGCATGTTGTAAGACAAAAACCGTCACTGTTTACCTCGGAATATGTGAACAAACCTTTACTGGCCATGTTTCGCATCAATTCACATGCCTGACGTTTTTCTATTCTGCTTAGTCTGGCTGCTGCATAGAAAATCCATATAGCTGGATGTAGTAATGTATCAGAGTTGACTTAGATTTTAGAGAATAAAATGAGTATAAAGAGTGTCTGGTTCTGCACTCATCTATAATAGACCTACACTGCTTGTCTGATTTCAGGCTCCGACACCCCATGTTAATGTTTTTGTTTTGACTGCTTTGTTTTAGGCTCCATAATGTATTGAGTGTGTGTGTGATGTGTATCAATCAGATATGATTATTTACATCTGGGGACCGACCATTAACGTGACCAGTCATAAGATGTGACTCGGTCTCGAACCCGGGTCTACTGATTGTATGTGAAGACAGAGAGCTGCACCAACTCACATCTCCCTGGAGTTCAAAGATGTCCAGGCTTTCTTTCAGGCTTACTGAGTAAAACCAGACATATTTTGCTTTTCATCCTATCCAATGGATCTTTGTCATTCTCATGCAGGAAATGAAGAGGAAGCGCACGATTGTGTCCATCAGCCGGCCTTCCTTGTACAAACGTACTGAGATGCACTCCATTACACCAGCCAAACCAAAGACCAAGAAACCCAAGTCTGCTATGGTGCGTAAATTTGTTAATTCGTTTATTCATTTATTCATTTTCATAAAAAACACAGCAAATGCAAGTAAACATACAAGTATATATACATACAAAGAATGTTCAGTTTATTCAAGAACTTCAAATGAAATAGGAGAACGAAGGAAAAGCCCATGGCCTTGTTTAAAAAAAGTTCCCCCAAATATTATAATTTATATTACTGAGTACCGTATATATTAGTTAAATCTTACAGCCTTCTATTTTCACCATGAATCAATTTCTCTGGATACACAAGTTTGTTTGTTTTACCTTTCTTTGTTACTTTGTAAATACAAAGTGCAATGTTTTGAACATTCCTAATTATCATCCTCACCAAGGCTAAACTAGTGCTTTATTGGTATAGTACCTTTGAATGAGACACTTGCAAAAGAAGGAGAATGTTTTTAATGCCGTTGATGTAACTGATGTTTATCCTTTAAATCATGTTTTCTCTTTTTACCAGTCTATGATCTCGGCCTTGAACGATTACGGCGAGGATTCAGACAGCGATGAAGAATCAGAAGTAGAGCTCACTAAAGAAGCACAGGTAAAACATACATGTATAGAAAATTAAATATTATTCCTATTCTTCATTAGTTCCACGCATCTGGAACTCCCTCCCTCCTTCTTCTTCGCGACAACGACAAGCTAGAAATCTTTTAGGTCAGGCCTCGAAACCCATCTCTTCAAACAATTGTGTAGCCCATGACTATTGGAGGAGCAGGCACCTTTGAATGTTTGAAACGATAAATGGAGCCATACAGGTGATGTGGATCATCGTCATCATCATCAATTAATGATTAAACCTGGGGCCTATTCTGAAAAGGTTTGGTAGTGAAAGATATTGTTATGAATTTGAAAAGGAAGTTATGAGTGGGAAGATCTGTAACCAATGCTGCTCAGGAGGCGTAGAGATTTAAGGTGTGATTAATGTTGTACTTATATTTTATGTATGGATTGTCAAATTGAAATTACATGAAATGTGTACTTATTGGTGTTTGTGCAGGTGTGTCATGTACACCTTTGTAAGCATCTTTGATAGACATTTTATAGCAATAACTTGCCATAAAGGTATCCTCTATTCACTTTCAACGAATAGCAACGAATACAGACATACTGGAGCTCTATGTCTTGCACTCATCAGAATTACTTACAAGGATTAACAGAAAAACAGTTAAACATTAAAAAAAAAGAAGCAAAGTGCATGAAAAAATAACAGGCTGTGATTGGCTGTCAGGAATCACAAGACAGTAGACGCAATGCCAACTGTTTAATGAAGACGTGCTGTAGCCCCTACACAAGTAATTAATATTGCTTGTGTAGAGATGCGGTTCCCACACAATTCCTAGCACTCTTAACACAGAGGCAGCCCAGCAGACGTGTTGTCAGATTGATACCCACCGGGTAAATCTACAGGTTTTAATGTGTAATTGCAGTAATGCATTCTATGTAGCATTCCACAGAAACAAATTAATATTCATATAGTCACATGCATTGTATAAATCAACATCACAAAGTATTCTTGAATATTTATACTTAAACAAAAGGTATATATTGACTATTCACAGTATATGTAACTTATACTTAAAGCTTGGCAGCATCTGGTGAATATTGTCACCAATCAGGGAGAGAGATAGATAGATGAAAAGATGGTGGATGAAAAGGGTGAATGTGCGTGAGGGATGACCTATTAGTATGAAAAAGGGATGAATCATGGAGATGTACTGTAGGGAAGTTTTAAAAATTCAAAATAAATCCCTTCACTTGCATAGTACTAGGTGCATATAATGATATTTGGTTCATCAATGCCCAAAATTTGCTATATTCCTGGTATGCCAAGAACGTTTGTAACAAATTGTTGTCTTTGTTGGAGGAAGCCTTCTTACTGTAGAGATTGAGGTGTCGTGGTCCAGTGAAAAAGTCTCCGGACTGTGAACCACAAGGTACAGGGTTCAAATCCCTGCCACATCACCAACGTCCTTTGGCAAGACGTTAATCTACATTTGCCACACTCCACCCAGGTGAGGTAAATGGGTACCTGGTAGGAATTAATTCTTTGAAATGCTAGAGCGCTTTGATGGCAGCACAGCTAAAGCCGGGGCAATAATCTCCAGGTTTGGAAGCGCTTAGTGAGTATAATAAGCAATATATGAAAACTGAGTATTATTATTATTACCTGGCAGGATTATTCCTTGAAATGAACTGTGCGCTGATAATGGCTGCAGGAGGTTAAGCTAGGGAAATAATTTCCAAAGCTCTTTGGAAGCGCATAGGGACGTTATATCATAATGTGTTATGTGCTATACTATACAAGAACAGATGATTATTATTATTCCTGTACGAGAAAGCATTCCCACTGCCATATTATTCAAATCAGACCAAGGTCAAACAAGATCTTGCAGAGAACTCTTGCTTACATGTTCATGTCTGTTTTCTCCTCTGTATTTTTCACAGGAAGAGGAAGCTTTCTCCCTGTACAAGAAAGCGCTCGAGTTCCAACGCAGCGGAGATGTCCAGAAGGCTCAAGAAACTTACAAAGACCTCCTACAAACCAGATTCCTTTCAAAGGTAGAGTATACAGAATAATAATAATAATAATAATACTAATACATGAGATTTATATAGCGCCTTATCCATTTTAATTAAATGCTCAAGTCAAGGCGCTTCAAAATATTAGGGAACACATTACATCATGACAAAGAATCGTGTACATTTACATAAGAAAGAAAATGCAAAAATGAAAGAATGAATGTCTGTCTTCAAAACGCAAAATTAAACAAATGGGATTTAAGGTTGCTCTTGGAAGATGTTGAAGAGTCAGAGTTCTTCAGCTCCTGTGGAAGTGAATTCCACAGGGCTGGTCCGGCATGAGCAAAAGCTCGTTCCCCCCAAGATTTCTTTGAAAGCGGTATGTGTAGAAGACCGGAGTTGGAAAATCGGAGGGTACATGTGGGTTGGTAGAGGTGAACTAAAGACTGGTTGTATTCAGGAGCTGTTCTGTTTATGATTTGATGAACTAAAAGAAGAAGGGGGTCAGATGTTGAGATAGTGGCCAAATGTCATTGTGATGGGCAACCTTGTTACCCTTCTAAATTTATAATGGACAAATGAACATGCTTCTTATTGACATTGGATATGCACAAACTTGAATCTTGGAAAAGGATCGAAATTATAAGTACAAATTGTAAGTGTCAACAATATGATGAGTATAATTTAATCCTCTTTTTGTGATTTTCATTTTTTTCTTCTAATATTTGTATGTTGATGTTTAAAGAGAAGGTTGAGTTCTGGGAAGAGGTGAAAAATAATTTGTGAGCATTACTCATTCTTATTATGCAAGTGTGGAAGAACATCAGTTAAGACATGTTCCCTGAAAAGCATGGCTCTTCAAATGCCTTCATATTCTAAATATGCATGTAACATCGTAAAAATCGGGGGCCGGCTTTTTACGCCACGTGTTCGTGTAGTCCCATATACATCTTTCTGTGCAAGTGTTTGTAACTTTACCAAGACTTGGCCAAATTTCTTATCATTTTGATGATTCCAGAACCTTGCAATACACACAAATTCTTATATGCTAGATGATCAACCTTTTCTGGTCGATTCCACACCGTTTCTTTCACAATGCAATCGCATGACCAGAACTCAACTTCATCTTTAAATTTTACTGTTGTTTTTTAACAATGTGCTCGGATTTGCTGTTTTTACTGATTATGAGATTTTACTGTGAACGAGTAAACTCTATACTATACAATACAATGAATATTGTTACAGTGATCCTAGAATATACAGGCAGGGTGCTATATTATAAACCAAGATTGACTGCTTGACAAGGCTTCGCAGGACAAGAAAGAAGGAGTGACCAACACAGCGGTAACCCTGAAATACTTTACCTATTGTCACATGCTGTGAAAAGTAAAATCGTGGTATAAAACATCATTTAAAAGTAAATAAAACGTCATCTTATAAAGCAAATAATACACATCATTTTGTTCAGGCATTAGTAAATTTACCCACACTCGGTACCTTTGAAACAGTCCAAACACCCTCGGCTATTGGGTAATTCTTACTAATGCCCTCACTGCTGTGTATTATTTGTATAATATTGCTGTTTTGTAGGTCAAGGCTTCTCAGGAGGAGCGAAGGGGAGGAGTTACCAACACGGCAATAACCCTGAAATACTCCAGCTATAAGAATCTAGGTAACCTGGCGATGGGGAAGGATGATACTGATACTGCCATGGAAAACTATCTGGAGGTATGAATCATTTTATATATATATATATAGAGAGAGAGAGAGAGAGAGAGAGAGAGGAGAAAAAAAGAGTGAGGGAACTGAAGAGAGAAAGAAAGAATAAGAGGGGAAAAGAGAGAGAGAGAGAGAGAGAGACAGATAGAGAGACAAATAGAGAGACAGAGAAAGAGAGAAAGAGAGTATTAGAGAAAGGGGAACTAGTAACATAGAAAATTCTATGTTTAACACCTTGTAAATGATGGATACCGGTACTTGCAGATGTTTCATGTTGTGAATGAATTGAATCACAAATGCTCCAGTTTCAAAGACAGATAGAGAGAGAGAGAGAGAGATAGGCAGACATACATACAGACAAAGAGAGATAGTAAGACAGAGAGAGATATTGTACTGCACTAAACGATATCACATATACATGAACATCTTGTCGTTTTATAGGCGGTCAGTTTAGACAGTACGGACGTCACCCTCTGGTACCGGATCGGCACCGTAGCGGTCAAGCTTAGCCAGCTAGCCTTGGCCAGGGTGGCCTTTGAGCAGGGCCTAAGATGTTCCAAGTTTCATTGGCCTTGCCTGGACTATCTCTGCACTGTGCTGTATGCCATCAACGACTATGTCAGTAAGTACCTTAGGCCAGGGAAAAAATTACTTGAACAATTTTGGGGGCTAATTTTCAAGCTTGCTTTGGTACTCTGAAATAACGCTCTTTAATTTGTTTTGCATTGAACTCTATGCAAATTTTGGGGGCTCTTTCATGACTTTCGGGGGCTAATTCGCCCCGAGCCCCCGTATATTTTTTCCCTGCCTTAGACTTAAAATAAAACGATGTTGTATTGCCTTTAGGTGCCAAAACCTGGGTCGGTCGGTCGGATATCTTTTCTCTTTTTGTTCTTCCTCAAAACAACGACCATCGCAAACAAAACTCAAAACCGAGAATGTCGCCCAAAATCTTGCTGTTTTCTTGCTGGTGCAGTGCATAGTATATACACATAATCAGGGCCAGTGTCTACTTGTTTACGCTTGCAGGATTCCGAAACTAGGGCAGAAGACGAGTGAGAATTTGGGAATAATTTGATGATTTTATACATTTATATCCCATTTTAACAAACAAAATAGTTTTTTTTTAAATTCATTGAACATTTTTTTTTAAAAACGTTAAAAAAAGGAGACTTTATTAAATAGCCGACCATAGATTTTAAGATTTTTGGGTAGGTCGCAAAGGGCAATACAACACATTTAAAAAAAAGTTTGTGTGTATGGCTCAAGTGCCATTGTCTGTGCATAATATATACGTAACTTTGTGATTGTGATCAAATACAACACGCAACGAACACATATTTTCATCCCTATTATAGCGATGTGTATTAATGCAAAAACAGAGACACATATAGTGAGGAAAATCTCATTTCAGTACTTCCATTCACAAGACTCAAATTGTTATCTTTTACGTAAAAAGTCATGAACTGCATGTAAAATGATTGAGTCTGTAGACATGGAACTGTTGTCTTTCCTTGTGAAAGTAGTATTTTTCTTGCTTAAATTTTTATTTTTATTTTGGCACTCTGACTGAAAGGAATATAGGGATATAAAATCTGTGTGGATCAATAATTGATTCAGAATGCACTAATACCATTTTGCAATGCACCTGCCCATCTTTTGACTATTCTTATATTCATATTCCATTTGAACTTTCTTCCAGCTTGTCTGTACTACATAGCCCAAGCACTTGAGAAGGACAAACGATACACCAAAGGCAAGTACTTGTTTTTAATTTCTCAGCCTACTTTTTTTTGTTTTGGTAAGGATTACTTTCTGACCATAAACCTTTGCGCTCATGTAATGTTCAGATTCACAACAGTTTCATCTGTGAAACTACTAGACCACAACTGACACAACATTTTTTTTTTTTTTTTTTTTTTTTTTTTTTTGGGGGGGGGGGGGGCGTTTGGCCATTCGTGAATGTTTCTTGCCTTTATGTCATTTTCACAATCATCATTGTCATTATCATTGTTGCTATCATTACTCGTGTTTTTCAACATTTCCATTGTCATTATCAGTGTCATCATCAGTGTCATTATTTGTGATTGCCATTTCTACGTTTAATATCTTTGTCATTTTCATTGTCATTAACTCTAGAAAACATTGACAAATCAGTGACAAATCTGTTGATAACCAATCAGAAGCAAGGATTTCAGTAGCTTATAACAAAAACTGTCATTTGTCACTGGTAACAAGTTTTGTGAAACGCCCCCCAAGTCAATACTCTGTTGTTTTCTTTCTTATGATGTAGGTTTTGCCCTGAGAGATCAGATGTACTCTGAGCAACCTTGCCTGAGACGAGATTGCCTGGATCTGTTCAAACACTGGTAAGTAACAAACTGCTTTACAAGGAACATTATTTCTTTTCAGATTGGAGAAACAAGATTTCACAGATGGATGATGATGATTCAATTTCAATTCAAATCTTTCAACTCAAATCTTTATTCAACCAATATAAAACAATTTACAACGACAATATACAATATAATGGTTAGGTCCCCTAAGGAGCAGAAATCTGCTTGAAATCGGGGCCCTGTAACAAAGAGTAATTCTGATGTTTCCTTTCTTATGATTTATGATTATAATTACCAATGCAAAGGACAACAGTCTTCACTTTCATACTGATATTTACTGTCATAATTTTTTGTTTTTTGTTTTGTTTTTTGCAGTGAAAATGATGTCTTTCACTATGAAGTACCCAAAGATAAACGACAAAAGGTATGACAATTTGTTGTTGTTTCTTTGGGGTGAAGGGAAAAGGGGCAAGGATAAATACATGTAAATATTGGTAAACAAATGCTCTTTATAACATGATATTCTATACAGTAGGCTTAAGGTTGCACCATGTGAGAGGGGGAGGATTGGGGAGTCCTGAAAAGGACTGTTGGTAATCTTTCTTTCTTGTGTGTGTGTTGCCCTGAGAAGGACCGTTAGTTCGTAATCTTTCTTAAGCTTTTAGTTCGAAAGAGAGTTATAGCACAGGTAGGAGGGGCTCAACGTTTTGAATAGGTTGACTATTCGTCGTCAAGACAATATATGACATTCTATTTTGAAATAGAGAGAGAAAGGGGGAAGGAGAGGGAGAGACTGATTGAGTGAAGGTTACAATAATGAATACGACAAATTATGAAAAAAGTATATATTTGCATGACATTTATTTTTTCATCTGTCTGTTTTCTCTATATTTGGCCAACAGTTATTGAAGCATTGCTGCTAGAAAACAAGAAAAGAAAGGGATTGGGTATCTTTGTCTCAGATTCTAAACAAAATCCTGGATTTAGCTCGTGCTGCATTTAGAATTATAAACCTTTAGGTCAGTCAGGAATCCAATGAATTTTACAAACCGATCGCCTGTCTGATTATCAAGATATTTATGATTGGAATTTGAAATTTCATAAACCCTTGGGGATTTTCCTCAATGGTTTTTATAACACTACAGTCTATTTGGGAAAATGAGTATGGTAAAACCGGTCACTCAAATTTTTTTACTTTTTTGAGGCACTTCATGATCCTTTTGAAGCGCAATTTTTTAGGGCTTCAATATCACACCATATCACAGACACTGATAACACATAGGGCCATGCATCTCAGATTTTTAAAACTGGAAACATTGTTAATGCCTTTAAAGGCATCGTTTAACAATGTTAAATCTGAAATGCACAGCCCTACGTGCTACCAGTGTCTGTGATATGGTGTAATGTTGAAGCCCTAAAAAAGCACACTTCAAAATGATCAAGAAGTGCCTCAAAAAAGTAAAAATCTTTGAGTGACCGGTTTTACCTTACTCGTTTTCCCCCAAAGTGTTATGAAAACCATTTGGCAAACGCAAAATTTGGTTTCAATTTCCAGTCATAAATATCTTAATAATCAGACAGGCGATTGGTTTGTAAAAGTCATGGAGTTCCTGACTAACTTAAAGGTTTATTATGATCATGGCAGCATGAGCTATAAAATCCAGGATTTTGTTACAGAATCTGAGACAAAGTTACTGGATCCCTTTAAAGGGACAGATTAGAAAGAAGTGTGTGGATTTTCTTGATTGTTTCTTCTTTGTATCTCTTCATGGTATCTTTTAGATCGTAGATGAAGCCTTATCACTAAGGTATAAGAGACAGGAGCTTGCCAAAGCACCACCCTTGCCAAGGATCAAGTTCCTTCAACCTTTGACGGAATTAAGGTGAGATATTTTATTCCATTGTAAAGTTCCATTGATTGCTTGATTTTCTTAAAGTAATTATAATATTCACGGTAGAGGTTTACGGTACACCATGTGTAGAGTCCTAGAAGGACTAAGGAAAGTGGATAGAAAATAGAAGTGAAAATAGAAAGGCGAGAAAGTGGAGATTGGAAGGAAGAGTATCTTTCAGAAGTGAGTATAGTCCTGAAAAGGACTGTAAACCAGAAAGTTGTAGATAGGATGAGAGGTTTGAGTAGAAGACTGGATTGAGTTGAAGAGTTGAGTAGAGTTGCAGAGCAGGAGCAGGAGAGTAGACTCGACGTTTCGGACAGGTTGACTGTCCGTCTTCAGGAGTGAGTGTTCGCTATGCGTGCGGCGGTCCTTATAATGGCGTGAGTGCGGACTTGGGGGAAAGCACTGGGCCGGCGGGCTCGGCGGGTTGGCAGGTGGCTGTCGGTGGTGGCGCTCGGTTGCGTGAATTGGCGGGAAACGAGTGGGCGGCGGTTATGCGGACGTCGTGTGGTTGGTGGCGGCGCAGTAGCGGGCGGTGTGTCGGCTGATGAGTGGGTGTATCGATCGGCGGTGAGGATAGCTATTAGTGGTGTCGCTCTGTGTGTGTTGGTCGGCGGTTTCGTCGGCGTAGGTTGTAGCGAGGTGTGGGCGTGGTCGGTGCTTGTGTGGGTGAAGTGGCTAGTTGAGAACGTGTAGTGCTTGTTTGAGTAGGAGTGGTTGGGTGGTTGCAGGTGGTGTTTGGGCTGACGGATGGATGGATAGGTGACGTGTTGGTGGTTGGCGTGCTGGTTGTGGAGTTGGTTGAAGATTGGTCGGAAGTAGAATGGTGAGGAAGGATTGGGTGCCAGATGCTGTTGATGTGAAGGCCTGGGTCTTGGGGTACGGTGTTGTGTTGGTGGATCTCGATGGCTTCTCGGACCCTTCGGGTGTGCCAATGTCGGATGTTGGTGATGAGGTGACTTTTATCCCAGTGAATGCGGTGGAGCTCTTGTTGTGCGTGCTTGACGATGGCTGACTTGTCCCAGTTGCTGCGTCTACAAGATTCCCTGCGACTGCGGCAAAGTCTACATTGGAGAAACCGGCCGCGATTTCGACACCCGACTCAAAGAACACAAGACCCACCACCGACGCAGCAACTGGGACAAGTCAGCCATCGTCAAGCACGCACAACAAGAGCTCCACCGCATTCACTGGGATAAAAGTCACCTCATCACCAACATCCGACATTGGCACACCCGAAGGGTCCGAGAAGCCATCGAGATCCACCAACACAACACCGTACCCCAAGACCCAGGCCTTCACATCAACAGCATCTGGCACCCAATCCTTCCTCACCATTCTACTTCCGACCAATCTTCAACCAACTCCACAACCAGCACGCCAACCACCAACACGTCACCTATCCATCCATCCGTCAGCCCAAACACCACCTGCAACCACCCAACCACTCCTACTCAAACAAGCACTACACGTTCTCAACTAGCCACTTCACCCACACAAGCACCGACCACGCCCACACCTCGCTACAACCTACGCCGACGAAACCGCCGACCAACACACACAGAGCGACACCACTAATAGCTATCCTCACCGCCGATCGATACACCCACTCATCAGCCGACACACCGCCCGCTACTGCGCCGCCACCAACCACACGACGTCCGCATAACCGCCGCCCACTCGTTTCCCGCCAATTCACGCAACCGAGCGCCACCACCGACAGCCACCTGCCAACCCGCCGAGCCCGCCGGCCCAGTGCTTTCCCCCAAGTCCGCACTCACGCCATTATAAGGACCGCCGCACGCATAGCGAACACTCACTCCTGAAGACGGACAGTCAACCTGTCCGAAACGTCGAGTCTACTCTCCTGCTCCTGCTCTGCAACTCTACTCAACTCTTCAACTCAATCCAGTCTTCTACTCAAACCTCTCATCCTATCTACAACTTTCTGGTTTACAGTCCTTTTCAGGACTATACTCACTTCTGAAAGATACTCTTCCTTCCAATCTCCACTTTCTCGCCTTTCTATTTTCACTTCTATTTTCTATCCACTTCCTTAGTCCTTCTAGGACTCTACACATGGTGTACCGTAAACCTCTACCGTGATTATTTATACCACCATGCAAACCTTCAAACATCATCTAATTATAATATGTAATTTCATTTTGTAATTTCAAAATGGTTTATTCTGGAGTTTGAAATGAGTATGATATTGTTATTTGTTAGGAATTATTAATGTTTACATTAAAAAAAACTAAAGTTATAATGTTCTCTTGTCCGTTTTGTTATTGCATATTGTAATTGTTTAACCCTGCATGAGATGCATCCAATGTAATTCAAATCTCGGTCCTGGGTTTTATGTAACATCTCTATTATTATGTTATATGAACAATGTATTTTCATGGATAAAGATGAATAAACATTCATTCAGGCTTGGTACTGCCATAGTTTAATAATCTTCCTTGTTTCTTATTGAATTATTGAAATTTTAAAATTTACCCTCTAGGTGGAAACCTCTTGGAGAAAGACTAGTTGCTTTATATGATTACATGACATCGAAGGATCCACCAATGGTGAGTCAGCTTTCAAAAACAAGAAATCATGCACTGGCTGTAAGAGTTGTATCGTCAGCATACATATCTATGATACCTTCAAGAGTACATTCAGGTAGACTATTAACATATATTGAAAATAAAAGGGGGCCAAGAATTGAACCTTGTGGCACACCTAATTTGATGGTTGATGGATGGATGCGCAAGTCGCATGATGGATGCGACTTGGCTCCTTTGAATTTGGTCACTTGTTGTCGATTACCTAATCACTTGGACTGATATCTGTTGGAAAAGATGATTGGGTTAGTACATATGACTTTGGACATCTCTCTGCTGATGATACTTAGGCACACCAACAATACCCAAATAACAGACTGATTTAAAACAATACAACACGTCATTGGCCAATAATCAGTCAGTTTGGAGTCAGTGTGAAGTCGCTTTGGTGTACTGTTGTGACTGAGGTGAAAGGCATTGGAATAATATTCTGAAGAACATGTAGAAAGGATACATGTGTATGTATTTTCTGACAGGAAATTTGTCAAGATAAAACATTCTGAGAGAGAGAGAGAGAGAGAGAGGGGGGGGGGGAGAGCGGTGGACAGAGAAAGAAAGAGAAAAGGACAATGAGCGACAGAAAGCAAGAGAAAAGAAGAAAGAGAAATAGCAATAAAATAAGAGAAAGAAAAAAATGAAGTAAGAATAAAAAAGGAGATAGGAAAGAGAGAAGAGGGGCGATGAAGCAAGACGTTTCTCAAATAGAATTAACAAAATTAAATTTTATATCATACTCGTTTATGTTTGTAAAAAAAAAAATTGTATATTAGCTTTCTCTCTTCACTTTGTATACATGTATGTCATCTTTAAGATGTGTTTCTTATGTATTTATATTCAATTTGATGTCTATATGATCTGTTTCATGTTTGTAACACAGACTTGCTGAAAAGCAGTCTTTTTAGGCTGATGTGAGTTTTACCGTGATTAAATAAATACAAATAAAAAAAAAATAAAAAAAATAAAAAAAATAAGTTATAGGAGAGGGAGAAGTAGGAATGAGACGATTTCATGTGCGAGAGCTAAAATGATTTGTACAATACCTTTCCTTTATTTAAACATATTTGTGGCTTTGAAGCATTACATTTATAAAATACCTTTCCTGTTTATCCATTTTTTTTTCTCCATTGTCTTCTCAGAGCCTCGTCACAATAATTGATCTGGAGGATTACAAGTCTAAAGAGACAGGTATGTACATCTTAACTTTTAAAGCCTGTCTGCCCTAGTTTGGCCAGGAGGGATTAGACCTCCCTGTGTGGTCACTGACAGCCCTAGTTTGGCCAGGAGGGATTAGACCTCCCTGTGTGGTCACTGACAGGTGGTTATCTCATCAAATCAGCTCTCAATTCATAAGAAAAAATGGATCATAGGGGACCAACGGGTACCGCTTAGGCATTCTTTGCTATGTAGAGGGCGCAAGTAGCTACAGTCCTGCTTTAAATCAGAAAATATGGCTGTGTCTGAAACTTTTGTGAGCTGTGTATGTAGTCCAGATTTGCTATAGCTTCAATTACAAAATGACTGAAATATTCATGAATTATTCCAATGACATTTTGTAGATATGTTAGGTTTTTTTTCCACCAAAACAACATTTCTCAACAATTTGCAAAAGTTAGTGGGTTTTCAACAGTAGATGAATCCAAAATAATCCATCAAAATGAAAGGAGAAAAGAAAATTAAAGAATGGAGAGGGGCTATGAACTGGCTTGTAGTGGTGTTTTCATTGTCATCCTCATCTCTTGAGGGCTGATCATATGTCAATGATAACAATAAAAACTACCTCTGATAAAAAGGCACAATGCTCGCTGATTTGTGCTATCGAGCCTTCAGCACCAATTTTCTCAGATCCGTTTCAGTTACAATTTCTACCAAGATGGTTATCATAATCATCATTAGAAATTATCTTAAAAAGAAGGTTGAGTTCTGGGAAGAAGTGAAAATTACTTTTTGAGCGTTATCATTGTATAATGCAAGTGTAGAAGAATGTCAGATAAAAAATGTTCCCTGAAAAGCATGGCTCTTCAAATGCCTTGATATTCTAAATATGACATGTAACATCATAAAAATAGGGACAGATTACTATGCCACATGTTCGTGTAGTCCCGTATACATCTTTCTGTGTACATAGTGCTTGTAACTTTACCAAGACAGCATGGGTCAAATTTCTTATCATTTTGATGAGTCCAGAACCTAGCAGTACACACCAATACTTATATGCTAGATGATCAACCTTTTCTGATCGATTCTGTAAAGTTTCTTTCACAATGCAATTGCATGACTTGAACTCAACTTCATTTTGAATATCCAAAGCAGTCAAAGTTGTTCAACCAGAGAGAGCAAAGATGGGGCCTTCTCCTGCTCCAATGGATGAAGATCCCTCCGATCAAAACAAAGCTACAGCATCCCCCGTGCCTGGTAGAAGGGAAGGGGAGACAGAGGACCGTCAGACACCCACAGACACCCTAGGGCACATGGGGGAGCAGACCCCAGGACAGATGGATGAAGAGGCCAAAGAGGCTGAAGAACCACAGCAAGCAGGTACAGTAGAATTTAATTTTGAAGGAATAGCAATGCATTGTCTGTGTAAAGTGGTCCAGTGGTCTCACTGTACAAGACCCAGGGTTCAATCCTGAGTCACATCTCTCGGATGATGACATGAAAAGCCCGTCCCCAAACATAGCTCAAAAACCTACACTTACTTTTCAAGGGGCTCGAGATGAAAGTTTTGAGGGTTTGTTTCTATTCTATTCTTATATTTAAAAAAAATATTTATCTTGATTCTGTTATTTCTTGTTTCTTTTAAAAATGTCATTAGATATACCAGTGTCATTTTTTATGTTTATTTAATGTTTTTACATTGTTTGACACGGCCCCAATGGAAATCAGTCTTGTAATTGTTTGGGCTTTTTTAACTGTGTATATAAAGATATCAATTCAATTCAATTCAATGTGGAGGTACTGTGTATGGATTTCAAATTGTGGGGATCCTGACTTAAATTTTAGGGACCTTATAGTGCATGACTTGTGATCTGCAGTCGGGTGACTTATCCACTAGACCACAATACATGTACCTCTACAATAACGTTGATCAGATTACTTATTTATATCTGTCATGAATTGTTTTAAAAATAGATACTGAAGAATCTATGGATGTGGATGTTGAGACGGTGCTAGATGAGAAGATGAAACCTGTAGAGAGCAAAACGATGACCGAAGCTGCAGGTACATCAGAACAGATCGGGACCACAGTGGTAGATGAGAAGACGAAACCTGTAGAGGGCAAAACGATGACAGAAGGTGCGGGTACGTCAGAACAGACCCTTGGAAGCTCTGCACTGACCCTCAAACAGCTTGCTGAAGCCTTTCTGAAGAGCCGAGGAGGTCAAGAAGAAGGAACTGACCTGCCAGGGGATGCTGCGTCTGCATCAGCTGTAGATGTAAGTTTGTATAGGCTTGGACAATCCCAACCTTACGGTGAGATGGTAGTCGGTTTCCATGAGCAGTAGGTCATAAATCGCTGACACCAGACTTGGTGGAGATGCCATTAAGGGGTATGCAGTTTCGCACACAGCAAAACCCAAAGTCCAATCAAGAAATACCCCCTAGCCTCTCAGAGAGTCTTTGTGTTCAGGATATGTAAGATGAGGACTTTTCCATACGGGACGGTTGGTGGAAAATGCAGAGCATTACATAAAGCCTGTTGGTCATAAAACTGAAGGCTAATCCTGGTGATTGACAACACCTGTAATTGGGTTAACACCTGAACGGTATAATATTCCCCATGAGAACCCAAAACTTGTATCTGCGTCTTTAAAAAGGGCTACGCCTTTTCTGCTGTTCCCATAGCCAGGGGTCTAATTAAACATTCATATATTCTTCACAATGTTTACAAAAAAGCACATGGGAAAATGATGGGTTGGGCCTTGGCCTCAGCGCAGTGTTTTTCCTTGTTACCCTGTAACAGATTATTGACATTTTATAGATCAAATTGGGTGCATTAAACTGCTGATGGCACTAAGGAGCTTAGGTGAAAAAGAGAAACCCATTACAAAAGAAGAAAAAAGAACAACTGCTATACCAAGTTGGTAGATGTGTGTGTAAACATATCTGAATAGAATGAGCTATATGGGCTAACATGAGGTACACTGTAACCATGCACAAATTTACAGATTGAATCATACTGAAATCCAGCCTTTTTTGGTCACAATAAATAAATCAATAAGATAAAATAAAAATAGATTTTCAACAATTGTTCTCTTCCAAAGATGGAAAAAGAGCAGGAACCTCCTGACAGCACCACTGCAGTGCTAGACTCCACCCCAGCCATGTCAGACTTGCCCAACATGGAGCTGCAGGCAGACAGTGCAGCAGGGAGCAGCCAGGATAGCATCCAGCAGTCTGGTAGGGAGTCTACCATGGGCGAATCATCCCAGGACAAGACGAAGATCCAGCCTGAAGGTAAGCAGTTAATAACATGTGGATCTGGGCCCTGTTTAATAAAACTTGTTATCAATGACATGTTTCAATAACTGTTATAAGCTACTGAAATTGTGGTATTTGATTGGCTTGAGAGCAAGTTTTATGAAACAGGCCCCTGATCTGTCAGAGAAATAACAGCTCTCTGAAAACTTGAAATCTAAAGCTGAGGCGATGAGAGGATGTCATCAAGTCAGAAGCTAGTATTTAGGTTGACAACTTTTGTTTCCCATGCTTTAGATTTCTAGTTTTCAGAGAGCTGTTATTTCGAAGTACGACAAATTTTTACCAATGACTGTAGCGGTTTTTTGAATCTCCCATTCACCAACTGGTCATGAATGTCCAAGCACATACATTTACATCATCATGAATATGTATCTGATTAACAAGAATTCAGATTTCTAACATAACAAGGATTTAGTTCTATGTGTGACCTCTCAATATAAAAGTGTCGTAGTCGAGTGGTTCAAGCACTTGACTTGAAATTCAAAGGTCCTGGTTCGATCCCTGACATGGCACTAATGTCCTTTGGCAAGGCATTACTCTTCATTTGCCTTACTCGACCCAGGTGAGGTAAATGGGTACCTGGCAGGAATTAATTCCTTGAAATGCTGGAGCACTGTAATGGCAGCTAGGCTAAAGCCGAGGTGATAATATGTGCATCTCGGAGTATAATTTCTAGATAGACAACGCTATATGCCTATTATTGTTATTAAACATTGTATTTCTGTCCCTTTTCAAACCAAGATGCGGTTGCGATGGATGCGGAGGATAGCCAGGCAGAGAAGAGCCGGAGAGGGCAGAAGAGAAAGAGGTTGCTGAGGGACATGCCTGCCCCTGGGAAGCGCCGCTCAGCTAGGGTAAGAAATCTGACCCATTATTCGTTGCTAGGTATGGCAAATATGGTCAAACCTGCCTTAGTGACCACCTGTCTACAAAGACCACATTCCTTCTCACTTTCCCTTAATTATTTTGTATCAACAAGGTTCCCATCATTACCGGTACACCAGAACTGTCATACACAATACAACAGTAAAAAAAAAATAAAAAGGAGAGAGTAAACTATACTGTGGTACTCCATCAGTTCTGTCTCACTTTACCTTTATTGTTTCAAATCAACAATGCTTCTTTCATTACAGGTGCGCAATACAACAGTGAAAAAGATAAAAGAAGGAGACAGTAAACTATACTGTGGTACTCCATCAGTTCTGTCTCACTTTACCTTTATTGTTTCAAATCAACAATGCTTCTTTCATTACAGGTGCGCAATACAACAGTGGAAAAGATAAAAGAAGGAGACAGTAAATAATATTGGGGTAATCCGGCAGTTCTGTCTCACTTTACTTTGATTATTCCAAATCAACAACGTTTTTTCATTGCAGGTGCGCAACACAACAGTCAAGAAAAAAGAAGAAGAGGAGATAGTAAACTATACTGAGGTACTCCGCCAGTTCCTTCCCTCGACTCTCCTGGTCAGCGATGACGAGGAGGAGGATCTGCAACTCAAGAAGTCAGGGGATAAGGATTCTAAGGAAATAGATGTAAAGAGAGCGAGAGGTGAGTGAAGAAAAACTGGTGTCAAACCCCAAATGTGTTTCAAGAATCTTCTTAAAATTATGTTTATCTCCCTTGCTGTTTTTCTTAAAAATCAAGGACAGTATGTTGTGCTGTGTTCTTGGTATGGTAGAGACATGGCCAGGTGAGAAAGAGAGAGAGAGAAAGAGAGAGAGAGAGAGAGAGAGAGAGAGAGAGAGAAGAGAGAGAGAGAGAGAGAGAGAGAGGGGAGGGGGGGGGGGGGGGGGGAGGGAGGGAGAGAGAGAGAGAGATAAAGGGGGAGATGGATAGGAAGAGGCAGAGAGAGAGTGAGATAGAGAGAAAGGGGGAGAGATAGAGAGGAAGAGGTAGAGAGAGTGAGATAGAGAAAAAGGGGGAGAGATAGAGAGGAAAAGCGAGGGAGAGAGAGAGAGAGAGTGAGAAAAGCGAGAAATATTGATATATGGATGTGAAGGAGATGCAGAGAAAGAGACACAAAGAAAGAAGGAAAGAGATTTGTAGAGATAATGAGAAAGAGATGAAAGAAGGGAGAGAGAGAATAGACAGACAGAGACAGAACTGGAAGAGGTCTAGTGAAAGAGAAGGAAAAATTGTTAGAGAGAAAGACAGTGATCCTAGAGAGCCTGGGAAATGTGTGTGTGTGTGTGTGTGAGAGAGAGAGAGAAAGAGAGAGAAAGAAAGAGAAGATAAAGAATTGGAATGAGATAGAGGGAGCAAAGCGAGATGACTAATGAATTTCAGAAGAATTACAGAGGAGGCAGTTACATAAAAAGGAAACCAATCACAGCTTAGCATGGAATCTTCAATAAGCGTACGATAAGTGAGTCGGGTTAGAAAATTAATTGAACCAAATACACCCAATTTGTATTTTTGTTATTATCCTCAAAACATTGTTTTCTTATCCCCCCCCCAAAAAAAAAGAATCTCCAGTAAACGAGAGAGATTCCTTCGGAGCCATGGAAACAGATGATGTTCACAGTTTACTGGTAGAATGTCAAGTGAACAATGGCATCATCGATGTGATGAGCAGATACCTGGAAAGACTGGTTGCCAAACATGATCTGAAGTGGCCTGATGGATTGGCCGCAGTGTATCTGGATGTGTACAAGAGATTGAGAAAGCACATCAGTCTCCCTGAATTGCTCTGGTAAGTTAAACCTGACTCTTTTTCAGAGATTTTAAAGTTGGAGAGAGCCTGATATGTTTTTAGCACAGCTCTCTAGAGAGAGAAGAGAGAAAAGGGGAGATTTGGAGATCAGTAATATTCTAATGTAATGCAAAGCGGAGAGTTCTTGCCCCTTTGGATCACAGTCAATTGACTATTTTTTTCCATTTGAGCCAGGGACTTTTCACTGATGTTAAAGTCAGAGAAGGCCTGTGATATTTGGAGCAGAAAAAGGATGCTGTGGAGAGAATATTAAAAGTTTATGAGTTAATGCCCTTCTGGCTCCAGGCAGGAGATATGTTAGTCCACAGCATATGGGAGAGTTGTGCCCAGTTTGATCTTTGTCTAAAGATAAATTTTCCAATTTAGACTTACATGTCTCCATTGTTCTCAATTCGTGAAGATTGTAACTCTCCTATTATTTCTGTGTTTTTATTCAACCTTTCACATTCCTGTTTCTCTAGTTTCTCTGTTTTTACAAAATTGAAGTTGTTGAAAACATTGGGTTGCCATTGAAAATGTATGTTTGTTTTGTGTTTTTCTCCTCTTTTTCTGCAGTTGTGATGAAGACGAAATAGTTGTACGTGAGATGAGTATGATGTGCCTTCTATCGGCGGAGTTCAACCTAGATCAGTGTCTGTCTGCTAAGACTAACGGCAATACGCCTGCCGCATCACCAGCCATGTAAGTCACCTTAAGATACCTGACATGCATAAGTGTTCTCTGCACCAGTTTAAAATGTTTTGTTGCAGAAACCACTCCCTTCGTAGTCCCTCTTTATAATTTCCAAATAAATGCTTAATTAGAATTGTATCACATCTGTTGTTTCTCATTGATAACCGTATTGCAGGGGAACACCACAAATATTTTGTTCTGTATGTTTTGGAATTCCTTCTCAGATTCTACATTCAAAATATTAGCTTTGAATTTTTCTTCCTTGAAGACTTATTGCATGTCTGTTTGTAATGAAGCCCTTTTGGTGCGAAGCCTTTATGTCTCTTTCTCTTTCTTCTTCACAGGCTCGGTGCAAACACCACAACCTGCACCTACAAGTGGGGAGAGCACCATGAAGATGATATGATGTACCTCCAGGAGCTCACCTTGATGCAATACATGCTACCAGACCTGTGGCCAGTGATACCGGCAAGAGGTATAGTGGTACATTTCATGTTTTAACCTCGTCATGTGAAATGAATGGGGAACCTCTCAATGTACCATCAGTAGGTGTGGTGGTACGGTTGTCATATAAATGTATGTGTGTGTGTACATGCATGAACAAGTAAATTATTTTGATGCAATACATGCTTCCAGATCTTTGGCCAGTGATACTAGCAAGAGGTTTAGTGGTACTGTTATAGTTTTAACCCTGTCATGTGTAGTGAATGGGGAACCTTTCATTGTACCATCAGTAGGTGTAATGGTACTGTTGAATGTATGAATAAGTTACCTGATGCAATACATGCTTCCAGACTTGTAGCCACTGAAAACAACCTATAGTTATTGTGGTACCAATTTTGATTAAATCTTGTCATGTGGATTGGATGGGCAGCCTTGCATCGCACCATTGGTAGGTGTGATGGTACCATTGTTTGTTCATGTTTAAGTAAGTAACTTACCTTGATGCAATACATAATACATGTGACCTTTGATACTAGCAAGAGGTATAGCGGTACCGTTATTGTTTCATCCCTGTCCTGTGTAGTGAATGAGGAACCTTTCATTGTACCATCAATAGGTGTAATAGTACCATCACATTACAAGTCATTCGTCATTGGCAGTCAGTTGATGGCATTATAAAACATTTCAGTATTTACTTGCAAGGCTCCACATCTTCTGACTCGTAGATTGCACAGAAAGGATAACATTTACTCTGAAAGTGCAAATTTTAGTAATTATTTCCACCTGTTTGTTTCCACAGTTTACTGGCTGAAGGCTCGATATTATCGGCAAATTGGAAAAACTGCTGATGGAGAAGATGCTTTTGAGAGGGTAAGACAAAACTTTCCTTGATCACTTTGAATTGATTTTTTTTTGTCTGTAACAAGAAAGTGGTCATCTGCTTGGCAGACATTGTTTTTTGTACCCTTCCGTCTGGCATTTTCAGATGTCTTACCGTTTGTAATGAGGATAGGGTTGAGTCTAGGCTCATGCATGCAAATGCCATGCATAATCATGGTCTATTGTCTAGCATGCAAATACATGCTATGTCCAGTGGGTGGTCAAGACGCCGACCACTGCCACACTGTATACCGTAAACTAGTTCACTAGCACTGCTTGTGAATGCCTCCTCTATAAATTGTACTACTTCACTTCAAGTCTTAGTAGCCATCTTTACACCATTGGATCCTCAATTGACATTTCGTAAAGTAATAACCATGATTGTATTTCATTGCTCCAGTGCAAGGAAGTGTTGATGAGAGAGGAGGAGAGAAGGAAGGAGGATAGACAGCGTGCAAAGAAAGGGAAAGTGGAAGAGGAAGAGATGGAGACGGATGAGACGGATGGAGCCAATGAACGGAGACCAGCTAAGGTGGCAGTGGCTAACATCAAGCATGGAGCTTTGATATCTATAGGTATGGTCTGATTTACATACAAAGAAAACAATAATGGTCCTAGTAGTGTCCCCTGAGGGACACCACAAGTTCCAGTATGTTTTCCAAGAAAAAAAAGGAAGATCTAATTATTGTCTGTTTAGGACCATAAGGGCATTAAATTATTTAAAACATGTGTGAAAAGTCCTTTGGGCTTTCAGCTAGCGATGTACATGTAGATGGAAGCAAGTGTGTTACAGTGTGTTCGTTGTAAACCAAGATGATACATGTGTTAAAAAGCAGTTGAGATTTATTATTTTCTTTTCCTTTTGCAATGTAATATTCAGTTTATTTTCTAATACTATTTTTTTAATGAAGATGCAAGGAATGTTTTCTCTTAAAATTGCACACAGAATATAACATTCAAGATTGAAGAATACAAATACAGTGAAACCTGTCTATAAAACCACCCAAGGGGTACAAGATATTAAAAATGGTCTTTATAGGCAGGTGGTCTTTGTAGAGAGTTGTCTATAAGACATGTTTAAAAAAGAAACCATTTTGAAGGGAAACAAAATATTTAGTCTTTGTAAACAGGTGGTCTTTGTGACAGGTGGTCTATGAAGACAGGTGGTCACTAAAGCAGGTCTGACTATACTTTAATTGTTGGTAAATTCATCATTTTGCAGCAAGCATCACATCCGAGGTGGAGTCCCTGCAGCGCTGCCAGAGCCTAGAGCAGCTCCAGCGTCTCCACGCCTCCGGTGACCACGGCAAGGTGGTGGAGCTACTCCGCCCGACCATCAGACACACCCCTAGGCCTGTCCGCCCTGAGAACACACCCGAGAGGTGCTCTCAGCTACTACTACTCATCCAGTCACAGATGGAACTCAAGGATGCCAAGGTGAGGGGAAGCACCCTTTGGTGTTAGAGGGGAAGTCCCATTTTGTGTTAGAGGGGAAGTCCCCTTTGGTGTCAAATAGACTTTAAAGGGACCAATCAACAACAACAACAAAAATAGTTTTTTTATCCCTAGATAATTTCAGGGCAGGAAGTTGTTTGAAGGGCCAGAGAGTGTAAATTAGAAGAAAAATGATGATAAAGATTTCATTGTGGCATTTACATATCTCATCAGAAAAAGAACCAATTGACAAGATCGTCCTTGTTTTTTAAATTGGCAATGCTGATAATTTTCTTGTATTACCATATGTTTCTAGTAAGGCCATTTTATCCTATAAAAATAGATATGAAGAGAAAACGAGGTGGGAGAAAGAGGAGAAAGAGAGAGAGAGAGGGGGAGAAGGGAATAGAGAGAAATTTAAAATTAAATTGTAATTTAGGCTGAAAATAAATTTGTGTCAAATTCTAAATGTGTTCCAAGAATCTTTGAAATATTGCATCCACCCCCTCTGCCTGTTTTTCTTTTAATAATCCAGGACAGTACGTTGTGCTGTGTTCTTGGTATGGAAGGGACATGGCAGAGAGAAAGAGAGAGAGAGAGAGAGAGAGAAAGAAAGTGGGGAGAGAGAGCTCAAATTCAGTTGTAATTTAAGCTAAAGATGAAATTGTGTCAAACTCTGAATGTGTTCTAAGAGTATTTAAAATGGTATGCTAAGAATATTCAACTATGAAGCGTTATGTAAATATTAACTATTATTATTGTATGATTGTTATTAGAATTTGTTATTATAATTATGTATCATGTATTATATTATTGTAATTTGTAAGTTAACATTACTTTAATTTTATTTTTGTTAAGCGCTTAGAAACTTTGTATTAAGCACTATATAAATGTAATATATTATTATTATTATATGTAACATGGTTTTTAAAAATTATTTTCATTTCAATGTTTCAGGAGAGTATATTCTGCTGTGTCCTGGGTATGGTCGAGACATGGCAAGGTGTCCAGAGAGAAGGGATGCAAGTCTTTCATCAACTCTGGCTCGAAACACTCAACAAAACACTTACCCATCTTCAAAAGTAAGTCTGATGAATTGCCCTAAAATTTCTGTCAAGACCATGCATGGTTCTTTCAAGTCAAGAATCTGTTCAGAGGTCTTCCTAAGGAATATGCTAGCTGTACAAGCACATGTAGCATCAATAGTAACCTTTATTTTAATTTCCAATTAAAAAGCATTAGCATGTTCAGAGTAGTACAGATATTGGTTTACTCTTTTATCTTTTCACTGCTTTTAAATCTTTTTAACTCTCATACTTTTGATGCTGCATAATTTTGTGGGCAAGAATTTATGTTGAAATTGGAGAGGGTTTCAGGAATTGTGAAGTCAGATTTGGTCATGAATAGTATGTATCAATATTAAACTTGCACAATTTTTTGCTTTGGTCAGAGATTTTTCTTGTGAAATGGAATTTTCAATGCATGTTTAGTTGCACCATCAGGGGGGTGTTTTACAAAGATCCTAAGTAGAACTTAACTCTAAGTTGGACTTAAAAATTATGGACAGCCATTGGAGTCTTTAAATGAAATATATTCAAAAGCAGAAATTCAAGTATTTTAGACTTTTTATTAATTCCACATCCAAAACATGAAATCTCCTTGATGATAGAAAATATGAATAATTTCAATAAACAATGAATGCCTTTCAAAATAACTTTTACAAAATATTTTCAAAGATGCTAATGGCTTTCCATATTTTTTAAGTCCAACTTAGAGATAAGTTCAACTTAGGATCTTTGTGAAACACCCCCCAGGACAAATAATTTGTGAACTTTTCTCTTTACCTTTCTAGAGCGTTTGAATCTTGTGAAATCAGTTCTCTGGCACATGATTATTGAGGAAGGCAAACCAACTTCTATGTTTTCTTCAAAAAAATCTTCCCTTGGTATCAAAATCTCTTCCATTCCTCCTATTTTAAAGCCCATCTGTACTAGTTTGGCCGAGGGGGATTAGACCTCCCTGCAAGGTCACTGACAAGTGGTTATCTCATCAAATCAGTTCTCAATTAACATAAGAAAAAAAGAGGAATATGGGAGATCAACAGGCACTGATTAGGCATTGTTTGCTATATAGAGGGCACAAGTAGCTATAATTAGTGCAGTAGGGCTTCAAAGAAATTTCTGATAACGTTTGGATCTTCTTCAATTTCCTAGAACGTTTGAGTCGTGTGAGATCAGCTCTCTGGGTGTAGGAGGGACCGGTTTACTGAGGAAGGCAAACAAAGTTCTATGTGGGGGACCAATGGTCACCGATTAGGCAATGTTTGCTATATAGAGGGCGCAAGTAGCCATAAGTAGTGCAGTGGGGCTTTAAAGAAATTTCTTCTTCAATTTCCTAGAGCGTTTGAGTCGTGTGAGATCAGCTCCCTCGGTGTAGGAGGAACAGGATTACTGAGGAAGGCAGTCAATGTCCTAATCAAGATCATTGAATGGACCATGTACCAGGCCGACGTCAATGAAACGACCAATGCAACGTCGGTCATGCCATGGGTTGTACTCTACCATACCATCAAGTAGTAAGCAGCATTTCTCATAATCAGAATACAGTGAAATCCACTTAGGTAGACCACCTGAGAGAGACACAAAGTGATTAATTGGGAGCTTAAAGATAAAGTTGAGTTCTGGTCATGTGATTGCATTGTGAAAGAAACGGTGTAGAATCGATCAGGGAAAGTCGATCATGTAGCAAAGAAGTTTTGGTGTGTACTGCCAGTCTTGGTAAAAGTTGTGATCGAGGTTAGCCCTATAATTGGGAACTTAATTCAATGGAAAATCAGCCGTGATATACCTGCCATGTAGCATATTTTTTATTTACACGCAATCCCTGGGAATTTCATGATTTATTACAATGAAACTGCTCGCGAAGATCTTAGACTGTATTTTAATCCTTTAAGTACAAACGTGAACTAATAATGATAATGTACTGATAATTTATTGTCGATGGGTGTGGTGTACCGGTATATGTGGGCGCGTGTGTGCATGTTTACGCTTGCTGAGCTGTTGTCACGTAATGATTTCTGCTCTCATATTCAACTGCAAGAGCAAAATAGATATCAAATATTCATAGGGCAATCCAACCCTTTTTATAAAAATTTTGAAAATTCTAAATAAATGGGACCAGTAATAACATTTGCATTAGCTTTCAAAGAAGAATACCTGGTAGGAATTTATTCCTTGAAATGCTAGAGCGCCGTATGGCAGCCGTGCTAAAGCCAGGGTAATAATCGGGAGCGCCAGGAGGGTCAAGTCTGACTGACCTGAGCGCTATTCAAGAACCCACTATTATTATTATTATTAAGAAATTTATAATGAACCTCATTTACTTCAAGGACATCTCTCTCTGTCTTCGCCTACAAACCTGCACAGATGGACCCAGGTTCCAAAATGAGTCACGTCTTTTGGATGGTGACATTAAAGGTCGATCCCTAGAAAGAAATATTCATATCTGATTGATACACGACTGTAAAAACCCAATTACACATACACACAAACCCGGCCGCAGCACTAATGTTAATCTACATTTGCCACTCTCCACCCAGGTGTTAAATGAGTACCCCGTAAAGATACAAAAATTAATGTGGCTAGATGAGCAAGTGTGCGCCTAAATGACGCCTGGCTGGAATGCTCAACATTGTGTGTGGGCAAGCCTAAATCCAATGACAGGTAATAACATATCTGTGAAGCATGAAGAGACATCGATGAATTGAGCGCTATATTGATTGATTGATTGATTGATTTTATTTCTGCGTTCAAAAATATACAAATTCAAAGTCAAAGTACAAAATTTCGAACAATAACAAATACAATGAATACAATGTTTACAAAAATAATTAAATGAAAAATCATGTACAATTATATCATTCGATAAACATGTACGAAGCATACAATAACATAAGAAATATGAAATATTTTCAATAAATTAGAGAGGTAATTTGGAACGCAGGAGACCACCATCGTGAGCGGTTAGGCTGGAAATGGATGGCGGCCTCGTAAAAGAATTGGCGACATAACTCTCTTCGAAAAAACTGAGTGACCAAGAGGGTGCGGTGCAAGTGCAGGTGCAGTGAGCAGTTGCATGATAAAGAATAATTAAGTCACGGTTTTGTTATACTAATTTAAAGAGAGGGGAGCATATGATTGTATTATTTGTCGTTTTAGGTGTAGCTTTTAAGGAGTAGATGGTTGAACAAGACTTTATGTTGTCGGGTAAATCATTCCAAATGTCCGGGCCAGAATGTCTAACAGATTCGTGTGTTATTGATAATTTGGGGTTTGTAAGATGGAAGTTTCCAGATATGCGAGTAGAGTATGAATGAACGGAATTATTAAATTATATAAAAGCGGAATATGAGTATTATCAATAAACGATTGAATTTGACTCTTTTTACGCTTTATAGTGAGGAAGATCACCTCGCAGCTAAAAGCCTGCCCTCGTCTGACCATGAGGGTGAAGAGGGTATTCATTCACCGAGCACAGTCCCGATGTTACCGTCGTCCCTCATGCTGCTGGAGAACGCACATGACTATCTAGGAAGGTAAATTGAACTGTGTAAATGTATCTAGGAAGGTAATTTGTGTAAATGTAACTGAATCTTCAATCCCATTTTGCAGGGGAGTGGAGATGATGCATATTTATATGTGTACTTCAAATCCAGCGGCCAGGGAAAATGGAATATAATTATTGCTATAGTTGGAAAGTTTGAACTACATTATGAAAAGCTCTCATTAAAGGTATAGACCAGTTCTGGTCATGCGATTGCATTGTGAAAGAAACGTTGTGGAATCAATCAGAAAAGGTTGATCATCCAGCATATTAGTATTGGTGTGTACTGCAAGGTTCTGGAATCATCAAAATGATAAGAAATTTGGCCCACTCTTGGTAAAGTTACAAGCACTGTACACAGAAAGATGTATATGGGACTACGCGATATCTATCCAGGCCGGATCGATATGATAATTTACCAAATATATCAATTAGTAGGGGGGGATTACAATGTATAGCGCTAGTATTTACATGTACTGTGTGCTTAGCTCTAGAAGTGATAAAAGTCAAATGGGGGTTTCAATTTTAAACAACAAATTTTTTCATCATGTAGGCTTTTTGTATTATGTAGAGAGTTTGACATGTGTAAGTACATAAGAGTATTAGATCTGTGCATTTCATGATATTTCATTGCTTCTTCTTCTTCCTGCCAGACAAACCTGGTGTTGTAACTGCGATGGTGCCCTTCTGAAGCTCTACATCCGCGTCCTGAGCACCGAACTGGGCAAGTACTCTGAAGACGAGAGACATCCATTCTTCAGTGACCTCAAGCACACTTTGGAACAGTGTTTCTTCTGTCTTTACGGACACCCTACCAAGAAGACCAAGACCAGACATCTTCAGGACCACGGAGCTATAGAGGTGAGCCTAGATAAAGCACTTTCTAAACTCCGCCATTTTGATTTTGGCATTTGAATTAATTTCACACATCTTCGAGCAATGTTTATTCTGTCTTTATGGACAACCTACCAAGCAAAAACCAAGACACGACATCTACAAGACTATTTAGCTATAGAGATGAGTTTGGATAAAGCACTTTCTAATCTCCGCCATTTTGTTTTTCATATTTGAATAAAACCTATATTCCATGATTTTGCACACTATCTAAGATTCAGAGCCCTTACAAGTATCCCTGTGTTGATGGTTGCCATTGTAAAGTTTGTGGGCGAGGTGACATTGACTGTAATTGTCTTGGATCTTATTTTGTTCTGATTCCAGGTCCAACTCGACTGGTCCAACTGCTGCTACATCTTCGACTACTTCAAGCCCAAGATCTTCCCAGAGTTTGACAGCTACAAGACCAGCTCCATGTCCGCTGAGCTGGAAGGCCTCTTGCTCAAGATCTCTAAGGTCATCCCGCAAGACGCAAGGCCTGAGAACGCTCTGGAACTGGTCCAGGGCTACGTTGACGGGAGCAACGAGAATGCACCAGCGATACCTGAAGGGTTCATAGGTCCAAGGTATGGGTTTTGAAGAATGAGATAAAAAGTGATAGGATAAACAGTCAAACCTGTCTATAACGACCGCCCAAGCGAAACACAAAAAATGGCCTTTGTAGACAGGTTCTTTTAGTACATGATTCAATGAGAAACCGTTTTCAAGGGAAACAAAAAATGTGGCCTTTGTAGAGAGGTGGTCTTTGTTGAGAGGTGGTCACTAAAGCAGGTTTGACTGTAGAAGGGTTCTTCGGTCCAAGGTATGGGTTTTGAAGAATGTGATGAAAACTGATGGGGATGAGATATAGAATGAGGAAGAGCATTTTATATATTTTATTTATATATATATATATATATATATATAAGAAGAAGAGAAGACAAAACGGGCATAGCATGAAGGACAAGAAACATGAGTGAAAAGAGAGAAAGATGATGATGATGATGATGATCTACAGCACTTGTATGGCGCCGTTTATCTGTTTCAAAAATTCAAAGGCGCACGCTTCTCCACTGGTCCTGGACTACACATTTGCTTGAAGAAAAAAATATCATTTTGAGGCCTGCTTTAAAGCTCTCTAGCTGCTAGGTGAAAATGGGATAGAGACATAAAGGAAATGAAGGTATACGGAGAGAGAGGTCAGTGAGGTCATCTTGCAAGATGCCAAGCTGGAGAACGCTCTGGAACTGGTCTAGGGCTACGTGGATGGGGGCAAGGAGAAGGCACCAGCACTACCTGAAGGGTTTCAATGTTTCCAAGTATGATTATTTCAAGCATGCGATGAAAAGTTATGAGACAGAACGATGAAAAGTTATGAGACAGAACGAGGAAGAGAGATGTGTCGATAAAGAGAAGAAGCGGATTGTCTAGAAAATGGGACCAGTGATCTATAGTTGTAATAAGAATAGAAAAAAAGAAGGATGTATTGTTTATGAGAAAAGAGGGAAATAGAAACAGAAGACATTTGGGAGATAGAAACAAAAGTTGTGTGCTAGAGAAAAGAAAGAGAGATGAAGAGAGAGAGGACCTGGACCTGAAGATCAGTAAAGACCAGAAATCAAGATACATGTCTTGAGAATAGTCTAGTACCCATCCAGGGATAATTGGAATCGTAACTATAGGACCTGTTTATGATTTAGATCTAGACCAAGACTTCTCTCATGGAACCTTTTGTTTTGTCTTCTTTTTTTCTGTTGCATTTTAGCTCTGTGGTCAAGGAGCTCTACTATCTGCTGGCTGACTTCCACTTCAAGAATAAAGATTTCGGGTAAGTGATGTTACTGTGATAACAGGTCTATATTAATGTCTTAACCTGTTGACTACTGAATTCTCTTATTCCCATAGGCTTAATACAGGGACCACTCGGTTCCAGTAGGCCATGGGTTAAATGGTTTTACTCGTAATGAACATTTCATGTAAATACTAGCACATTTTACTTCCATATATGACTTTTATGGTTAGTATTGTTTTCGTTATCATTCTATTAATTAAATGTAATGTTAACTGTTATTGTATAATTGTTTTAAATGGGGGCCCACTACAAGAGCCCTATCTCGCACCCGGGGCAACGTGTCTGACACGGCCGATTGTAGCAACTACTCCGAAGATCAAGATTACATTAATCTTGATCTAAGGAGACACGAACGAACGAACGTTATCATTCTTATCTTCACCATCATCACCATCATCCTCACCATCATCATTATCATTATTTTCATAATCACAATCGTCATCACCATCATCATCACAATCATCATTATCATCATCATCATCATTTTCACAATAATTATTATCATCAACACCACCCCCATCATCATAATCATCATCGTTATTGTCTTCATCATCATCATCCTCAACATTATTATCGTCATCACCATCCTCAATTATCATAGTTTGTAGCAAATCACTGCAATATTGCGCATTATCTATCACATGTTGAATTCACCGTTTTCTCTTCAATTTAGGAAAGCGATCAAGTTCTATCTCCACGACCTATGTGTATCTCCAGATCGCCTGGACAGCTGGGCAGGCATGGCCCTAGCTCGTGTCGGACGACTGGATCTCAAACTGAACAACTCTGTAAGTATGCCTTAGTGTTCTAAAGATATGTTGCTCTAGGCAGAGATGCCAACTGTTCCGTTTTTGTCGTATTTGTTCTCTTTTTTTGCTACATGTATGAATACGGCAGTACGATTTTTATATGTTTTGTTAAGTTTTTTATTTTTTTAATATTTTTTTTATTGATGTTTTTCTTAATTTCCGATCATGAGCTTTGTGTCGTAAGTGTATTATGCACCTATGTATTCAAACGATGCACGCAGGTTTGGTGATACGGGCCCCAAACTGCCCACATTGCGAACAACCCACGTGTACCGTATGCACGTCGCGCTCAGATCCAGGTACGTACACGTGGTACTGCCGTTTTTTTAAGCTGCTCAATTGGGCGATATGTTAAGGTGAGAGATTTTTTTCAAAAGTACTTTTTTGTCCCAAAATACTGTTATTTGCTCTTAAGAATACTTTTTTTTGTTGACGAAAGTTGGCATCTCTGTCTAGGAGAAGTCCACCCTGAGGTGCCTTGTTATTTTTATGTATGAAGGGTTAAAGTTCAAGGATTTTTTTTTTCTCTGGAAAAAGTGCAACATTGTAGCATTGTTTTACCTCGGATATGGTATTTTATCTTCACTTGTCTCTCTCAACCCGGATGTTATAATGTGTAATAACATTAAAAAAGAGGATCATGGGGGACCAATAGGTACCGCTTAGGCATTGTTTGCTATATAGAGGGCGCAAGTAGCTACAAGTAGTGCAGTCCCACTTTAATGATTTTATTTTTATTTTTTAATACTAGACTGACACCAAGAGCGATGGACCGATCTTCAAGCACGGAGTAGCAGCTCTGCGATGCTTCAAGCGAGCTCTAGAGATCGACGCTACAAACTATGCCCTATGGATTGAGTATGGTTCCTACGCTTACATCCTCCATTCACACGCCTCCAGACAAATCAAGCAGGTATGATTTACAAATCAGTGACTATATCTTTCAATATTTCCATCAAATATATTTGTATTTTAGGGTGGCAGCATTGTGATGTGTTTCCAGCGAGCTCAAGAGATGCCATAAAACCAAAATGAGAGATGTTAGACTGTTCAATACATAAGAAATTTGATTATTATATTCTCTGCAGGCCTGATATTTTCCCATTTAAAGCTGTTTATAGATTATTTTTTTCTCCCAATTTTTCCTGATTTTTGTTTGTCTGTTGTTAAATTTGTTTTTCTCCTGATTTTTGTTTGTTTGTTGTTGTTGAGTTGTTTTTTTTTTTGAATTTTTTTTCCCCCAAAATGGATAGTCCCTGAGATCGATTTAAATCCGTTTTAAAATGGGTGGGGGGGGGGGGAAGGTGGGTGAGGTGCAATTTTTTCATGGCTTGAGTGAACGCTTCACTTTGCTCAGATTTCTCTTTTTTCTTTTTTTTCTCATCAAAACCTTTTTTGTTAACTCTTACTATCACCCTTGTCTCTCTGATTTCTTTGTCAATTACAGAAGGATCAATTGAAGATCAGTGATGAAGACATCACCTCTCTGAGCGTGAAACAAGCCGAGATGCTAGAGCAGGCGGAGCACTGTTTCAGGCAAGCCTCGACGTGCGAGGGCGAAGGGGATGAAGAATGGCTCGTTCATTATATGCTGGGCAAGGTGGCTGAAAAGAGACTTCTCATGGAGGAGAGCTTACGTCATTATCTGAAGGTAGGTGGGAAAGATAGAATAATTGGTTCAGTGATGGAAGTAGACAAAGGGAATAGATTGGTTTGCTGATTTAGAGCAGAGTGTAAGAGAAAGAATGGGAGAAACCCATAAAGTTTATGTACCAATAATAGAAAAGAGAAAAAACGAGAGGGAGAGAGAAAAAAAAAAATGTTCATGGCATAGGGCTTGCAGTGTTTGGAGGAAACTGAGAGAGAGAGAGAGAGAGAGAGAGAGAGACAGAGAGAGAGAGAAATGGGTGAGAGAAAATGCATGTTTAAAACATATAAACATTGTTGAAAGATGGAGAGAGAAAATAAAATGAGAGTCATGGATTTAACAAACAAAAAATCAGGTTGGACACAAGTGTACTGGGAGGCAAGAGAGAAAACAGCTATGACAGAGAGAGGAGGAGAGGTGAGGGGGGTGATGAGAAAGGTTTTTGATAGATTTTAATGTGATAATTTGATCTGTGTTTATTCAACTTTGCAGGCGAGTTATCATCTACATGAAAGCGAGGCAAGATACCCAAAGAAGATCCCCTACCACAACCCAACAGACTTCTCGCTAGAAGCTTTGGAGGTAAGTAAACCCTAGTGCTGTCGTTGACAGGCATTTTGTGAACTCCTTTTGTCAATTCATGTGGAGACAATAAAATTGTAACCATGTCGATACTATACAGTAGGCTTATGGTTGCACCATGTGAGAGAGGGGCAGGATCAGGGAGTCCTGGAAAGGACTGTCGGTAATCTTTCTTTCTTGAGTGTGTGTGTGTGTAGTCCTCAAAAGGACTGTTGGTAATCTTTCTTTGAGCTTGTAGTTCTAAAGGGAACTAGAGCGTCGGTCAGAGAGGGGCTTGACGTTTCGAACAGGAGTGGGGAATAGCTGGCATGCGTGGGCTTAAGTCACCGAATTGCGGTAGTGGGGTTGCAACCGTAAGCCTACTGTATATCTACATCACCATGCAAGCCGATACTTATAAGTAGCATTCATGTTGATACTGGTTTCCTCCCTGGACCAACGCATTGAAGAAGTACCATGTGTGGAACATTACTTCCTTCTCAAGGACTACCATACTTTAGGTGCACATTCCTTGAAGTTCTTGATCAAAACCGGGTCCTTACTGTATATATAATGGATGCATAACAATCAAACGTACTCATCTTCCCAGATACCTGAATCAGAGCAGATCACTTGAGAATACTTTATGGCAACTTGGCTAAACCCAAGCTAGTAATTACAGTGTAATACAGTAAAAACCTGTCCATAGCGACCGCCCAAAGGAGACACAAAAAGTGGTCTTTGTAGACAGATTCCTTTAGTACATGTTACAATGAGAATTTTTTTTCAAGGGAAACAATAAATTACGTGGTCTCTTTCCAGAAAGGTGGTCTTTCTATACAGACGATCGTTAAAACAGACTTGACTGGCATTTTTAAAATTTCTTTTTGTAGATGTACTTCAGGATCCACTCAGCAATCTTGAAGCTTGTCCAGTGCTCGCTACCAGGTACAAAGGTCAAGTTGGATGCCTACGGAACACTAGAGGGCCTCGTCCAAGAAGCCGCACAGCTTCCCTTCGTCAGGGCCGAGGAGAAGAAGAGAGAACCGAGTAGTGAACCGTAAGTTGTATTTCCTTGATGCTGATACCCAGAATTGTTCATACTGTATGAGAAATATTAACACTGTGGGAGCATCTAACAAAATGAATTATTCATAAGGAATCATTACTGCCCATCCTTGATGCTGGTCCCACATTTTATTCATCAGTGTGTGAAAAGTCCACACACTGGGGAGCAGCTCACAAAATGAATTATTCATAATTACAAAGCGTTGATGCTTAGTTGACGATGCTATGTTATCTCTGGAACATTTGCTCTAGACTTCACTTCATCAAAAATGTAGTGTTGGTGTTAGGTATGTGGTCGAGAGGGTTAAAGTTGAGGGTTTTCTTATTTTAGGGTTGTTTTTCTAGGGGAAAGTTGTCCTTAGGGGTAGTTGTCTAAAGAGTATTTGTCTCAGGGATAATTTTCAGGAGGCTGAGAGGAAGTACAGATCCTTAATTGTATATCTACATATCTTATGCTTATATTTGAGCTTAACTTATCTACAGCTTGACGGACACTGAACAGGAGGCAAGGAAATGCCCCTCTAAGCCTGACACTCCCCCTATGTCAACACACAGAGGGCTGCCACACCCCAAGATCATGACTACCTTGATTTCACTTTGTCTCATTTTCATTAGAGGTGCCATGGTCGAGTGGTTAAGTCACCGGGCTGTCAATCACAAGGTCCGCGGTTCGAGACCTGCCGCGGCACTAATGTCCTTTGGCAAGACATTGATCTACACTTGCCATACTCAACCCAGGGGATGTAAATGGGTACCTGGCGGGAATTAATTCTTTGAAATGCTTGAGCTCTGTAATGGCAGCACAGCTAAAGCCGGGGTAATAATAAGTTTGCAAGCGCTTAGTGATTGTAATAGCGCTATATAAAAACTGAGTAATATTATCATTATTATTATTATTATTATCTCTTCAGATCAACTGATACTGAGCAAGATGCAAGGATACGTCCTCCCAAGCCTGACACGCCTCCCAGCCTGGTACCAAAGAGACGTGGCAGCCCCATCTATGTTGCCACGCCTCAGGATCACGACTACCTTCATGAGAAATACCGCAGATCTAGGTCAAGTCAAGAGGAACCTACTACAGGTACAGTAAAATTGGGTTCTGCACTTTTCTCTCTCACTCTCACTCTCTCTCACTCTTTCTATCTCTCACTGTCACTATCTCTCTCTATCTCTCTCTCTCACACACACACACACACAAACTCTATCTTACTCCCTCTTTTACAAGATATATATTCCTAACTTTGTATCGAGATATTCCTTTAGCTTGTAAGGTTGAAACCTACATGTACATGTATGGGGAAGGGTTAATATCTTCATTATTTTTTCTAGAGGTTTTCATTTTATTTGTTTATTAGGAAGCAAAGAGCAAGAGTCCCTACATGTTTTGCTATATTTCAGATGTAAGGGAACTACTACAAGGACTTTTTGTTGTTGTTGCAAACCTCAATTTGCTATAGCTCCATACATAATTTGACTACACGATCAGGGTCCGTTGCATAAAACTTACCATTGATGGTAACTTTGCCATCAATGGCAACTACCGTGGTAACAGGACTCAACAGCCAATCAAAATCAAATTTTCCATGGTAGTTACCATTGATGGCCAAGTTACCATCAATGGTAAGTTTTGTGCAAAGGGCCCAGCATATTCTATGCAAGAAAAGAAGTTAGAAAAAATTCCTTGGACCAATCCCCTTGAAAGACGTCTCTTCCATGAAACTCCTTAAAACTATTGAAACCAATTTTGCAGACACTGCTTCCGAGAGTGACATTTTCTCTGGTGACGAGAGCATGTCGTCCTTCCTCTCCGCCCAGCGGAGCACGATTACGTTGCGCCCCGTCCCAGCCCGTCGTGCCCTATCTGCGGCAGAGGCGCAAGCCGTTCCAACCACGCCCGATGGAACGCCCTCTATTGTAGGGATGGGAGAGGACGGGAAGACAAGAGGTGAAGATGGGATGAGTGGAGGAGTTTCCGATGCTAAACAGCCTGAAAAAGGTATTCACTGGAAAGGGCTGCACCAAATAGGGTTCTTTCAGACATGATATTGTAAAAGGCTAGCAAAAAAAAAACTCTTGCAACGAAATACAGACATTCTATGTTTGAGTGAGAAATTAAAGTAAATGAAGGGCAAGTGAGCTAAAAACACTGGCTGCTTGCAACAAAGGCCTCTAAGCATTCTAAATCATTTGTGGTTTATAGGATTCCAAATTTGAAGCACACTATGCTAAATATTTCATTTTTATATATTGGACAATTTTGGATGAGGTCTAATCTTATTTCATTGTCCATTTTGTGGTTTGCAAATGGATGAGAGTTCCTATAAAAGAATTGTCAGGTGATTCCTCCTACATTCTAATTGCATGCAATTCTTCTTATCACTTCCACAGATCAACCTGAAGGTAGAACAACCACTGAAGACATCGTCGCTCCTTGTCAAGATCCCAAGCTGGAGATCCCTGCCATAGTCGTCTCCAAACCAAGCCCTGAAGCGGAAGCTGCGACTGAAGGTAGCGAATCCCCTGCAGATAAGGACAATGTCTCTATGACCTCAGCGGAAGCTGCAACTGAAAGCAGCGAATCCCCTGCAGAGAAGGACAATGTCTCTATGACCTCAGCGGAAGCTGCGACTGAAAGCAGCGAATCCTCTGCAGATAAGGACAATGTCTCTAAGACCTCAGCTGAGGACAGGAAAGAAGTGACCGAGAAACCTGATGAGCTCAGAGCTGAAGTGGATCCGACTGTGGCCTCTGCGCCTCCTGATGATGGGGAACGTGGTGATCCAGGACAAGCTGTCGTTATGGACACCGAAGATGCAGAGCAACCTATTCCTGCTTCGAAAGGAGAAGAGATAAATCAAGATGGTAGGGCGAAGACTGATGTACAATCCCCAGTTGCTATGGAGATGGATGAAGCAGATACTGCTGACCAGAATGAAGCTGAGGAATCCGTTGATCGGAATAGAGGAGGGATAGAGGAGACGAAAGAAGTTCTGAGGAGGACCTTGGAGGGAAATATTTCGGAAGAGAAAATGGAAATTGGATTGTCAGGAGATATCGTAGAACCAGAGGAAGGAGATGAAGGAGGTAAAAGGGGAAACCAAGAGAATCTGGAGATCATCAAAGGAGGAGGAGAAGATGGAGGACAAGGAGAAGTCAAAGAAGCAGATAATGCAGAAGAATTGACACTACTGCAGAAGCCTAGTGTTGATGGATCCAAAGAAGATAAAAATAAGAAGGCTGAAGTCGTAGATGATGCAGACAAATTCCTTCCAGGAGAGATGGAAGTTGATCAAGGTACTGTCCTTGCGCAGGGTCAGATGAAGGCTGGCGTGCAGAAAACTCAACCTAAAGACATAGAAAAGAATCAAAGGAAAGAAGAAGAGCCACAAGACATTGCAAAAGAACCAATGTCCCTCATTTCCGATGAGAAGAAGGAAGGGGAGATTGCAGAGCTTGGTTCCAAGGAAACATTGTACAGTGATGCCCCAACTCTGGAGTCTATCTCTCAAGTTGGAGAGATCCAAGAAGACCTTTTAGTATTACCAAGTCTTGAGAAAGAGGTACTGCCTATGGTAGATACAAGGTCAAAGGAAGCAGATTCCATCATGGATGAGGAAATGGTAGACAAATCAGGAGCGGATGATGCACCACCAAGCAACAGTACCCAGAGTGGAACCAATGATGAGAAACAGATCCAAGGTCATAAATTGGATGAAAGTAAAGTAGAAAGCCAAAAACAAAGTAGTCACACAGTAGATGGTGATCTTTCAGAGGATGGAGGAAGCGCTGAGGGTGTCTTACACCTTGACGGAGGTCCAGATGGCAAGCCAAAGGATGGTGATTCTGAGAGAGTGGAACAGGATAGTCCTGCAGGAGATGGCAAAGGCCACAAAGGCGAAGTTCCTGAACAGGAGGAGATGAAAGTTAAAGATGAGAGCGAAGCGGCTGCACAAGAAAGGGCGGAAGTCAAGATGGACACCAGCATCCAAGGGAAGGGTGCTGCAGTCCAAAACAAAGAGGATGATACCACAAAGATCCCTGTCATTACAGAAGGACTGGGAACTGGAAGCAATGTAGGAACAAGCTTGGAGATGAAGGATGAGGGCAAAGAGAAAGACGATGCAGTCACCAAGAAGGAGGAGGAGGCAGGCGAAGAGCCTGGACAAATGACAGAAGGAAAGACTGATGGAGAGACTGTGGTTGAGGTGGATGAGGAGACCAAGAAGAGACACCTGGAGCTGATCAATGTTTGTCTTGGTGCCATGAAGCTCTGCCTTCAGAGGTTCCCACAGCATTACAAGGCAGCTTACAGAATGGCTTACCTCTATGCCTACGCCCCAACCCACAAGGTGAGCTTCCTACAACATAAAATTACATAAGTCCAAATTTACTAAACTGTAGCTTGAATCAGAACGGTGAATACATAAATTCTAGTCAATATTCAACGATGCTTCTTTTGATAATGGGTTAGTGACTCTGTAACATTGTCTCAGATTCTGAAACAGAATCCTAAATTTAGCTCATGCTGCAATCATAATTATAAACCTTCAGGTCAGTCAGGAATCCCATAACAAGCCGCACTTTGAGGCACTTCATGATCATTTTGAAGCGCAATTTTGTTACACCATATTACAGACACTGATAGCATGTACACTGTTTGTTGCCTCTCTTGAGCAGAACTTGGCCTGGAGTAAGGACATCCTGATAGGTGGTAGCAGTGAGTACCCTCCCAAGACTCCTGCAGACCACATCGTTGCACCAGGTCTCTCCCTATCCCTTGCACTATCCCTTTAATATAAAGACCATCTTTCTTGACTCTCTTGAGCAGAACTTGGCTTGGAGTAAGGACATCCTGATAGGTGGTAGCAGTGAGTACCCTTCCAAGACTCCCGCAGACCACATCGTTTCACCGGGTCTCTCCCTATCCCTTGCACTATCCCTTTAATATAAAGACCATCTTTCTTGACTCTCTTGAGCAGAACTTGGCCTGGAGTAAGGACATCCTGATAGGTGGTAGCAGTGGTTACCCTCCCAAGACTCCTGCAGACCACATCGTTTCACCGGGTCTCTCCCTATCCCTTGCACTATCCCTTTAATATAAAGACCATCTTTGTTGACTCTCTTGATCAGAACTTGGCCTGGAGTAAGGACATCCTGATAGGTGGTAGCAGTGGTTACCCTCCCAAGACTCCCACAGACCACATCGTTGCACCGGGTCTCTTCTCCGAACAGCATAAGAGCAAGAACCTCTTCCAAGGGATCTGGAGGAACCCTATCCAAGACATTGATCGGTGAGTCTAAAGGAGAAGAACAGGGGGAGGGTTTTACAAAGATCCTAAGTTGAACTTGAACTATTTATGCCCTCAAAAAGTGTTGAACCAGATGTCAAATTAGAGGAAAAAAAATTAGAAATGATGATCTTTAGATAAAGTTGTTTCCTTCAAAAATAAACTATCAAAAAATGGGAATTCTGTAGATTTGTGACGTACCTTGGGAGACAGATGGTGAGAGCAACCGGTGGCATGAATGGCCTGCCATAGTTTAAGTCCAATTCCAAATTAAAGTCGATCTTAGTCTTTGTACTTACGACAGTTTCGTGAAAAACTGTCCAGGAGGATGATTTTCAGGCGTTTACCTAGTAAGCAAGTTCGGACATTAGTAAAAATGAAAGGATAATCTAGAAAAAATTATATGAACAGGGAAGATTGCTGGAAAGAGAATCAGGAGAAGGCAATGCCACACATCTTTGTCTCTTGAAATCGGCATCCAATAATGAAGTCAACATTACCAGCTTTTTAAGAGTGGCAGAAAGTAGACAGAAATGAAGAGCTATGGCTGCAGATGTCTTTAACAGACCTGGCACCTGATGATGATGATGATGATGATGATGATGATGATGATGATGATGATGATGATAATGATAATTTCTAATCTTATTGTTCCACATCTGCTGGAGTTTGTGGTTTTGCTTTATATCATCATGAAATAAACCTGTTCTCTTTGATTATTTCAATAACAGATCTGGTAGTTTTCCATGGCACATGTATCGCTCTGTGGCCCTTCTGGTGTACATTCTGAGGGAGCTCAAAGACCACATTCTCCTGCTTCAGGTCACCTCTAAACTCTACCGCATTCCAGAGCAGGGAAAGTGAGTGTGATTCCTTTTCTAACATTTGTCTTATTTAGTAGTACAGTCAAACCTGCTTTAGTGACCACCTGTCTACAAAGGCTACTTTTTGTTTTTCGCTTGGGCAGTTGCTATGGACAGGTTTGACTGTAGTAGTAGTAGTGGTGGTTATTTTACCTGGCTGCTAAGAAAGCATAAATGCTTGTTAGTAAGCAACCAGAGGACAGACGGCTTTAGGTCCTCTCCGCGAGACCTGGGTCACCTCTAAACTCTACCGTATTCCAGAGCAGGGCAAGTGAGTGTGATTGGTTTTCTCTTCTATTCTCTCCTCTCCTCCCTTCTCTCTATATCTCCTCTTCTATTCTCTCATGTCCTTTCTTCCCTCTCTATCTCTCCTCTTCTATTCTCTCATGTCCTTCTCTCTCTTTTCTCCTCTCCTCTATTCTCTTCTCTTCTTTCCTCTCTGCTTTTCTCTGCTCTTCTCTCCTCTCCACTCCACTCAACTCTTCTCTTCTCTCCTTTCCTCTCCTATCATCTCCTCTCCTCTCCTCTCTCTCCTTTCCTCTCTGCTCTTCTCTTCTCTTCTCTTCTCTCCTCTCCTTTCCTCTCCTGTCTTATCATCTCCTCTCCTCTCCTCTCTCATCTTCTCTTCTGTTCTATTCTGTCATGTCCTTTCTTCTCTCTCTTTTCTCCTCTCCTCTCTTCTCTCCTTTCCTCTCTGCTCTTCTCTGCTCTTCTCGTCTCTTCTCTCCTTTCCTCTCCTCTCCTATAATCTCCTCTTCTCTCTTCCTCTCTTCTCTTCTCTTCTCTTCTCACTCTTCATATTTTGTTCCTCCCCGTATTTCCAGGGGAGTTATTCTTGTGGTACATGTCTTGTTTACCCAGGGTAACCTCATCAGTATGAACACTGTTCCCCCTGCAACCATATTATTACCTCGGCTTTAGCCAAGCTACCATGAAAAGGTGCTCAACCATTTAAGGAATGTCTTCCTACCAGGTACCCGTTTACTAAACCTGTGTAGAGAATGGCAAACGTAAATTAATATATTATCAAGGGACTTTAGTGCTGCGGCTTGACTTGAACCTTGAACCATGTGATTCACATTCAAGCGATGTATCTACTAGACCTCAACATCTCTGTTTGGAACCGTGCAGCAAAGGTTTAACTAATTACCTCAGAAGTTCACACTTTTCTCTAGCAAGTAGCTTTCATTTTAATCTCTGTTTTATATATTTATCGTCCAAAAAAGGGGATGCAAATCAAATATAAGCATCAAGTACCCGACACGTCGTTTCCATGCCGTATAAAGTGTGCTTTGTCTGATCTGGGGAGAGTTTCACAAAAACTAAGATTGACCTTAAGTTGGACTTAAATATGGCAGGCTGTTCATGCCACTATATCTTCTAGACATTCCTGGCATTGGTTTCTCAAGGAACGTATAGAACACGGTCACAAATCTACAGAATTAACATTTTTTGATAGTTCATTATAAAAGGAAAACTTATCAAAAGATCATAATTGAGTGACCAATGGTGAGAGCAACCAGTGGCATGAATGGCCTGCTATAGTTAAGTCCAACTTAAAGTCGATCTAAGCCTTTGTGAAACACTCCCCTGTTTTACATTTTGATCACGATTCCATATTTTCTCTCATCAAGGAAATACCTGAGAGATGCAGACCGTCTTTTCTTGGCTCGCGAAGCGTTTGATTCTTACAGGAGCACCATCCGATCGCGGCTCGTCGTCTCGCCATCAGGAACAGCGGAGGAAAGTCTTGGACTCGTGCTGTCTTCCTTTCGATGCTACCAGTACACCCAATCAAAGCAACCCAAGCTCACATCTCTAGCGTCGGAGCTCCTGATCACAGCGTTTAAAGTGCTGAAAGGCAGTTCAGTGAGTAACAGATAATCTCTGATTTATAATGATTATTAATTAATGATAATAATATTAATAATAATGATAATATTGATAATAATGATAATAATAATAATAGCAATAATAATATATATGATATTTGTAAGGCACCAACTCCAATTAAAATCAAATGCTCAAGGCACATTTGTGAAACAAACAAAAAAAAACTTTAAAAAAAGAGATCGCATAAAAGCATCTGCAACATAAACAAAAGAAAAGAAGTAAAATAGACAAATTATACTATGTTAAAAAAGGAATGATAAAATCATTTCGATAACAGGCAAATTGATTTTTTGGCTTGCCACATGAAACAGGGATCATGTTGAATATTGATTCTTCTATAATATGCAATTAGTGTCATGTCCTGATGCAAGCTAGTTGTATATAAACATACTGGCCACCATTCCTATTTTGGAAAAATGATTCCTATTTTTTTTTGGTATTGAAGCTATTGTTTTGAATCCTAGAATCTTCTCTTTTTCTGTTAAAATATTTTGTGTTAAAAGTAAACAAAATAGTCTGTATTCCTAAATTGGCCTTGAGAGATTCCTAATTTTTACTGTGAAAGGTTGGCAGGTATGTGTAAAGGGCAATCCAACGCTTGTAACTACTTGAATTGTGTGAAAGGGAAAAAAAAATAGAAAAATCTTTGAATGCTTTGTTGTTTCTATTCTGTTCTTTAGATCGAGTCCGAGCCAGCCTTGTTAGACCAAGCCGCACGGTTCTGTGATCATCACATCTCCTTTAACAAGCTACCAAGAGTGAGTAACTGCACTGTCGTAAACTTTTCAACCAAATAAAAGAGTTGACTCCAAGGCTTTACCCTTATTTGAAATGGTAATGTTGGTCCACTTCGTTTTTAGAGTATGTCAATAAAATGACCTTTAAAAATATGTGACTAAATGAACAAACAAAATCATGGTATTATAAAATGTCCGTTCAGATATGACATGGCAAAAGAGCTGCATTTTTTTATGATGACGTGAAGTGTAATATACTTCACATTTTTGTATCTTATAACACAACACTCAGTTTAGACGCGTAAGTCTTCTGTTGCACGCCGTTGCCATTTATTTACACTTTAAATTTTTGTGTTTTTTGGCTTTGTGAATTGCAAAAAAGAATATTGAATGAATTTTTCTTCTAAAAGTAAAGAATGCACTGCTATTCTACTTTACTTTCAGACTCCAACCGACAGTGAAGGCATGCTACCCAGGGGCTATCACAGAGACTCGCCTTCCAGCTCCTCCTCAGCTAGACCTGGACTATCTTCAGAGGGTAGGAGACCCGTCGGGTGGTCCACCTCGTCTGGCTCCGACCAGGGCGGGCTAGGTGAGCCATCGGAGCAAGACGGAAAGACGGCAGGGAGAGGAGAAGCGATGGAAGCTACCGAGAGTGGGTCGAGAGAGATGAAGTCACCTGCAGAGGGCAGTGTGCTTATGTCGTCGGGAAAGACGTCTGTGGACACTCCTGCGCAAGAGAGTGTGAGGAGTAGTGTAGAAAGGGGAGGCAAGGAAGGCGGGTCCTCGCAGGGTGAGGAGTCGAAGGTCGTGTCGCCATTACGAACGCAGGAGGAGGGTGGTTCCAGGAGGGCGGAAGGAAGCGGATCGGGGATGCCAGAGATCGGTGTGAAGCGAAAGCTTCCCCAGATGGAAAGCACCAGCGAGAATATTGCAAGTATAGTCCAAGAAGCGGCGAGGCAGTATGAAAAGACAGAGGCACAACGGAGAGAGAGGCTGGAGAACAGTTCCCCTGGAGTTCCGCAAGCGAAACGCTTTGCTGGGGGCAGCCCTGAGCCTCCCAGTAGCAAGGTCACCTGTGAGCCCACCTCAAGGGTTCATATTGGAGCTTTGGGCTCGGTGACGACGACTCCTAGACAAGTGCCTCATCATCAGCGGCCCATTTCTTTACCTGGGACAAGCAAGCATGCTGTGTCATCAGCTTATTCTGGAAGTATGTCATCGAAAATGGGCGTTGTGAAGAAAATGGTTGGTCCATCTCCTCATGGTGTATCGAGAGACCCTTCAAAATGGTCTCAGGCAGCAGTCAGCGAACCTTCTTCTATCCAAAGTCCACTATCGCCAACTGGCCCACTATCACCAGCTGGCACAGGATCCTTTGCGGGCAGTTTCCAGAAGTTCCTGAAGACCCAGCAGCAGCACTTAAGTTCCATTGTCAAAACATTCAACGTCCCCAGTCCTGAATCGTCTGTGAGACACAATCCTGCTCCGGCTATCAGCAAGGTCATGGGGTCAGGGTCGTTGCTAGGTCAGGTTGGTATCGGGTCGGTTACTCCAAAGGTGAGGCAAACTCCTGGTACAAGCGTTGCTGGAGTTCGACCCAAACTTCCAGTTGCTCCCAGCCGTGCTCCTGCAAGTCACAGCAGCAGTCAACGGCTTCCTCTAAAGCCACCTACTGGAATCTCGCAAGTCGCCAAGATCACATCTTCCACTCCCTCTGCGCCAGGAGTCAGGCAGGGGTCAAAGGCCGGAGGTCACAGAGAGCAACTAGCTGCCAGGAGGGAGCACTCCTCACTGGTTCAAGCTCAGCCCGCCATACTGTCAACAGGAAATGTCGGTGGTAGTGGCAGTAATTCTCAAGAAGCTTCTAAAAGGTTGATCCAAGCTGGTAGCTCCACTGCTTCAGAGAGGCCGCAGGGTACGGGAGAGGACCTTCTATCCATAATTGACAGTACGGAAGAGAAAAGGACCTAGTGCCAGTACTGTATATTTTTTTGCCAGTGCAAACCACCACTCTTTGGGCGTTGTTTGAAGCCTTGCAGACTTTCTTACCAAGTCAAAATTTGTGTATTACCACATTTTTTGCAATATTTCATTGTTGTACATGTTGCTTCTTGCGTACACTTCCATGTACAATGGAAACTAATTGTTACAGAGAGCTCTGTTAATATGTAATCAATTCAGCCCTAAAAATTGTGTTGCAAAAGAGATATGACAAGTAACCCAATATAACAAGGTACATTTTGCTAGTCCCAGTTCTTGCGTATTACAATGTTTTTTTGAGGTTTTGGGGTTGTTAAAGAAATATAAAAAAGACACCGGATATAAGAATATTATTTTCATGGTCCCCAATGTCCTCATTGCAACCAATTTCCACTGCAAAGTGATACGGATTGAGTTTTTTGAACAGCAATGTTTAACTGCTGTGTATTATTTTGTATTGATTGCGACTGTTGGTCGATAAGTACATGCGTTTTGCATTTAATGCATCAAGTGCCAAAAAGGGAAAGTTGGTGAAGGGGATGGGGGGGGGGGGAGAGGGTGGGAGCCCATTTGTAAAATGAAATCAGTGAGCAATAAAATTGTCTTTGTAGTTTGTACTTCCAAGTTGTCATTGTGAATTTATTGTGTTCTGTGTGTATAGATTTCCATTCAAATAAAGTTTCTGCAAACTTTTATGTGACTACAAAGGAAATTGAGCATCTCACCCCCACAATGAAGTAAACAGAAAAGAGGAAAAACCTTTCAATTAAAATTAAATCATCTTTATTGCAGCTGCTTGTTCACATTAGTACAATTCATCATTCTGTAAGTTTCTTAGTACATAGCTCCACATTTAAAGGAACATGATTGTCATAATACTGTACAAAAGGTCATTAACTGTAGGGCTTCTGAAGACAAAATATTGAAGCCAATAATTTGCCAAATATTTGATGGCAATACTTAAATTGTATCATAATGTAAAAAGAGGATGTCATTTAAGACACAATCTGCAAACTTCCCCCCCCCCCCTCCCTCAGAAAAAAAAAAGTTTGAAGACAAATATTGATAAAAGAATACTCAATTTGGGTTTCTGTTGTATGCAGACCTAAATTCTGTATTCTTTCATCAATATTCTACTTCAAACACATTTGTTTTGAAAATCATTGCAGAAGTGTGTCTTAAACAACACGGGGGAAAGAGATGAAAAATAAAAATAGACTTTTCTAATCAATCTTTAAAAATATAGTGTCTCAAAACTTGCTACAATTACTTCTATCTTATCAGGCATTGTATCTACCGTAACTGTAACATAAAATTAATTGTAAGTTACTATTTATTGTAAAAATTAAGACTGATTGAAGGAGATGTAATACATTTCAAGGAGATAAGATTAATATTGGGGAGATGCAATTAACTGTAACCTTTTCTATGTTACAGGGCCCATGATAACTGAATATTAAAACATTTCGTCGCCTGGGTGGCAGAAGGGCATTACCTCGATTTCAGGTAAAAAATGAAGCGTTAAGCAGAAGCACTAAATGGCCTTAAACTTTTATAAAAACCGACTTATTTCCAAAGAGAAATTATGGTCGTGTTCTACTATAACATTTCTATTAGTCTTTTAAGTTTTAAACCAATTTTCGGGACGGAAAGTAGTTTAAATATAAAACAAATCTTTAAATGCGAATAATTTGAAAAGTAGTTTTCGAGTCGCTCTAGTTTTCGAGTCGCTCTAGTTTTCGAGTCGGTCGACGATTTCTGGAGTCTTCCAAGAAGATCAAAGCTTGCTAGGGAGTCGTCTGGTGTATGTGCCATTCTCTTCTAGAGCCCAGACTGCTGCGACTTTCTCATCGATCAGCTCCAAATCCTTAAACCATGATATATCTGCAACAAAGTCAATGTAAATGAACAAGAGCTGTAAATAATACCAAACATAAAGAGTACAACGCTGTACTGAGCAGTATTTTCAATCAAGCTGAGAAGATGGAGATTATTGCACACAAAAAAACGTTCATTTTTCACAAATTCATTATAAACCTTTGACGCTGGTGTAAGTCTTTGTTCAAAATCGATTTAACCAAGGAAGTAACTCTGAAGTCTAAGTTATCCTTTTGTAAACATTATTTCAGAGTTCAGACCCAGGGTTGGGTTTAACTGAATTAGAAGAATATGGACCATTAAGTCACTTTGTAACTAATTAATACCAACAACTACAAAATTGTTTAAAATCACAACATACAGTTATATGAATTTCTTTGCAGTATACGCGCCGTACGTTTTCTTTCACCATGCAATAGCATGACCAGTATTCAACTTTATCTTTTTACGAAAGTGCCTCTAAGATGGAGAAGCATTTACTTCCTGCACATTTAATATCTTCACAAAATATTTTGTCTAATGGTCATAGTTTGGACTGGTTCCATTTCATTGTCTCTGGGTTGCAAAACTAGTGCTAAATCTACCCTTTAGCATTTCTTTGATTTAGATATATAAATACCTTTAGTGATGATGTACTGCTGGATAGCATGCCTAAAACATTCTACAGGTATACTGAAATTAACATGAGGGAATGAGGCTCCGCTCTCACTGTCTCTGTTCAAAAAGAAAGAAAAGAAAACAAGAATATCACTTTAACTCTTTCAATGTCTCGAATGAAAGACAAATCCTGCCAAAGAATATTAGCATGAAACGATAGGTATAGACTACAACAGAAACTGGTATCTTCCTTGGGATGTTCATTCCTTTACTATGGCATTGTCATCATGGGAATAAAAAGAATGAGACAGCTCACATTATATTTTCACCTTTACAAAAACTGTTCCTTTTTAATCCTATTACTACAAATCCAGTGCAATACACTAAAAAGATGAAGTTGAGTTCTGGTCATGCGATTGCATTGTGAAAGAAACGTGGAATTGATCAGAAAAGGTTGATCCTGTAGCATATAAGTACTGGTGTGTACTGAAAGGTTCTGGAATTGTCAAAATGATAAGAAATTTGGCCCATTCTTGGTAAAGTTACAAGCACTGTACACAGAAAGATGTATCTGCAATATTCAGAATATTAAGGCGTTTGAATTAAGAGCCATGCTTTTCAGGGAACATTTGTTATTTGATGTTCTTCCAAACTTGCATAATAATAATAATAATAATAACATAAAACGTTACTTTCGAAGCGCTTACCATCAAATTCTCTAAGCGCTATATAACAAACAAAATAGACGTATAAACAATTATACATTAAACAAAACAAAAAAGTGCAAATAAACCTACAAATTACAATACATATGCAATACACATCAAAGTGAACAGAGTATAATGATAACGTTCACAAATTATTTTTCATATACTTCCCAGAACTCAACCTTCCCTTTAAAAACCACAATGCTACTATAGTCGTATAAGCATCCGATTAAAAAATGATGACAAATGAAGTTGTACCTTGAGTTGCTAGCTATGATACCGACTAGGTTCCCGGTCTCTGCGCATAAAAGAGCGCCCCCACTTGCTCCGGCATTTATAGCACAGGTAGACTGATAACAAAAGAAATTATTATTATCATCATTATTATTATTATTATTATTATTATTATTATTATTATTATTATTATTATTATTATTATTATTATTATTTGACCAACCTACAGGAGGCTGTTGCAGGTGTCATGAAAAGATAAAAAGACAAATGTGTGGGTCCTGGAAAAGATTGGAACAGACTTGACCCTCAGAAGGGGAAGTATGGAAAGAAAACTAAACTATTTTGGGCACATTGTTAGGAGATCTGAAGGTGTTGAGAAGCAAATACTGCAAGGGGCAGTCGAAGGAACGGGGTAGAGGTCGTCCACCAATATCTTGGACTGATGATATCAGTCGGAAAACATACAAAATATAACAATCAGATAATACATAGAATTTTCATAATACATGCAAACAGTTTTAGGAAAGTGGAGAGGAGAGAGAAAGATGGATACAATCTGCTGGTCAGGGGTGACAAAAGCAATTGAAATTGCTATAATACTCGAAAGCATGTCACCCCCAATGGGCAATAGAGAAAACACAGTGCTCTTGAGTCATCTGAATAAGTCACAAGATTCAAAGCATTGAAATGCAATAATGGAAACCATTTAAGAGGCATCAGTAGATGTTTAAAATGTAGAAAACGGTATGAAATGAGGGTTTTATTTTCTTTTCAAATTGCCTTCCCTTCTCCATCTTTTTTTCTTCCTTTTCTTTTTATGATGGGGGGGGGGGGGAGGGAGGGGGTGTGCTTCCATCAAAACATTACATTGGATATAATGTCTTGAATGTTCATATCTAATTTCGGGAGAACAATTCCAAGTCCATTTCAAATGAAATAAGAATTGTTGTATTACCATGTTTACCCGGTATGCAGTACAATACACTTTCTTTTACCTGGGTCATGATTGGCTTCTGGTTGATTCTTATGACCTTTGACACGACCCCAGAGGTCACAGAAGGCGTTGAACTTTGGCTTGGATCAAAGAGAGGGAACCCCACAGCATACACCCTGGAACCTGATAGAGAGAGACAGAGAGAGAGAGAGAGATAGAGAGTGACAGACATACAAAAAGAGACAGAAAGAGAGACACAGAGAGAAAGAGAGAATTACTATCAGCTTCGCATTTGGAATGAACTTTGAAAGTCACTAAATTCCCCTTTGGAAATTACCAATCATTGTGTATGTAACTCACCTTCCCTGTAATCAGTGTCCATTCCAATGCTGACCAACGAAGCATTGTCTTGATGACCTTCGACCTTCAAGATGGCTAGGTCAATTGGTGAGGTCACAGGATTTTTGTGTAACACATTTGCTTTCATCCATGGTCCGGAGGAGACCTTCACACTTACTGGCAAAGAGATAAAAAATAAAACACAGAATGTAACACAATCCTTATTTTACTGATAAATGACATCTTCCACTATTACTAAGACAATCTTTTTTATTTTCAAAGCAATTACAGAATATACCCACTCTGCTTAGGAAAGATATTCTCAATCAAGCTAGTACATACCGGTTTATCTTTTATATTACAACTTTATTGCTTCTTCATGTCAACAAGGAAATAACAAAATTACATTCATGGGCGTTTTACACATTAATATCTTCCTTATTATAATATGGCACATACATGTACATGTATTGGTTGTTAGCCCAGTAGTCATTTTTCTGTCCAAGACCGTTGCATTTTTTCCCTAGACTACAAGTACACTCCGATTGTTTTGTACGATTTTGCACAGAAGTTTTCAAAATTAGAGACAGGCATCTACAATTGAATACATAAGTTTGAAGGTCAAATATCGGATGCATACATGCATTTCTCCAGAATGAAATAACAAATGTAGGAATAATCAGCAGCTTTGAAAAAAGAAAATGGTTGAAACAGAAACACTTTCTCACCTTGGTTGTACGATGCACCCTTCACAACATGCCTGCATGTTAGGATAAGCCCCTCCTTCTCATCGACGATGACCCCTGACCCCCACACTGTCCCAACTCGCAATAGAACTATGCTCTGAAAACGCTTAACGTCCACTTCTAAGAACAAGAAAGGGAAAAGAAAGCAGTTCATGAGAAAAATAATCTTGAGTTTTTTTAATTATAGAGAACAATATTGTACAGATTAAACTAATTCTACACTAAATGATCAATAATCAAATTACCACTAAGAAGAAGAAAAATAGACGAAAATGTTTTAACCGGTAATACACAGTTGAGTTATGAGCGAAATAAGTGAGAAGATCTAGGAGACCTCCCAACCTGACAGCATATGTGATTAGGATTTTGAGTAAGTTTTCAAAATCTTGTTTACATTTTTCTGACAAAAATCATTAAAAGTTGAGCCTAACTACAATAAAATAACAATCATAGATAGTTCTTAAAGCAAAAACCACCAGGCCAGGATTCCTTTATTCACATACAATACGATATAAACACTTTTCTTTAACCCATTAGCAACTAGAGATTTTGTAAAATCGGCTTATTACTCACTGGAAGATGTTGCAAAATTGCTCTCATGTTGACATTGTTCTGAACAATACGAAACATGCGCTATTTTTCTATGCAGAATACTTCTGTAGACATCGTAAAGATTACGCACGTATAACATTATCACGGTAGACCCAAGAATGGATACTATAGCGCGTTGAAAATGGACAAAAACGAACGGGCGGTTTCGGGCGGTTCAGTGCAATGAGTAAAAGGAGGGGGGGGGGGGGGGTTCAGGCGGTTTAGTTGCTAATGGGTTAAGGCCTAAAGATGGCTTTTTACCTTGATTTTGAAGATGCATTTGATGACTGGTGTAAGAAATGTCTTCACAGTTTGTTGACCTTATCATTGAGAGGTCAATGGAGGTCAACCCTTGAAGTGAATCCAAGACGGCGGTCATAGAGCAAGCCAGAGTCAGACCAATCCATTCATTGGCTTTCCAGCAAAGAGGAGATATGATCATCGCAGCCAGGTATCTGCAAATGAAATCAATGACACAATCGTGAACAAGTTGACAATTGATATGAATAAGGCAATTTTGATGTACATGTATGACAATTTTTTCATTCACACCCCCCCCCCCCCCCCCCCCCCCTCCAAATGATGTCAGTGCCTCTAATGGGTTGTCACATACTACGTCACTTTCTCTGATAATAAATACCTTTGTTTCTTATCCATGACAAACAGCCCTCCTCCCTCCGTGCCTGGCATGCACCTTGCGTCCGTCATAACAAGGTCCCTCCCGTTCCGTTTAGTGATGATCCCTGTACTTAGACTGTTGTAGAAGATAGATGGACTGAGCGTTGCAAACGGTGTACCACACCCGGTAACAGGCTGGGCCAGACGCAGGCTAGTACTGGGGACTATTCTGTATTTCAGAATGGATAGAAAAGCAACAATTAGACTATAAGAGAGGCAATATACATGTATATATAATACTTAGCAAAGACACAAATGCCAAGTTTTGTGTTTTTCTGCGAGTTATTCACTATCACACTGTACGTACCGGCCGCTTCTTTCTTTCAAAAGTTTAAAATCAAGTAAAATTAATTTTCCTCATGAAAGCTTTCTGGATTAACAATGGACTTTGCTGTAAAATCTAAATTTCCTTCAAGATATTTTATGTATTTTACTACGGTATTTTACCAGAAATTCTTTTTGAGAGAGCTAAATCAGATATTGCTTATTAAGTTGAAATGAAAGTCACAATCCAAATCTGAAAAATTACCAGATTTAATTTAAGTTCCCAATTCCACTACAGGTTGTGCATCAAACAGAAACCTCATTTATTCTTCATTGATTACCAAGGTAACAGATGAGTGAACCAACATCCTATCAATGAAGAGTTGAATGGTTAATTAGTTGAATAAAGTTAAGTGAAAAGAAGATTGCCTCAAATCTTTATCAAATTACTTGAGCTGTTGTCCTGTGGGAACATGAAGACCTCCATCAACTTGTAGCAGAGCAAACCAGCTCAGAAGATTCCTCTGACTTTTATCCTTTCTCTCCTCTTCATCTCCATCCTCTACCATGTCCTTTCCACCCGCGAGATGGGAACTGCTACCAATCTCTCCCTTCTTTTCCCCATAATCCAGCTCCCACCCGTCTGCACTGGGCATGAGTGACTTCATCTCATCGTCAAGCGATGCACATCTCCATAGCAACACAACTCTTGCATCATGTACCTCAAACGATTCGGTCGCATTATCCTCAATGCATGATGTTGTGAGGTTGCCAGGATGGGGCAAGGCCGAGAGAACTCTATTCGCCCTTGGTCGATGCCGGTTATAATTAGCGGTTGAATGGAAGTTCTCCTTTGCTTTTCCCTTCTCGTTTATTCTCGAACTTTGTAGAATCACTGAAACCGATAACTCTTTGAGCTCATTCCCACTGTAATGATTTACACAGTTATCCAATTCACCCTCACTATTAGACTGGTTATCATTTCTTCCACCTTGTTCACTGGGGATGAACTCTGTGAAGGGTAGGGCAGTTGTGATCACAAGTCCCTTCTGGTAGTCGACGATGACCCCGCTCGATCCTACCTGGGAAGAGATATCTTGCAGAGAGCCAGAATGAGAAGTTGATGTCACTGCAGATTGGTACCCTTTTTCAGGGGTAAGTGGCTGGTTACGACTCCTGCAAGCTACTAGGCAGATGGGATAACCTTCTTTCTCAATAGGTTCCATGATGATGAACTATAGATCTAGATGACCTTTGGGAAAAGCAAATAAAGATGAAATGAAAATCAAGTACTTGATCACAGTCAATTCATCTTAAATTCAATTCAAATTCAAATCAACATTTATTTCTTCCATTCAATTTGACAATATTTGACATCTGTTCAAACAATATTCAATTTAGTCTATACGTAGGAACATAAATATAATTTAAGAATTTGTATTACAAGGAATTAGTAGAAGGCGCGAAATCTCAAATCAGGTCTCAATTAACTCTACAAGTTACAACTGCATATCAATGTGGACATCTAGAGGGGTGACAGAAAAAAATCTGTCTGCTTGGATATGTTGCAGGAGTTTTTAAATACATTTCATTGCTCGACACTCTAGCTTCTCCAAGGGATTCGGTGAAGCCAGACGTAGTCCAGTTCCAGACTCCCAGCAGAATTAACATATCCACAACAAATAGTCTAGACTGATTTTTTTGTCTCCGTCTGAAATATTTAGTTTCATATAATTTTCATTGAATAGAATTTGCAGAACCATCAAGACAATAGACAATATCAATATGAATCTAGCTTTATTCATTTGGAAAACATAGACTTACCAGTATTCAAGTTTATTCCAACTTTTTTAAAATGTTAAAATCCTTAACATTTTTTGTCTAGACTACTTGTCAATAATGATAAACTGATATTTCATCAGCAATTGTTTTCACAGTTTGTCTAGACTAGACTAGATAGAGTCTATAGTATATGATCATCTAGGGCTTGGTTTATTGGGTTGGATACGATCAATATTTAGACATATCTAGGGGACATTTCTGTAGTTCACTGTTCAGACTTCAGACTTCCAACAAGTTCAGAATCAAACTGCACCTGTTCACTCTTTACCAACCAAGTAGTCTAGCTACTTCACAAGTTCACTCTTCTTGTCACTTTCACTTAGTTTCAGCCTTTATTAAACGCTTTATTTAGGTCAGGTTTCTGATTTCGAGTAGGTCTAGGTCTAGATTAGTAAAAAAAATAAGCTGTTCATTTACCTTAAAATGCAAGGACTCAGATCTTGCCATTTCTTGGATATATTGCGTTCTGCTGCAAAGCTGCAGTCAGTTCAGTAACTTCAGCTCGTGGGGCTGGCCGAGCTGAGTCTATGGCCGCGCCGACCGTACGTAGTATACCGTAGTAGTACAGGCGCTGGGATGTAGCTCGGAGGATTGTTATGCAACGTGAAGTGACGAACTTGAGTCTGTACACTTTATTTAGCACGAGACAGAGAGACAGAAATTTCATATTCTGTCTTTTAAAATTGAGAAAAGCAACCGTACGTCAGGAACGAGAAGAGGTAAGTTGATTTGGGAAATAATATTAGCCCTGTAGTTTGCAAAACGGAAATTTGGGGCCTTTATACGGCCAGTAAAAAGCATTATCTAACGTGTGTCGATGTGTGGGAATGAATGATCAGTCCTACCCGTGTGATTTCGTGTTACTGTTTTGGTGGCTGTTGATGTTGTGAATGCCAGAATGGTGTTGCTTGTTTTTAAACTACCAAAGTTAATATGCCAGGAAATTTGATGTGGAAAAAGAATAATACAGAGGAAGAAAGAAAGTTATGAGGTCTAGACCTATGTATTTTTAATAACGATTTATTGAAGGAACGTGCAGAAAACATGTATGTGAATGAGAAAAAGAGATGTGAGTAAGGCCTTTGATACTGTGCCTCACCAACGGCTCCTGAAGAAAGTCCAAGCCTACGGCATCGAGCACCAGGTTCTCAAGTGGATCGAAGCCTTTTTGATAGGACGAGTTCAAAGGGTTGCAATTGGAGGGGACTTCTCAGAGTGGACTACAGTGATCAGTGGCGTGCCTCAAGGTAGCGTCCTCGGGCCCCAACTCTTTGTCCTCTATGTAAATGACTTGCCCTGCAAGATTAGTAACGGCATTCAAATCTATGCTGATGATACCAAGATATATGGAGAAGTTAGTACATCAACCCAACGAGACTCAATACAGGAGGATTTGAACAAAGCAGCTTCCTGGGCCAAATCGTGGCAACTCACCTTCAACTCAGCAAAAACCAAAGTTATGCACATTGGAAAGGGTAACACCAAGTCATTGTACCGCATAAACAACCAAATAATTCAAGAAACTGTTGCAGAAAAGGATTTGGGTGTCATGGTAGATGATGAGCTGACTTTTCATACACATATTGACACTGCAGTTAAAAGAGCCAATCAGACGTTAGGACTTATAAAGAGAACTTTCACAAGAATATCAAGAGACACAATGCCAATCCTGTTCACGACCATTGTTCGCCCTCTTCTTGAATATGGGAATGTCATCTGGCATCCAATGTTTAAGGCTGAAGCAGTGAAAGTTGAGAAGGTGCAAAGAAGAGCAACAAAGTTAATTCCCGAGATCAGACACCTATCCTATCAAGACAGACTTAAGAACCTCAAAATGTATTCACTGCAATACAGAAGGATAAGAGGCGACATGATTGAGGTCTACAAGCTGATGAACGGACTCGTAAACTCCGATCCCGCAGCCTTCTTCACATCTGCACCTCATGAAGCTACAAGGGGACACCACCAGAAGCTGTATAAGCAAAGGAGCAACACAGTCCTAAGAAGAAACAGCTTCAGTCAGAGAGTAGTAGAATCCTGGAATAGTCTTCCTACATCTGTCATCTCCTCATCCTCAATCACTTCTTTCAAGATTAGATTGGACAAGCACTGGTCCTCTCAGCACCAAATGCTTCCATAAAATTTATTTGTGCGTCCACCCGCCATGCGAGCAAAAATAGTTAAGGTTCTTTTTCGAACGAAGCACCACCCAATGAAACGACCGGAAGTTTCAACAGGATCACCTCACACTTCCGTATACTGATGCTGATGCTGATGATAATTTGGAGAGATCGATGGGTGATGTGTGATGAAACTAATTTGTCGCTAGTTTGGAATCGTATCCAGACTTTGACCTGTAACTCCGGCGTGGAGATACCCTAATAAAATATACCAAAAATCAACTAAATCTTCATCAATTGTTCAAATAATGCATGGCCATGATTTAAAAGTTGTTGTGTTTCTCAGCTGTTTCGTGTCAATTTTCTTATCTTTTAATTTTTATGGAGCATTTTTCCTAAAAACGATTAGGCCTAGATCTACATAATAGTACATTGTATATACACTTTCTCACAGGTTTCACAGTAAACCGCTGCACGATATAATTGCATACCATACAGACGTGGGTGCGCGCGCACTAGCATGACGTAATAGAGACCGTAATGATGATGATCATCATCACAATGTGAATTAGATCTACTTACATGAATTTAATGAGGGTCTAAGAGTAAGATTACAGTCCCTAACTTCAAACACACGCGGTCTCTATCAACTATGTGAGATCAGTACCGTATAATAAGGCTGTAGTAACCAAGTGGATGTCATGATGTTCGATTAGACATGATATTGATATCGATGTAAACAACAATGTGATCGAGAGATAATGTAATGCATTGCATGTTGCAAGGTCAAGAGGTCAAATACGGCATGTTACATGTTCGTCAAGCGGGAGCGGAAAGGATACAATAAAGACTATGAGACTCGTAATACTTGTGTTGAATTCCATTTATTCTATATCCTGGTTAGGATATGACATTGGCGACGAGGATGAAAGTCATATAGGACAATTGTAGATCTGTTTGAGAAGGAAAATGGCGTTTGGAGGTGCAGATATCAAGGGACTTAGTCAGTTTGATCCGACCGGAGACGCCAGTGTTGTGAGTGAAAGATGGCAGCGCTGGTATGAGGAGTTTGATGCGTACGCAGATAGCCTCGGTGTGTTTGTCGACGGGGCAGAGCCGGCGCAGTTGACTCGACGTAGAGCCTTGATGATGTACTCGGCTGGAGCGGCTGTGCGGGAAGTTTTCAAGACCCTTGAGGATACTGGCACCAAGGCAGATTATGACAAGGCTGTGAACGCTTTGGAGAAGCATTTTGTTGTGCAGTCAAATTCTACCTTTCAACGTCATGTTTTCAGACAGATTACTCAGCAGGCGGATGAGACTGTGTCGCAGATGGTGACACGGCTTAAGAAGGCAGCAGAAGGCTGTGCTTTCAGAGATGATTTGGAGAACCAGATTCGTGATCAGGTCGTTCAAGGGTTGCGGTCGTCTAGACTGCGAAGGAAACTTTTGGAAAAGGGTACTGCACTCACCCTAACTGCAACCTTGGCGATAGCAGCGTCACTTGAGGCCGTGGAGGCCATGGATTCTCAATTCAGAATACTGTCATCGGTGGACGAGTTTCCTAACCCTAGTTCCCAGATCCGTCAGGTCAGTAATGAAACCCGTGAATGCTTTAATTGTGGGAGAACTGGGCACAGTTATAAGGACTCGACATGTCCAGCCAAGGGACGGATATGCCACACATGTGGGAAAAAGGGACACTTCGCCACAAAGTGCAGAGATGGTTCAGGGAAGAAGGAGCAGACAAGTGGACCAAACGTTAAACCTAGAGGAAAATGGGGACAGAAAAGGCAAGGTCACAAAGTGCGACAAGTGGATGAATGCACATGTCACTGTCAGAATAAGCAAGGTGATGAACAGAATCATAGTGATGATAGTGAGAGAGGATATGCATTCGCTATTGATACTGACAAGTGTGAAAAGGTGCCTGTTGTGATTGGAGGAGTACCAGTTGATATCATAGTAGATTCTGGAACCACCGCGAATATCATTGACAGAGCATTATGGGAGTTCCTGAAGACAGAGAAAATTACATGCTCATCCCGAAGGTGTAACAAAAAGATCTATCCGTATACTTCTGTAGAGCCACTCCAGACCATTGGATGTTTTAAAGCTGTGGTCACGGCAGGTGAGAGAAGTGTAGAAGCTGAATTTGTTGTCATTGCAGAGAAAGGCGAACCACTGATGAGTAGAAAAACGGCATTAGCCCTTGGTGTGCTACGGATCGGGATAGATGTGAACTCTGTGAAATCATATGTAGATATGAGAGAAGAATTCAAGCCAGTATTCCAAGGCGTTGGAAAACTGCGTGATCGACAAATCAAGCTGAAAGTTGATCCCGAGATTAGACCTGTAGCCCAGCCAGTTCGAAGAACACCATTCGGTTTGAGAGACAGAGTGAAGGAGAAGATCCAGGAACTAGTCGAGCAAGACATTATAGAGCCTGTGGAAGAACCTACACCGTGGGTTAGTCCTGTAGTCATAGTACCCAAGCCTAATGGAGATATCCGGATATGCATTGACATGAGGCGGGTCAATGAAGCCATTGTGAGGGAGAGACATCCGATACCGACAGTGGATGAAATACTCCAAGAGTTGTCAACAAGCAAGGTGTTCTCAAAAATTGATCTAAAATGGGGATATCATCAGTTGGAGTTAGATCCTGAATCCCGAAAGTTGACCACGTTTGTAACACATTGCGGACTATACCGTTACAAGAGATTGTTATTCGGTGTGAATGCAGCACCTGAGATCTATCAGCACGAGATCCACAAAGTGCTTCAAGGACTACCTGGTGTTGCAAACATTTCTGATGACATCATCATTCATGGTGCCACGCAGGAAGAGCATGATGAGAGGCTTCGACAGACCTTGACACGATTGAAAGACGCAGGATTAACGGCCAATGCAGAAAAGTGCCTGTTTGGTGTGTCCGAGTTAGTATTCAGGGGACACAAGTTGACCAAGGACGGCATCAATCCCACCAAGGCCAAGATTGAGGCTGTAGCAAACGCATGTGAGCCAATACGAAGTACGCTCTTACCAGCTGGTCCATGGGAGGATGTCGCAGTAGATTTTTTGGGACCACTACCATCTGGTGAATCAATTCTAGTGATCATTGACTATTACAGTAGATATTATGAATATATTGTGATGCGATCTACAACAGCAGAGAAGACAGTGGCAGCTCTAGCAGGGATCTTCGCAAGACATGGTTTGCCACTAACCCTGTATTCTGACAATGGGCCTCAATTTATCTCGCAAGTCTTTGCAGACTATATGAGGCTGACAGGTGTACACCACCATAGGGTTACACCCAAGTGGCCTCAGGCAAATGGTGAGGTTGAGCGACAGAACCAATCCCTCGAGAAGAGAATGAGAATTGCTCATTCAGAAGGCAAAGACTGGAAGGAGGCGCTTCTGTCATATGTTGCAGCATACAGGGCTACACCACATAGCACAACAGGTAAAAGCCCAGCTGAGCTACTCTTCGGACGGAAGATCAGGACAAAGTTACCTGTTATCAGTGAATCTCTAAATGACCAAGAGATCAGAGACCAGGACGCTGAGAGCAAAGGTGCATCGAAACTGTATGCAGACTCTAAGAGGGGTGCCAAACCATCTGATGTGGTGCCAGGAGATGAAGTTCTGGTGAGGAGGGAAGTGTCTAGCAAAATGGACACACCATTTCTACCACAACCATACACAGTTGTATCCAGAGAGGGCAACAAGCTGAACATTTGCTCACCAGAAGGTGTGATGTATGCTAGGAACACATCACATGTGAAGAAGTATCATCGACAGGGTATACTGCAGCCGGAAGCTGAGACTACAGAGGCCCAGGTTCCACTCTACCATGGTGTTGGTGCTGAATTGATAACACCGCAGTCTGATGTCGAGACTACTAGTGACATAGGAATACTGCAGCCGGAAGCTGAGACTACAGAGGCCCAGGTTCCACTCTACCATGGTGTTGGTGCTGAATTGATAACACCGCAGTCTGATGTCGAGACTACTAGTGATCAGAGCCAACATGAGGGGACTGAGCGTCAGATGGGAGTTCCGAAGACCGTACCATCACCGACCCAGACATCAATTTGGAGCAGACCAAAACGCCATCGTTTGAGGCCCAAGCGATTTTCTGATTATTTGTTGGAATGAAGGTTCGGTGGAAACAGCCATCTAGTATTGTGACGCGAAGTGTTCAACCAGTAAAAGTGACACAACAAAGTTTTTCAGTCATTTGAATGTTTGAGTGTTAAAATGTTTCACAAAGAGTTCAAGTGCTATTTTAGCAAGTACATAGGGTGTATGCCTGTACGCTGCCCTATATTTAACGGAATGTTCACTATATAAGGGTGTATGCCTGTACGCTGCCCTATATTCAATGAAAAGTTCAGTAACCGGGTGTATGCTTGTACGCTGCCCTATTTGAAGAAGAAGAAAAAAGTTTGGGTGAATGCTTGTACGCTGCCCTATTTGAAGAAAAAAAAAAAGTAGTTTTGGGTGAATGCTTGTACGCTGCCCTGAGTTAAAGTGATTAATTAGTGAAATTTAAACCAAAAAAAAAATGAGAGAAGAAAAGGGTGCAAGCTAGTGCCAAGAGAAACGTGGGGATTCATCTCAAAGCAAACTCTCAAGTTGTTAGCTGACTTTGAAGCTCAAGTGAAAGACTAGCAGCTGAAGAAAGGACATTATAAGATTAATTATAATGAGAACTCTAAAATGTCTCATGACAGATCTGATCAACATCCAACCCAGAGATGAATATTGAGAACTCTAATGCATGCGTCTTATGAAAGACTCATATTATAAACAAACAGAGACTTTATAGTTAAAGCAGTTTGATATGTCAGTCAAGTAGTTAAATGAAGTGAGTTGATCATACACTGCATATATTGTAATGTCAAGTTGTTTGAATATTCATTTCATGATGTGTATGATGAGAAATGTATAAGTTCTGAATTGGGAGTTCATTGTTTTAAAAACAAAAAACAATGTGTGTTTGGTTGAAGTTCAAGTTCAATAGTTCGAAGTCAAGTAATACACGAGTCGTTATTAGTATGAAAACAAACAAACGATATTTGGATATCGATGTGGTCAATGGAAAAGTCACATACATGTATTATATTGATACAAACAGTTCAAAACTTATTGCATGCTAAAACAAGTTTTGAAATCAGGGTTCATGATTATTCATTGAAGTAAAATGGAAAAGATATCTTTTAATCTGATAAGGGAGGGATGTCATGATGTTCGATTAGACATGATATTGATATCGATGTAAACAACAATGTGATCGAGAGATAATGTAATGCATTGCATGTTGCAAGGTCAAGAGGTCAAATACGGCATGTTACATGTTCGTCAAGCGGGAGCGGAAAGGATACAATAAAGACTATGAGACTCGTAATACTTGTGTTGAATTCCATTTATTCTATATCCTGGTTAGGATATGACAGTGGAGATACCTTGAGAGTTACTTGAATAAAGAAACTTAACAGTGTTAAATTTCAGTCTCCGCTAAGGTGTTGCATGGTGGCTGCCATCTTTTAATCACACCGGCGGCAGATTCTACATGATGAACTAGAAAGTTGTGTGACTAAAAGATGGCAATCACCACATAAAGGCGACTGAAATGGACAAAAAAAAAATATCCATTAAGTAGCTCTTAAGGTATCTACACTCGGTTACTACAGAGGCAACACCACAGCAAGATTTTATCAGGATTTTTATCATTCCTAATCTCTTTGCAGCACTCCAGAGCTGAAGAGGATGAGCCGTCACTTGAGATTTGTGGCGAGGACCGTCTTTGTGAAAGGAGGCGATGTGGACGGAGCGTACAGAACCCTGAACAAGTGAGTATACAAATAATACACAGCATTGAGGGCATTAGTATCTTTTCGGACAGTGTAACACGTCCGAGGGGATAGCCGAGACTTGTAGGCACCTAGCAATTCAGCAAGCATTGTATGTTTTTGTCCTTTTAGATTAAACCTCAAACTGTGAAGTTTAGCCATCTGGGCAACCATAACAAAATTGAACCAAAATTCAATGTCATCTTTTCGATTACCTTTTCTGTAATTTTCTATAATTTCTCTATTAACCTCTAAGATAAGCAGTTTCTTTTGACAAACAACCTTTTCGCAAAGCTGACTACACTATGTTAACACTGATAGGATTAAATTGTGAATCTGTTCCATTCTTTATATCATTTTGTCTTGTTTTCAGTTCTCTGAACAGAGATGGCTTGATTGAGAGCGTGAGGAGAAAGCGCTACTTTGAGAAACCTTTCCAGGAACGCCGGAGGAAAGAATACGAGAACATGAAGAAGATCTACAACCAAGAGATGGGGAGGAGAATACAGTTCATCATGAGGAAGAACAGAACGGAACCATGGCCCGTGTAATCTACCCCCTGCTAATCCTTATGGACCAGTTTTCACCACAATAGAGTGGTGTATATAGATTGCTAAGTGAAAACCACCCCTTTGTTTATCCTTATGGGCCAGTTTTCACCACAATAGAGTGCTGAACAGAGATGGCAGAGTGCAAACCACCCCTTGTTTATCCTTATGGACCTGTTTTCACTGATAATATAGTAGGTGAACCAAAATGGCAGAGTGTAACCTACCCCCTTGCTCATCCCTAGGTACCTGTTTTCACCAAAAGAATGAGATGAACGTAGATGGCAGAGTGTCATCTACCAGTTGCTCCTCGATTTGTACCCTTTTTCACCAATGTACATGTACATGCAGTAGGATGGACAAAGATGGCAGCGTGGAAACTACCTCTTGTACATCTTTATGCACCGTTCTCAACCTCGGGAACAGGATGGAACAGTATTCTGTGTAAACTACCCCATGCTCATCGAATATGCATGTTTTCACAAAACATTGTGCGATGCTGTTCTGATTAGAACTGATGTCTGTGCAAAGGACCCAATTGACAGAGTGAGGGACCTGTTTTCACTTGTGAAAGAACGTTATGAAAGGAGACAGTTTTGTGTCTTTCAACCAATCTCTCTCTCTCTGTTGTTGTCCCTCCGCTTTTCGGAGATCAGCGAGTTTATCGCATTCGAAGTAGTAGGCTGCACAGCCCACAATTTTTTTTGGGTGAAATCAGCTCCATATGGAAAGTCGTGTACAAGGACAGAATTTCTTAAATACAGTGAATCCTGTATTGTTGTGTTCAGCATGAGCATACCCGATATATGTAATGAATCTATGCATTGAAATGTTACTCTTCTCCAGAATTCTGCTGTCAAACTGAAAGAGATTTGGCGTGTAGGGTTAGGGGAGGGGGGAATGGGAGAGCCTTTATTCAGTGAGGAATTTTAGCTTACAATGTATTTTATACTAAAATAACGTTTGAAGTAATCACAATGTATGTGTCATTTAGGATTCTCATGAAGAAAAGAATTACTCTAAAAAGAGAACTTTTGAAAATTTTCCAACTTGTCTTAATAATTCAATCTATATAGAACTCCTTATTGCACAATTTTGCATTTGCCAAGAAATTGACTGTTATTAAACATTACAAAAGTCTCTGGTTCCAGTGAATGAAATCCCACTCTTTGAATCACCAATACAAATAGTTGTGTAAACCTGTAATATTTATGATGTGATTCTTATGATGAAGTAAATTGACAAGCAGAAATTTTAGGAACAGTGTGTTTTTCTATTTATATTGCTGGTGTAGCTTATAAAATATGAGATCATGATTTGTGTATATATGCAGGGCCAGTGAATGGGAGTGGAAAGATAGTTTGAGAGAGAGACTGAGAGGTAGGGAGAGAGAGAGAGAGAGAGAGAGAGAGAGAGAGAGAGAGAGAATGAAGGGAGAGAGGAAGGGGGAAGGAGAGAGAGATATAGAAACAGAGGGATGGAAAGGGAGTGAAAATATAAATTGAGAGAGAGAGAGAGAGAAGGAAATGGGAGGTAAAGATATTACAGAAATGGAACAAGAAAGAGCAAGAAAACAGAAGTAGTCATGTACATTCAGTTATGAAAGATAGAGAGGGAGAGACAGAGAGTGGAAAGATAAAGTGTAGGAGAGAGAGAGGGGGAGGGAGGGTGAGAGAAAGAGGGGAGACGTAAAGAGAATGAGGAGAGAGAGAGTAGGAAATGGGAAGTAGAGATATCAGGGAAAATAATACTTTAAACATTTCTGCGGCTACTTTTCAAGCTTGCTTGGATGAAATTAACACTCTTTATTTTGTTTTGCATTGAACTATATGCAATTTTGGGGGGCTCTTTTATGACTTTTGGGGGCTCTTTTGGGCATTTCGGGGGCTTATTGGCCCCGAGCCCCCTGTATTTTTTCCCCTGAAAATGGAATACAGAAAGAGGAACGAAAGAGAAGTACATGCATGTAGTAATGTACATTCAGTTTTGAAAGAGATTAGAGAGAAATAAAGAGACAAGAAAGAGGGAAAGAGAGAGAGAAAGAAGGAAATGTAATTGAAAATATGGAAATAATAAGAAAGAAAGGGGAAATTCATTATTTTCTTAATGGAAAGAGAGGAAGGGATAACTTTAATGTCTTACATGATGGTGAACTTTTGCAAAAAGGTGACTCCCAATTTTTATTAGAGTACCCTTCTACGCGTTTTTCATTCTTTTTTTGCGCTAATTTTTCTGTTTTTGTTCTCCATCTTTCTCTCTAATATTGAATATTTTTCCTTCATCAGTCATCCTACGCCACAAACACCTAGGTGTATGTCACTTTTGCCTCTTTTCTTATCCCTTGCACTCTCTCTCTCCTCTAGCTGTTTCCCTTCTTTGTGTATCTTATGCCCTTTATCTCCCCCTCCGTAACTCTTTCTCTCTCTCTCTCTCTCTCTCTCTCTAGTCTCACACACACAGCCTCTCTCTCTCGGTCTCTTTCTCACTTTCCTTGTTTCTTTCATTCTGTCGGCCCCTCCATAGTCACCTCCTCCTCTCGCTCTCTCTCTCTCTCCATCCATCTCTGTATATCTCTCTCTTTCTTTCTCTCTCTATCTCTCTCTATCCATCTATCTCTCTCCATCTTTCTATCTCTCTCTCTCTTTTTCTATCCATCTATCTATCTCTCTCTCTCTCTCTCTCTCACTATCCATATATCTATCTCTCTCTATCCATCTATCTCTCCTCTCTCACTATCCATCCATCTCTCCCTCCATCTATCTCTCTCTCCATCTTTCTATCTCTCTCTCTGTCTCTCGCTATCCATCTATCGCTCTCTCTCTCCATCCATCCATATCTATCTCTCTCTCTCTCTCTCTCTATATATATATATATATATATCTATCTATTTATCTATATCTCTCTCTCTCTCCTATCCACCTCTCTCTATCCATCTATCTCTTTCTCTCCTTCTATCTATCTCTCTCTATCCATCTATCTCTTTCTCTCCTTCTATCTATCTCTCTCTATCCATCTCTCTTTCCCTACCTTTATCCATCTTTCTCACCCTTCTCTCTCTCTCTCTCCATCCATCTCTGTATATCTCTCTCTTTCTTTCTCTCTCTATCTCTCTCTATCCATCTATCTCTCTCCATCTTTCTATCTCTCTCTCTCTTTTTCTATCCATCTATCTATCTCTCTCTCTCTCTCTCTCTCTCACTATCCATATATCTATCTCTCTCTATCCATCTATCTCTCCTCTCTCACTATCCATCCATCTCTCCCTCCATCTATCTCTCTCTCCATCTTTCTATCTCTCTCTCTGTCTCTCGCTATCCATCTATCGCTCTCTCTCTCCATCCATCCATATCTATCTCTCTCTCTCTCTCTATATATATATATATCTATCTATTTATCTATATATCTCTCTCTCTCCTATCCACCTCTCTCTATCCATCTATCTCTTTCTCTCCTTCTATCTATCTCTCTCTATCCATCTCTCTTTCCCTACCTTTATCCATCTTTCTCACCCTTCTCTCTCTCTCTCTACCCATCTATCTCTGTTTCTCTTTCGCAAAGCACTAAGTCCTTACTCAAGGACCTAATCTTCTTTCTGACAAAATCTACAAACTCTGAACAAAAGCAAGAACCAATATTATTCCAGCTTTTCAACATTCATTTATTTAATTTTTTTCTCTAAAAACAAAATTACTTTTATAGGCAAAACACACCACAATGCAGGACAAACCACAACAAATTTGAAGAATATCTTTTTTTTTTACAGACTTAAAAGATGACTGTTAGCAAATCAATGGAAACATATACGTCTCTGTGTTACATCCCAGACCGAATTTGGTATATTCAATGCTACAATGTATTACTACAGACACGTCACACTAATGCACATATAGAACTTTTTTTGCTCTACATATTGGGCAGGGGAATGCAAAAAACATTTTCATGTATAAATAACATACTCCTATTAATATACACTCAAATGACATACAGTATAGCAGCGGGCATGCATTTACGCAACGTGAAACGTTACATTTGCCTATAAATATACTTCAAATATCACGATACATGGAATTATCGTCATGTAATTTTATAAGCATGATTCATTGATAAATAATTACTATATATGCTTTCAGCCACCAAAAAAAAAATGATTATGTATGATTTTTCGTTCACACAGACAGAAATTCACCAAGAACAATTTTGAGAGACGTGATTAATTTAATTTAAATTCCATAGAGAAAATGCTGAATTGGAAGTAACAGTACATACAAATTTTGCCCAAGTCCATTACATATTCATCAAGCCTTTATTCAGTTATAACGGAGGGATGTGCCAGATTTAATACTTTTTATTTTTTAGTCAGTAATGAAGTCAAACAGATCCATTTAATTGACATGCAATACTCTTTTATTTCTCCCTACGAAGTATATTTTTGCTCAGTTTCTTCTTTTTCGGCAGTCACAAACTCCATACTACTAAAACTTTGCGCTACGGACACATCTAATGAATATATACAGTTTATAGAGACGGTGCAGGAAAAAGACAGAAAGAGAGATATAGAGAGAGAAATATATGAAGAAAGAGAATTTAAGTAGTTTCCACAAGGCATAATGATCTATATACAACATCAATTATCTATCATAGTTTTGGTTTTCTTTCAAGTGATTTTGCTAACATTCAAAGCGGTGCAAAGTTATCATTTTCATCATACTTGTACATGGTAGCTTTACAACAGTGGTGAGATTTTCATCTGCAATTTGAAATGCCTCACTTTCATCCATCATTTTTACAATGCTTCTTTTTTACATTAAACATGTTCTTTTATGCACACGAACCGCCGAATTGAAGACATTTTTGTATGTAGGAGAGTTGCACCACAGGAAGTGATCTCTGAATGGTCCAGGGTTTACATTACATGTAGCGTATGTAATCATTTGACCTCTGTACCCCATTGATGCAACTCTCTGTAGTAAATGCACTCTGAAAACCTTTAAAATGTGTACATTGTGTATACCTGTGGCAAATGAGCTCATCTGCATAGAAAAGCTTTGCATTTTAACTCTTGCATTTCATGACAACAATACACAGTATGACCTGTAAGCACAGAAACTTCACATGCATAAAACTATCACAAGTAGTTGAGAATCAGGAACTTTCATGCAAGAAAAATGGTTGAATTGCAAGGAATTTTATGCAATTCGCGAGTTTCTTGCCATGGAAACGGCCGTCATAAACAATCCATGAAAGCTTCATGCCGTGAACGTTTCTATGCCAACAGCACCTCGTCTACAAAGGCCACATCTTACATGGATGGGCTGTAGGGGGCGCACTTCATAGCCTGAGAGCATCTACGATCCATAATATTTTTGGCGGCCGTACATGCACACGAAAAAATAATGCTATCGCTCGAACAATACAACTGGGAAGAATTAACATCGATGGAACAACATCTGAAATTCGCCAAATACTTTCAGTTTTCAGTATAAAAATGATCTAACTACTGAAAAAGCGATACTAGTACTATCTAATTAGTGTAACCATTGAATAGAAATGATAATCGAAACGAACATAAAACGATCCTTTGTTATATAATAGCATTTGATGTCAAATTATCTACAAACCAATATAGACCTATTTCAATCAACATTACATAGGTAATAAAAATCTTCACATTTTGAAAGAGAAAAAGAAATGTAAATAATTGATTTAAAACCAAAAGTTAAGTTTTAAGTACGGTACCATTGATACAATACCCACACGCTGATTTCCCTTTTACATCGCACCTTTATTGTTGTGAATCATGCTTAACCTTTATTTTACGATGTATATCTTTCTTTAGAAAGAAACAAGTGATTAACATCGATCCGATTGTTCATATGTGAAAAAACCAGACCCCCAGAGCAAAACAGCTGCATGACTTTAAAACCGCTACAAAAATCAACTTGCCACTTTTCCAGGGCAACCTATGCATACCAAAGGGTAAGCCCGTTAAAAATAGCTTGCCCCATTAAGCAAGCTTATCATTAGATACCTGGAACCTGGGCAAGTAAGTTGACGTAAGAGCAAGTAATCTTGATCTCACAAGTAATCTTGATCTCACAAGTAATCTTGATCTCACAAGTAATCTTGATCTCACAAGTAATCTTGATCTCACAAGTAATCTTGATCTCACAATTAACCTTGATCTCACAAGTAACCTTGATCTCACAAGTAACCTTGATCTCACAAGTAATCTTGATCTCACAAGTAACCTTGATCTCACAAGTAATCTTGATCTCACAAGTAATCTTGATCTCACAAGTAATCTTGATCTCACAAGTAACCTTGATCTCACAACTAACCTTGATCTCACAAGTAACCTTAATCTCACAAGTAATCTTAATCTCACAAGTAATCTTGATCTTACAAGTAACCCTTACTGTTATCCTTCCTGTTGAACAAGCCCTTCATCAAAGTTTCAAATTTGAAGTAACTATAAATGAAATAAAGAATGGAATGAATTTTGAAGAGTATATTGAAAGCTCTGTAGAACAAAAGCACTCTATCATTTTCCTCAAAACAAAAGATGAAAAAAGGATTTAAATTTTACTTTGCATTGTGTAGCTCACAAGCACATTGGCTTTGTTCAAATGTACCTATATCAACAGTGCACCTATACATGAAGCGATTTGTGCACATTTTTTTCCCTCTAAAATCCATCTCCATTAGTAACGGTAGAAAGATGATTTCCTTCAGAATTGTACCTTGGACAAAACTTGCGCGTCTTTGGACAATCCTGAACATACATTGTACCAGGTATATTCATAATCTGTCGTTGGGCTGTTTGCCAGCTATTCCTTTCATCAATACATGCATCAAATCCATCAAATTGCCATCTTTTATTTAGTTTTTACAACTGTAATTTCTTCAAATTTCAGAATACCAATTTTTAATTCAAAAGGGCAGTAAATGACCATTCTGTTGTCTCCAAATTGCCTCAAATCCAATTCTTCAGACAAAATATTTTGTTTCTTTTAATTTAAACCCACACTTGGCAGTCACTCAACCCATGCCAATTACCTATTTACAGTTTTTGAATATCCTTATATGAATTACGTTTTTCCTCACAGTTTCCTTACTTAGGCAGTGCAAACAAGCAATTTTATAAACCTTTGGTACGTGTCCCTTCTGTCCCAATTCCTATTTACAAGAGCATTCCAATATAACCACACGGTGCATCCTTTCGCCCCAACTAACTTTTATCGTAACACCAGTCGTGAAAGCTGGCCATGTACCTTTGCGACGACCACAGATACAGAAAAGGAAAAAAATAGGTCACACGAAACAGCTAGGCATAATCATAAAAATCCATTAATACATTTCTTTTGCTACAATTTCTCTATGCATAAAGGGCGTAGTTGTAAGAAACCAGGGCGTGGCACTATGATACCAGGGCGTAGCACTATGATACCGGTAGGAGTCTAGTTGAAGGAGAGGCTTGACGCACCACCTGGGGGCGCCATAATCCTCTGGCCGCTCCTCTTGTCCTTCCTGTCATCAACTTGGCTACCTACAGGGGTCAAAGGTCAAAGAGAAGAGACGGAAAGTTGTTTAAGTAACTCTAAACCGATTTATTTCCAAAGAGGAAATACTAAAAAAAATAAAATTGGTAGACATGTACAAATAGATTCATTCACTTTGTGTTCAAAAGCATTAAAGGCCGTCTGTACTAGTTTGGCTAGGAGGGATTAGACCACCCAGGGTGGTCACTAACAGGTGGCTATCTCATCAACTCAGCTCTCAATTAACATAAGAAAAAGAGGATTATGGGGGATCAATGGTCACTGATTAGGCATTGTTTTCTATATAGAGGGAGCAAGTAGCTACAAGTAGTACAGTGGGGCTTTAAATCTTGATATTATTACAAACATCCATAAACTGTCTGTTCAGAGCCAAAACGGCATTAACTCTGTATTAATGTATACAAGACAATGCCCTTCTGGCTCCAAACAAACAACATTATTTGGTGAACACTTGGTAATATTAACGAGATCAGTGACACCTTCTAAGAGACGATTGGTTTACAAAGGCCAACCATCTATAAAGACCGATGCTTTTTCCTGTTTTCCTTCAAAGTATATCTCCTTAAAAGCCTTCCTATCACTACCTGTACATCAAGAACACCTGCCTGTAAAGATAATTTGATCGTTTTCCTTAAACGGCCTTTACACGTGTGATAAGGTTTGACTCTATACATGCAGTATTAATTTAATATGATTGCAATTGTTCCGAAAGCCATTTGGTGTAAAGGTAATATAGCGATATAAGGTAAAGGTTGCATAAAGAGCATTGCACTGGAAATAAAAAAGGGTATTTAAACAACAAACCTTTGCAAATGAAATATATCTCGAAACTCAAAGGGAAATTGAAAATTAAGTTGAGGGCATCAATCACAGAAGAACATACTGTATGTACAGTCAAACCTGGCTATTAAGACCATACAAGGAAAACACACATTTTCTTTTAGAGGGAGGCAGGCAATACGGATGACCACTAGACAGGTGGCCTTTAAGCAGAGGTGGCCACCTATAGCGACCGCCCAAGGGAAACACAAAAAATGGTCCTTGTAGACAGGTTCCCTTAATATATGTTTCAATGAGAACCCATTTTGAAGGGAAACAAAAAATGTGGTCTTTGTAGACAGGTGGTCACTAAAGCAGGTTTGACTGTATTTGGTTTTTAAGATGGTTTGGGGAGGATAGGAGGAAGGGAAAAATTTACAAATGGAGCAATTTCAACAAGACTTTTTGTTTCAATTCCTTGCAGAATGATATACAAACCAAAAAATAAAATATTGAAATTAACGCTTGGTAAAACATTCATGTTTTTATAATTAAATAATATGTTTGAATCGGCAAAGTTGATCCTTTCAACACACAAAATTTGACAGTAACAAAGAAAATTCAACGTCGGAAATATATCAGTCGCCACCTTCTTAGAATATTTGCAACCATTATGAATAAAACTAATATCTGGAGTAATGTGTAGTTTACCAACGAAGAACGATTAAAATAATTACCAAAAAAATTAAAGAGATCACTCTCCACGAATCACTGTAAATAACACCCCTTCTACGTGGCGTTTTCAACCAAATGCATAAACGGCTCTCCCATTCTCATCAGACAACATTAACAAATCATTTAAAATCAATTTAAACACCTCCAAAATGGATCCCAAACTGAGAGCTTTGGAAGCTTTCTCTTGCGAGGCACCAGCGAGATAAATACAGTCATGCAGCATCGGGATTTGGGACAGTGTAATATTATACAATTTTGTTCACAGGAGGTCCTGCAGTTGTTCAAGTGAGATTTCTTTCGTGGTGATTTTATTTATTGTTTTGTAAGAGCTCTTTTTTTCAATTTTCCAAAATCATTATTCATTTCTAAATCTACCGGTAAATGACTCTCAATTCCCTGCTTTTGTTAACAATTAAATTGTGTCCTTCACATTGACCTTGACACTTTGAGGATGACATTGAGAGGGGAGACATGCTTGAGCGCACACACACACACAGCGATTTGACATTTGCTCCGATAACAATCGCTCCAGGCTGAATTTGTATTATAAATGATACAGTGTGGGGTAAGGGTAGCAATTGGGTTTTAGGCTAAGTTCAGGGCGAGGATATACCAGTAGTGTTTGGGTTTGGTCCGGGATGAAGTTGAGAATTTGGTTAGCAGTAGGGGTTGTAGAGGGAGAGGCTTCAGAAGCTCATTTCCAATTTTAAAAAAAATCTTGACCGTAAATGAATTAAAGGAGGCACATATAAAAAATGAATGCGAGAACCTCAAAATTACTCTTCTACAAGCGTGTATGTCCGTTAGACTTAAGAGTGGGGAATCGACCACGGAGAGATCGTCGCAGGAGCATGCATCTACAACCGCACACCTATAACAGCTACAACACTAGATGGATACTTACAGACACACAGGGGAAACTAGTTGCCTGGTAATTTGGTTGGGTAACCAAGAATGCATTGAAAGTTAGTACAAAAGAGAGTAGCAAGATGGCGGTCTATTGGTGCACATGCTACACATGGATGTGCAACTTGAGAGCTAGCCATTTAATGTATGCAACTCAATGGGTATGCAAATACTGTACATTTAGGGGTCTAATCTACTGTACAAGGCTGATACTACTGCCTACAAGTACATACAAGAGTACTATTCTTCTGTAAATATTGGGCCAGATAGTAATTAGTGAATAAAGATGTTGGAAATATTATCTGAAATCTAAATGAAATTTACACCCCAAGATCTTATCATAATTCACATGGACCTGGATGCCAATAATTTCAAATATTTTCTGAACATTATTTACAAAATTACAGGTCTTCATTAAAGCAAAATTATTTAAAAAAAAAAAAGATTTCATGAAGAGTACCACATCAAAATGTCATTTGAAATGGATAAAATACTGATTAAATATTCTACTATCAATGGTAGACGATTACTTCATAGAATATCATGCAAAACACGTTTCTTTTGCATGAAATTGGAAAATGAGTAACAAATATTTCAGGAAAATTAGTGCCTTAAGCGAAACGTTACGAGACACTTACATGATTATTGCGATTCTTGGACAATGCAGCATACATTGTACGTATACTGCTCAGACAAGAGCGATTTATATCCATTTTCAAAACTACTCGGGAATGGATGTCTTTGAATTACATAAAAGTAAAAGTAGAAATATTCATGGATTTCGCGCAAAGATCGGCAACCGTATTTTTGAACTCTCAAAAATATAAGCATGATTTCTTATGCCTGCACCAATAGAAATGAAAACAATGGAGTGAAGTGTGCAACGCGAATTAAGAACCTGTGAAAACGTTTTGGGGTTGCTCACCGCAAAAAATTAATCATGCGAAAATAACAGCGTTATCAGTAGTCTACGACTGCCTTTTAATTTTGCTGCAGACTTCTAACCAACACCGCCACACAAAACCTCCCTCTATACACATTACACAGTGCTAGGAAAAGCTGCATATACATGTATGAACAGTTACTGCATATAGCAAATACTGCCTTTAAAAAAATAACATAAATAAATCAACAACAAACAAACACGTAACCAACGGGGAACCACAAACAAAGCAAGCATACTGAAGTGAAATCATAAATAAGGAGTTTATGGGGAGAGGGGGTGGGGGGGGGGGGGTAGTATATTTGAATATTCAAAAGAGAGATAAATGGATTCAGTACTGTTTTTTGTGTGATGTACACCATAAGATGTGGAGCAGAATACAGAAATGAATGCATCTGTCATTGTGCCTTGCGTAAAGACATTGAATGCATGATTCCTACAAATTGAACGCACCATTCTTAAAAATTGAACGCACGACTCATATTAATTGAATGCATGATTCATACGACTTGAATGCAAGATTCATACGAATTGAACGCATCATTCCTACAAATTGAACGCACGATTTCTACAAATTGAATGATTATTTATACAAATTGAACAATTACATATTTTAGATACGTAATTAGAGATATGAAATAATGGTTTGGAAATCTTTGTAACATTCTTTTTGTTTCTTTTTTTAGCCCATCTTATCACAACAGTATAATCAGAAATTTTAAAATACCTTCTTTTCCTGTTTGAACATGCACAAATTGACATAGACCTGTTGACAAATATACCGGTACTCAATACCTCAAGAAGATACCTGTACAGAGCACCGACACCTTGCATTCTAACTGCTAATATACAGCCAACAATTAAATTATTCATACCCTTACCAAGTTTTGTAATTGTTTAAGTATATAGAGATGATTTGTCCCAATTTATGTTTCTTTGAGAATGTGACATATTAAAGCTCCCATCTTAAAGTATTCAACAAAGGCCCTAATTCTAACCAGTCCAGCTTTTATTCTCGAGTTACGTAAAACGCGAAAAACATCAAATTTATAAGGGGTATGAATAATTTAGTTGTTAAATGTACATGTACCGGTAAGCTCTAAATATCCAGCAAATACAACAATTAACTACTAAGCAATCGGAAAAGAAGCATTCCTGAATCCTGTACACATTTGTGAACTGGGCCCTCTTTCACAAAACTTGTTATCATTAACCAATGCTAAATTTCTCTGACAAATTAGCTCTCAGCCAATCAGATGCCATGATTTCAGTAGCTTATAACAGTTACTGTAACTTGTGCTTGATAACAAGTTTTATGAAACATGGCCCTGATCTTTTCCCATGCTTTTTGAGTACTTTGGAGGACGAGGAGGAGGATTTATAGACAGTCGTACGAAACAAGGATATTTCATTTTTTAAAGCGATCTAGCGATACACATTTAATACCTTTTTTGTAGTGCTGGGGCGTACATGCCATATCTGGTTAAAGGGATAAAAATTCATATAAAATGTCAAAATCATCCTCTTTTTGGACAATTGCACTGACCACTATAAGAGAATGCATTTTTTAGAGGAACAGGAATCGTAAATATTTTGTTGAGTCTTTTTTGTTTCATTAAGGAAATTCACATTGAATATAATCTCTGGGAGGTGTTTGCATTTTGATTTTGAGAACTGTGATAGGAAGGATAGCCGTTTCGACCCAGTGCTACTTCAAAGGCAGGGATAATAGGGCTACAGTTAGACTAAGGCTTGGGAATTAGTGACAGTCTAACTTAAAGCTAATCTTGGGCTCTGGTATGAGAATCGTATGTCGAGAGAACATGGCTATAATTCATTCTGGATTGTTTATCCTACAGTAGATTGACTGTTCGATCCAGTAAAATAAAAACAAACTCACAAAAACTTGCTGGAAATCATCTTAATAAAAACCACAACTCTCATCTGCACCAAGTGACCTGTGTAACGCGCATGGCCTCGGGCCTACTTACCTTGATTTCCTTATCTTTCTATGCTAACAAAATTGTTTGGCACATGTCATTTATTTGCAACCTTGAACATTCAGTGTCAGTTTTGTTGGATTTTGTGAGAATTTTTTTGCTATATTTACCAGAGCTCAAGATTAGCTTTAATACAAAGGATTGAGAGTGATTTAGCTTTAGATTTTATAAAATATAAAAAGCACTGGATAACCAAAAAAAAACTCTAGGAAACAAAATAAACATTAAATAAGTCCACAAAAAAAATCTTAATGTTCTCTGGAAAATGAACACACAATAAATATAATAGTCATTTTTCGCCAATAAAGTCTGGTTCAGATATGGCCAGGTATACTGCCTGAAAGAAAAGGCTCTTACAGCAAAATAAAACAGATATTAGGAGTAACTGAGTCGCATGCGGGGATGGAAATAGGTATCTGCATGTTACACAGGCGGCTGTGCGTTCTCACTCACAAGTGCATGCGTCTGTGTGTCATTTAATACAGCAACGAGAAGCAAAGCGTTGCATTCCATTTTGCCGCAGCATTTATTTGAAGGCAATTTACAGTGCCACATGTGAACAAAGCTTACGGGATCGGGGCAGAGGGGTTAGTGAGGTCACACAAGGTCATTGACCTGAAAGAGAAAAGCCTAATCTGAGAAGGTGTCACTGACCTTATAGTGTTAAAAACCAGATCAAATCACGACACAAATATGTACACTACATTAAGAACAAACAAATTCTGCTATGGAAACAGTTGGTTTTACAGTCATTTCGAGACTGGAGGTTAAGAGAAGGTCATGGACAGGGTGATAGAAGGTCACATGAGGTCACACAAGGTCACTGACCTGACAGAGAGAAGCCTGATCTATGGAGGTCACGTCCTCCGTGCTTGTTCAGTTGAGCGGGTTCATCGGACTGCTGAGGGGATGGGCCAGTCCTGCGGTAGTTGTTCTGGACCGGCTGGCCTGTATTCTTGTGGATCGGACCCTCGTAGCCGTCCCGGTCGACGCGCTTGTAAGCATTGACCTGAAGTAAAGAGCATACAGACACGTCTTGAAAACAGAATAGTGATGATGGAGGCTTACTTCAATATTATAAGACAAAAATTGCCTGCTTCTATACAAAAATTGGTCCATACATGTGTATGCTAATGAATGATTCTTAAAAACATAGTTCGCTAAAATATTTTGTTAGAGAAAGATGTGCCTTGTCCACATCTCTCTCTCTCTCTCTCTCTCTCTCTCTCTCTATCTCTCTCTCCCTCCCTCTCTCTCTCTCCCTCCCTCCCCCTCTCTTTCTTTTTCTTTCTCTCTCTTTATTACCCTCACACTTCCCTATCCTGCTTTCTCTCTCCCCCTTTTCTATACCTCTCTCTCTTTATCCTTCTATCTATCTTTTCTCTTATTCTCTTTCTCTAAATCAAGTCCCAGATGAACCTTACTCTATCTCTCTCCCTACTCCCTCCCCCTCCCTCTCTCTATGACCCTCACACTTCCTTATCCTACTTTCTCTCTTTTTTCTCTCCCCCCCCCCCCTCCCTTTTCTATATATCTCTCTCTATCCTTCTTTGTATCTTCTTCTCTCTTATTCTCTTTCTCTAAATCAAGTCCCAGACGAACCTTACCTTTTCTCTTTGACTGATCCTTGAGTAAGCCTCCGGAGCATGAAGTGGACGAGAGATGAATCGACCGGCTCCTTGGGATACGTGCAGCTGAGGGGAGACGAGGGGTAGGATTAGTAATGGCACTGAATTTATCTTTAGATAACCTAAAGAGGGTCTGAATAATTGAAAGGCAGTTTAGTGATATTATGCTGTTCATCAACCAATAATTTCAACACTAGTACCACTATATTTCATTTTCATCACCTTCTTCTTCATCATCATCACCATTATTATCATAAAAATTGCAATTACTGCTGCCATCATTGCTATCAGCATAAAAACAACCATCATAATCATCCACTACCATCACCATTACTAAAACTGCAATCACCAAAACTGCCATCATCATCAACATCATATTTATCATCCTCTTCCTCATCATCATCATCATCATCATCATCATCATCATCATCACCATCACCATCACCATCATCATTAAACCACCACAATCACCACTACCACCTCTATCATCGTCACCACCACCACTAACATCATCATCACCATCACCACCACCACCACCACCACCACCATCATCATCATCACCACTACCACCACCATCATCATCATCATCATCATCACCGCCATCATCATCACCACCACCACCACCACCACCACCATCATCACCATCACCACCACCACCACCACCACCACCATCATCATCATCACCACTACCACCATCATCAACATCATCATCATCATCATCACCACCACCATCATCATCATCACCACTACCACCACCACCACCACCATCATCACCACCATCATCACCACCACCACTACCTCCACCACCACCACCACCACCACCACCACCACCACCACCACCTCCACCACCACCACCACCACCACCACCACCACCATCACCACCTCCACCACCACCACCACCACCTCCACCACCACCACCACCACCACCACCACCACCACCACCACCTCCACCACCACCACCACCACCACCACCACCACCACCACCACCACCACCACCACCACCACCATCATCACCATCACCATCATGATCTTACCTCTCCATCTTCTAACACCACTCTGCCGTTGCTGATGACGGTGAGAGGAACACCGTGGCACTCCATACCCTCAAAGATATTGAAGTCTACAGCCTACAAGAAAACAAAGAGAACAAAGCACATTGATACCCTGGCACCATGGACTAACATTATCTTCAAATGTTGATTTTAAGTATATTTTCTGCCAAATGTTCTTTTCAGTTATAATCTGTCAGTTTATGACAGGTTCAGTGACCCAATCAAAATTCTATATGAAGTGTCTCTCGAAGTTCCTCGGTCTTGAACGAACCGTTTCACATTTCATACCCTGTTGCTCCACATTCTGTGAACATCATCTAGAAAGCCTTTACGAGGTCTTCCCCTCTTCTTCTTTCCATGAATACGACCTTCTATGACTCTGATCATCAAGCCCTCATCATGCCGCATTATGTGTCAAGGCCATTTCTTCTGTCTCTCACTAATCAGTTATAATATCTCCAAACTAATGTAAACAAATATTGTTATTAATGGAATTATGTGTTCACTGAACCACATTTATTCATTTTTTTTGTTAACTATGAAAGCAAAACTCTAACTTGGTGTGAAGAAAGTGATGGACGTTGGACTGACCTGGTGATGCGTCTCCTTGGAGATGACCCTTGTTGCCATGGGATCCCAGATGACCACATCAGCATCTGACCCTACTTGGATCACACCCTGGAAAATGAGCATGAACAAATACAGTCAACAACTAAATAATTTACAATAATACAGTCAAACCTGTCTATAGCGACCGCCCAAGGGAAACACAAAAAGTGATCTTTGTAGACAGGTGGTCGTTGAAGACAGATTCTCTTAGTACATGTTTCAAGGAGAATCCATTTTCGAGGGAAACAAAAAATGTGGTCTTTGTAGACAGGTGGTCACTAAAGCAGGTTTGACTGTAATAAAATAATATTCAGTTCATGGAGACTGTTGTTGGAACAAATAAGCAAGGAAGACCAAGAAAGAGATGGGAAAGTGACATCCTAGTATAGGCAGCACCTTCCAGAAGGTATATAGATCGTTTAAGATAGGAAAAATGGTTTGAATATGTTTGTGGCGCCAACGTCTTTAGGGACATAGTGACAGCTTAGCTTATAGTGCATATCACATCATAGCTATATGTAAAAAGTAAAATCTCTCCTTATAAAAAAAATTGTTGTGTTTCCTCACCTTTCTTGGGTACATGTTGAAAATTTTGGCAGCATTGGTACTTGTAACAGCCACAAAGCGGCACTCATCAAGCTTGCCGGTTTCCTGAAATGAAATCATGATTTCAAAGTTTATATATGCAGTCAAATTGCAAAGAATGTATTCTAGTTGACGTAGTCAAATTTCAAAGAATGCATTCAAATTTCAATGAATGCAGTCAAATTTCAATGAATGCAGTCGAATTTCAATGAATGCAGTCATATTTGAATGAATGTATTGATGATAATGATGATACATGTTTATATCCAATGTATTGTATTAGTTGGTTTCCATCTCAACAAAGATGCTTTTGAGCTATTCACAACAAAACAAATAGCGAGTTGTGGAGGGGTGGCACTAAACATTTGAAGGGGAGGGGATGGGGGGTGGACAAAATTTGATGACATGTCTGTGGACAGGGAAGAACTGGAAATTCTTCGTATTTTAAAATCAAGCTTGACAAAAAGGGTCTCATGATACAAATGGTGACGGAAGCTGAGAATCCTCTGAAAGGAAGGCCCCTCCCCCTCCAAAAAAAAGAAAGTGTTGAATGTATTTCAACTGACCACACCTTTCTCCCTTATAACAACCATCATACATGTATATCCCTCGCTGTTATCTTTTGTTAAGAATCTCAAAACACAATGTGATTTTCAAATAATTCAGAGAAATGCTACCACCAGCGAAAATCAATCTTCCAGTGGTCGATTCAAAAGAAATCAAAATTTTCAAAGTGCACATGTCAAAGGTCATATACTACCACTTACCACGCCCTTCTCCCAGATGACAGACATCCTGTCCTCTACACCATTGACTCCATTTGGAATCTTGGTGAAGTCGTCCTTCCCCATGGCCTTCTGCTCAGACTTGAAGGTACAGTGATCGGTTCCCGTCAGCTGCAGGTCGTTGCTATGGAAATAAAGGAGTGTAATCTTGGTATTGAACTTGGAATCGTACATAAGTGAATCATCTACAGTGAAACCTTTCTATAAAGACCTCTCGATGGAGACAAGATAAGTAGTCTTAAAGGGATCCGGTAACTTTGTTTCAGATTCTGGATTTAGCTCATGCTGCAATGATAATTATAAACCTTTAGATCAGTCAGGAAGCCGATTGACTTTTACAAGCCCATCACCTGTCTGATTATCAAGATATTTATGATTGAAATTACAAATTTTGAAAACCATTTGCCAAACGGTTTTCATAACACTACAGTCTATTGGGGAAAACGAGTATGGTAAAACCGGTCACTCAAAGATTTTTACTTTTTTGAGGCACTTCTTGATATTTTAAAGCACAATTTTTTTAGGGCTTCAATATTACACTATATCACAGACAGTGATAACACTTAGGGCCGTGTATCTCAGATTTAACATTGTTAAACGATCCCTTTAATGCAAAGGTCCGTTTAGTACATGTATCCATCAAAAACCATTTTCAAGGGAAACAAAAAATGTGGTCTTTGAAGACAGGTGGTCACTAAAGCAGGTTTGACTGTATTAAGAGTTAGAATGGCACAACTCTACAAGAAATTATTACAGTCAAACCTGCTTGAGTGACCACCTGTCTATAAGGACAACAATATCTGTTTTTTCCTTTTAATATGGTTTCTCATCGCAACATGTACTAAAGGAACCTGTACATAAAGACCACCTGTAAAGAAAGACAACTTTTCTTGTACAAAACAGAGCTGACTATTTCCCCTCTTATTGCATAACTATGTTGAACTTGTTGACAATTATTTGCCGGTACACTGTAAATTTCGGGCAATTTTATGAATTTGAAGTGTTTTAAAACTTGTTCTCACTTGGCAAGTAGATCCATGAGATAGCCGGGAGTGGTGGGGTCTGGTCGTAGAGGGGGTCCCATAACGTGAGCCGCAGCGTGGAGCCATTCATGATGGAAGTAGTTTGTCCCGTCTGTACCTAGGCCAGCTGCAATAGGCTCACCAAAGATCACCTTACCTATGGGTGAGAATGAAAAGAGAACGTTTGTTCAATAGATAACTAGAATTGATAATAATTACAAATCAGGAAGTGTTTCACAAAGACTAAGATTGACTTTAAGTTAGGCTTAACTATGGCAGGCCATTCATGCCACAGGTTGCTCTCACTATTGGTCTCTCAATTACGATCTCTAGATAATATTTTATCCTTCGCTAATAAATAAACTATCAAAAAAATGTAAATTCTGTAGATTGCGACCACAATTTATATGTCCCTTGAGAAACCAATGCCAGGAATGGTTAGAGGAACTAGTGGTATGAATTGCCTGCCATAGTGAAGTCCAACTTAAAGTCGATCTTAGTCTTTGTGAAACACCCCCCTGGATTTATAAGGTGCTTACTACTGTCTCTAAGCACTTTACAGAAATTAAATTATTACCCTGGTCATCGGATTCATTCACGCACACAGTGTGCACCATTTCCACTCCCTGGGGAGTAAACCTACCATATGGTCACCATTAGAGCATATGGCAATTACTAACACAAAGGCTTTTGTCATCCTACCAGGACCCCGTATCTCTCCTGGCTCTGGAATGGCTAATATAGATTAATGTCTAGGCAAAGGACATTAGTGCTGTGTCAGGGAACCCAAGACCTTTGCGTTTCCAGTCGAAGTTCTTTCATACTGTATGAGGAATATTAACACTGTGGGAGCATCTAACAAAATGAATTATTCATGAGCATTCACTAATGCCAATCCTTGATGCTGATACCCAGAATTGTTCATACTGTACATGAGAAATATTTACACTGTGGGAGCATCTAACAAAATGAATTATTCATACTGCCTATCCTTGATGCTGGTCCCACATTCTATTCATACACGATGAGTTAAGTCCACACACTAGGGAGCAGCTCACAAAATGAATTATTCATAACAACCAATGCTGATACCTAAAATTCATCTTTATGTGTGTGAAAAATCTATACAAAAGGGAGCATCTCACAAAATGAATTATTCATAACTACCAAGCCTTGATGCTGATACCCATAACTCATCATAATACATGGGAAATGATCTATTCAAGAGGGAGCATCTCACAAAATGAATTATTCATAACTACAAAGCCTCGATGCTGATACCCATAATTCATCTCCATGTGTGGGAAATATCTATACAAGTGGGAGCATCTCACAAAATGAATTATTCATAACTACAAAGCCTTGATGCTGATACCTAATATTCATCTTAATGTGTGGGAAACATCTAATCAAGAGGGAGCATCTAACAAAGTGAATTATTCATAAATACCAAGCCTCAATGCTGATACCTATAACTCATCATAATACATGGGAAATGATCTATACAAGTGGGAGCATCTCACAAAATGAATTATTCATGAGCTTACCCTGTCTCCTTGCTTTAGAGATCTCATCTGCAGCACTTTTGCTCATGACATGCACGACGTAGAGAGGAGAGTTGACTTGGTTAGCGATACAGATGGCTCTGTTCACTGCTTCTGCTTCAACCTATGGAATACACAAAGTATGAGATATTATGAAGGTGACGATTTCAAAATATAATCCAATAACGTTCGATTGCGGAGATTTCGATTGATTCTGTGCGACGAAATCCTAGTGTTTCGCACTAAGAAAAATTGCGGAATGATAATGATCTGTGCATGCGCGGACGGGTTCAAAATATAATCGAATAATGTTCGATTGCGAAGATTTAGATGGATTCTGTGCGACGAAATCCTAGTGTTTCGCACTAAGAAAAATTGCGAAATGATAATGATCTGTGCATGCGCAGGCGGGTTCCAATATATTCTCGAACGAGAATTATAAAAGTAAAATGTCACATAATTATGAAGATGACAATTTCCCTTTTACTGTCTGAAATGTAATTTGTAATTATTTGTAGTATACAAGAAATGCTCAGTGTCTTTGCTCATAACATGTACCACATACAGAGGAGAGTTGAATTGGTTAGCAATATAAAAAGCTCTGTTAACTGCCTCGGCCTGCATCTGTATAAGACATAAATCCTTTTTTTTTTTAAATTGATACTATTTCATGATAATAAGTTCACAATAATCGTAAATCATCATCTTCTTCTTCAGGATAATCTGCCTCCTTCACGTGACTGCTGAAGATTCTTGCAGATCATTATAACTATTGTTCTTTAATTTCAAAATTATGTTATATGAAATATTCAATTGAAAAGAATTATTTAAAAACACTTTTCTATTATTTGGGGGGTCCCTAGCTATTTAAAACCATATCCCAATTTCACCCCATTTTACATTGTCAGTATCAAAACATGGCCGAACACCACATACTTAAAGAGAAGGTCGAGCTCTGGGAAGAGGGGAAAAATACTTTGTGAGCGGTTCCATTCTTATTATGCAAGTGTGGAAGAACATCAGATGAAAATATTCCCTAAAATATCTAAATATGGCATGTAACATCATAAAAATCGGGACAGATTTTTATGCCACATGTTTGTGTAGTCCCATATACATCTTTCTGTGTACAGTGCTTGTAACTTTACCAAGACTGGGCCAACTTTCTTATAATTTTGATGCTTCCAGAACCTTGCAGTACACACCAATACTTATATGCTAGATGATCAATGTTTTATGATCAATTTCACAACGTTTCTTTCACAATGCAACTGCATGAACAGAACTCAACTTTATCTTTAAAGGAAAGATTAAGTCATGAAAAATATAAAGTTTTCTTACATCCTCTGGTCTGCTCTGAAGATGACCTTCAGGTCCGCTGATGCCCAATTCCAACAGCTTCTTTGTGTTCTGTAACGAAAAGAGAAATAAAGATCAAATTCAATATTAATAGATGGTAAAAGACAAAACATGAATATGATATGGGCCCAATGGGATAAGAAGAATCCAGAGATGCCAACTTTTGGAAATCAGAAATAGGGAGGATTTGTAATCGACACCAATTAATGTGCGCGTAGCGCACATCTCGAGCGCGTAGCGCCCGACACATGCGGCCGGGGTCCAGGGCCCGCCTTAGGGCCCTGGAAGCTCTGGGGTTCTAGATGCTCTCTGGTGCAATCTGAGCCTTATTTTGGAGCATTTTACATGTGTATTTAGTTAAATAATTCCCCCTTTTTTTTTAAATAACATAAAAATTGTACAAAATGCATGATGAATTACTTTCAGACTTCCGATTACACAGGTACTTGATACTGTATTCGGTCTTATACTTCCGAGACCATTTCCTGGTCTTATTTTGCTGATTTTCCGCCATTTGGATTCTGTGGCAATATCCACGCATTGGTTACGGCGATCCATATGCTGAAACAATCTTTCGCTACTCTTAATTTGTCTTTTAACATAGTGGAATTATTACATGCTTAAGTTAGCAGATGATATTTCTCTTTCAATTCACAGATATATATACTGATAAGCGCCCTCCAAAAAAAATCATAATAAAAAAAAAAAAAAAAAAATCATTTTTTTTTTTTTTTTTTTTTTTAATAAATCGGGAGGATAAGGATGGTGATCGTAAGGTCGGGAGTTGGGGTGAATTATCGGGAGCCTCCCGATAAAATCGGGAGGGTTGGCATCTCTGAGAATCATGTAACAGATTACAATTACATATATGATGATATATATTTACTACATTTGCATGTATCACATATCATATTTTTGATATTTTTGGTAATGGGGTTTGCCATCGATAGGCCATGGCTTTTGCAAATCCCACTATATTTAAATTGGTTTGTGTTCTATACTTCCTTACCCTCATCTAGATGTTGAACAGGTGTTGATAGTATTACCATAGAAGTAGAAGTTATTATTTTCTCTGTTAATGTTTATGTTACTGGCATTGTGATTGTTCTTGTTATTCAAATGTGAAAATAAAATAAATTGAGTTAAATTGAATATAACATCTGTATTTGGCTCCTTCCACTTTTACCGGCACTCTGTTACCTTAAAAGCCTATCTGGACTAGTTTGGCCAGAAGGGATTAGACCTCCCTGTTACTGACATATAGAGGGACCAAGTTAGCTACAAGTAGTGCAGTCCCGCTTTAAGAGCTACAATGTCATTCATCACCAAAAATATTAGTTAGAGTTTCAGCCGAGCCATCTAAAATTATTTCAATAGATTTGAACTGCTGCTAATAACTACACTAATTTGGGTCATTAGTTTGCATTTGGTTGTAATTTATCCATAAACCTATATCATTTGCAAAGGGCATAAGATACAGTCAAACCTGCTTTAGTGACCAAATGTATAGAAAGACTACCTGCCTACAAAGACCACATGTCTTGTTTCCCTTGAAAATGGTTTCTCATTGAAACATGTACTACAGGAACCTGTACATATAGGCCACCTGCCAATAAAGGCCACTTTTCTTGTCGCCCTTGGGTGGTATTTATAGACAGGTTTCACTGTATTAGATGGCCTTGCATGCCACACTGCTTTAGCCAATCAGAACTCACCTCAGCGATGATGTCACCATTCTCTGCATGCACCAATGGGAGAGCACCAAGTTCCTTGAGGGCAGCAAACGCTCTGTACAGCTACAAAACAAAATGGCAATTTGTTTAAAATATATTGAAATAAATGAATGTTATACAGTAGGCTTACGGTTGCACCATGTGAGAGAGAGAGAGAGAGAGAGAGAGGGAGGAGGATAGGGGGTACTGAAAAGGACCGTCAGTAATCTTTCTTTCTTTAAATGTTAATTGAAAGGTGTTGTGGGTGAGTGGTACGTCACTTGACTGGGGATGCACAGGTCGCGGGTTCAGGCCACTGTACATGATGGTATAGCCATGGATCAATATATGCATCTTTAGTTGCCATGGGTTAACCCCCAAAAGTCACTATTCACATATCCGCGAAGTGAAAATTCTGCAACCTGGGAAGTATTCATTTTGGACAAGTGCAACACATTATTTTTATGCTGCGCGTAACCCATTGGTTAAAATTGTATAAATTTGGTATCAAAAGATGCATAATATTCTAGGTAATAAATTCATGAAAGCACACAGCTTAAACAAATCATCCTTGAACGTATAACGATGCCTGTCGAGGGGGTGGGATTAAAGCAGTGTTTGTTCATTTATTCAAACTCCTTTAAAAATACACCTTGGGTTCTTTTTTGCAGTGTTTTTACAGACAGACCTGATCTAAAATTAGAAAGTGAAAGAGGAAAACTTCTGTTCTAAGAGTCTACCATCTGCTAAGCTCATTTTATTTTTTTAATCAGCTGCCATTCACAAACCCCAGCTGCAAACACAGCTGTTTCATATCTTGGAAAGAAATAATGATTAAACCATGCTGTAGACGCCTGATAAGTGACAGCAAATGCACCCCTAAACATGACCTAAGCAGTATCCCCAGCAACAAAAATATCATCAATACTGATTTCCAATACCTATAATTTGTAACCAAGCAAACCCTACATATGCTGACAAAGGTTTCATCTTTGACAGACAAATTCTTTTAAAATGACGCTAACCCACTGTTATCAGTCCTTCATCATGCCAACAGCTATAGTAATTGGGTTTACTTGGGTAGCTCAGGTATTTCAATCACTATAAAACTGAGGTTTTGAAACTACAAACTAAACTAAGTAAATTTTGCCAATCTCTTCAGTTTTTTAAGGCTTGTCTGAGGTTTGTCTGGCGTAGCTTACCTCAAAGTCTTGCAGCATGAAGACGTCTTTGTAGGCCATGAACATCTTGAAAGAGTTGATTCCTGATTAAAAGAAACGAGGAAGAAAACGATGTATTAAAACTATGGAGAAAAAATGTGATCTGTAATTTGCTTTAGGCTTTGTTTTGTAACAAATACGGGGTCAAGGGTTACAACTGTGAGTGGGTTTAAGTTAGTGTTGTAACATCACGGATATCTCCAATTCCGTTTAACCGGCAGTCAAAACCGGACAGATTTCGGTTAAATGATAAAAAAAATGAAGAAGAAAAAAAAATAAATATATATATATATATATATATATATTTTTTAAATTTGTGTTTTATTTGGAAAATCGAAAGAAACCACATTATTAACAAATAATGTACATAATTAGAAAGTTTTACAGATGACATTTGACCCAAGTATCTTGACCTTTAACCCTTACCTTTCTCTTCAGCAATGACGCTGAGTTCCTTCTGGACACTCTCGCTCCACCAGGTGATACCGACGTGAAGGGAGTAGTCACAGCAGACCTTAGGGTCAGCCCAGGCACGCCATTGGTCGTAGGCTTCAACGAGAGATTGACCTCTGGTTGGCAGGCAGTGGTCAACTAGAGATGGGGAGAAAAACAAGTGTATGAATATAACAGACTTGCTCCTCCCTCCTCTTCTGTTCCTGCCTATCTTCCTCTCTTCGTTCTCCATCTTCCCTCCTCCCTCTTCCCTTTCACTACTTCCATTCTCTCCATATATCTCCTCCTCTCTATCTCTCTCTCTTCCTCCTGCTCCTTCTATTTCCTCCCTCATCCCTCCTCCTTATTCCCCATTCTTCTTCCATCATCATTCTCCACCTCTTCCTAACAAATCTTCGTCCTCCTCATCTATCTGCTCCTGTCCCTCCTAATAATCATCTTCTCCTCCTTCCTCCCTTCCCCTCCTTTCCTGCCTTGATCCTTCCTTCTCCCCCCATCTCTCCCTCCCTCCCTCTTCATGTGTACAATTATGGGAGTAACTGCTCCCAGGAAAGGAAAGTAGGAAATGGGTTGCCAATCCAACGCTCTCACTACTTACTGATCATGGTAGTTCCACCAGCGAGAGCTGCCTTAGTCCCAGGGTGGTAGTAGTAACCTTCATTACGTACTGCACATATTATACTACTTCATGATCAGGCAGCGTTACGACATGTCTACCTAGTACAGAAACATTTCATTATGTGTTGCCAATTTCACGCTCTCGCTACTTACTGATCATGGTAGTCTCGCCAGCGAGAGCTGCCTTAGCCCCATATTAGTAGTAAACTTCATTATGTATAGCACATATTATACTACTTCATGATCGTGGTGCTTCGACCAGCAAAGGCAACATTATGACATGTCTACCAGGTAGAGATACATTTCATCATGTGTTGCCAATTTCACGCTCTCAATACTTACTGATCATGGTAGTTCCGCCAGCGAGAGCAGCCTTGGTGCCCTGGTAGAAGTCATCGATAGCACAGGTTCCCATGAAGGGTAGCTGCATGTGAGTATGGGTGTCGATACCACCGGGGATGATAAGCTTGCCCTTAGCGTCCAGGACCTTGGCACCTCCTGGTGTGATGAGGTCCTTACCGACTTGCCTGTAGACGCATAGGATTAGAGGGGACCATTCACACTGAAAATTTAATCTTGTTTTGAAGTTATACTAGATGTCATTTAGCATTAGGATTGGTACATGAACATTGGTACAATTCACAAGGAGAATTAAATGAAATTGTGTGATGAGGTCCTTACATACTTGCCTGTAGATGCATAGAATAAGAGGGGTGTGTTCACATATACAATGTAATCTTATTTTGAAGCAGCGCTAAATAAAATTTTGCATTGTGATAGTGGGAGTGGAAAGGCAGATGGAGAATTAAATGTAGTCGTTCAGGAATTCCTTTGACCAAGACATAGCATGTTATTCACACCTGACTTGGTAAAGGGAAAAAATGCTGGGAGAATATCTTTTTTGGAAAAAGCATTATGAAAATCATCCTATAGTTGTAGTTTGCAAGGTTATACGTCAAGTAATAACTGAAATTAATAATATCTTTTTCTTTTCTATTTCAAATAGTCTTTTTTTCGAATTTTCTCAAGCAACATGGGCAAATATACAAAACGATGGATACATACATTTGACAAAGAAAGGTACAATGAGTTGGACTCCTTCTATCAAGAAATAAAATAAGCTTATCCTGTTGCGCATAGATTGTTTGTTCAACTTCAAAATGATATTTCAATTTCTTTTGAAAACATGGAAATGATAAAGATCCCTTCAAACATCTAGTTTGAATATATACAAAATAATGAAATTAAAAGAGGAATAATATCTTACCGAATGATGCCATCTTCCATATACACATCTGCATAGAAGGATGTGTCACTATTCACCACCTTGCCTCCCTTGATCAAAAGACGATTCTGAGCAGTCTGAACACAAAAACAAGAACAAGAATAAAGTTAATCTTTAAAATGTGGTCACCTCTAGAGCTTATCTCAAAAACAAAAATAAATTGTATCTTTAGCAACAAGAAAACATTAACCTTAGATACTGTATACAATGTATCTAATAATAAAATTCAATCTTCATGAACAAAGATTTTGTGAATTCCAAAGTTATTGCCATTTCAAGAACTCAAGTCCAAGATCCAGCTTTTACTTTCAAAGCAGCTACATGTAGGTACATTACATGTACACTGTACAAGTATCAGAAAATATGAAGAGACTTTTGATTGGGAACATTGTTTAATATCAAATCAATACTGATAAATATGAACAACGAACAATCATGCCATTACCATTAGAATGCAATAAATAGTGACGAACAAATCTCATAATTATTCTTGAAAGAAAAGACAGTAATTGTGACATTTATTCTATGATTATGATATCCATCTCCCTGTTTCTCTCTTTCTTTCTCTCTCTTTCTCTCATTCTTTGTATCTCTCTCTCTCTCTCTCTCTCTCTCTCTCTTTCTATCGATCTATCTATCTCAATTGATCTATCTCTCTGTTTTCTTGCTTTACACTCCATCATTCGCCGTTCCTCTTTATCATCTCTTTTGTCTATCTTTCTCTTCCTCCATCCTTCCCTTCCTCTGTCTTTCCTCTCCCTTTCTCTCTCTCCATCCCAACCACGTCTAATTAACGCTTCTGTCCATGGAACAGAACAATACAAGCAGCACAGTGCAGAACGCATTCCCACTTCCCTCTGAGATCAATCGATGCAATCACTCATCTTCTCACATCCCCTACCCATCTCCACTTCTCTCCCACAACACATCCCTGACATAACTCAAATACATGTAGCCATGCTCTGTGTAGCATGGATGGTATTGATAACATGCAAGGCAAACACACGTCGTTCTAGTGACAGATAGAACTATAAATGTCATATCCCGTATCAATGCAATGTTAGAATTATAAATACTGGAAGATTAATTACAGACATTACATACACATGTAAATAATGCTGCTCATAAGGGGAGGGGGGGGGTGATCGAGAAGTATGAGCATTAGAAGGAGAGGAAAATAGAGAGGGGCGGAAGCAGGGGAGAGAGAGAGAGAGAGACAGAAAGACAGAGAGAGACAGACAGACAGAAAGACAGTAAGAAAGAGAGAGAGAGAGAGAGAGAGAGAGAGAGAGAAACAGACAAACATAAATAGAGAGACAGACTGAGAGAGACAGAAAGAGACAGACAGACAGAAAGAGAAACAGACAGACAGAAAGAGAGAAGGGAGGGAGGGAAAAAGTATATAAAACATCAAATGCAAAAGAAAAAAAAAAGAGGTTTTTAAGAAACTTTGCCTATTTAGAGGTGTGTACCTAATCGGGAAGGGACAATGTAAAGAACAGACAGAGACAGAGAATTCATTTTATAGGATGCAAAGTGAATTCAAATATAGGGTGCATGTTCAATAGACATGTATCAACATTTAATACCATCATGTTTTCCAATGTAAATATATATCTCTCATAGCTTAAATATCAAATAATAGAACCCTAATATACATGTATGGCAAGTTAGCAACCATACCATCACCGCAGTAATATCCATTTCATCAATTTTTTTTTTCCTACAGGTATGTGGCCTGCTGGCTACGTTGCACTATACCTGGGCAAATTGATCAAATTTGCTGACTGAATTTGATTGAAAAATCTATGCGTGCATCTATTAGATGATACTGGTCCGTATATTGCACGATCAGGTGCATGTATGGGATATGCAGAGAGCCAGAGACATATGCATGTACATGTAGTAAGGTTGTATTATGGTATGTAGGGAATGGCATCGAGTTTGTCTTTAAAATGGAATGAGAGAAAGGATACTAGTAGAAGGTTGATTTTGAAAAGTTGAACTTAAAGATTTGGAAAATGAAATGAAAACATACATGTACAAAAACATCTCGAATTCTCCTCACAAATGCTACGAGAATATCCCTTTTTTATTTGTTTCTAGTAGTCAAATATGTAGGGTTTTTGTTGACATGAACTTTCTGTGTTACATACAAGTAAATGCCTTTACCTCATTCATCATTAAACTATTGCTGTTTGGAATAAGTGCCATACCATAAGCATTCATATACCAGTACTGCTAGGGAAAAAAAAATGAAATACAAAGATATTTAGCTTGAAAGAGCTTATAGAGCCTGGGGAACAAATTCTTTCCTTTTTTTTTCCTTCCACCTCGCCTAAACAAGCAAGAATTGGAAGAACAAACTTGTGCGACCAAAAAAAGGAATCATGATGGCAAAAAAAAGGAATTCATGAAAACGAAACTTACAACCACGTGCGACACACTTCCAATGCAGAAATGTTCATTCATCATGCTGTTTTTTCCATACAAGCAGGTAATTTTTTTGGTGGTTATTTTGGTATTATCGGCATTTCATTTTTTTTTAGAATATTTTTCTCTTCAAGTATGTTTTAAAATTAGTTTTCTATTGAATTTGTGATCAAATCACCATTTTAGGGCCGTTGTTTGACGTGTGGTATGTAAAATAAAAAAATAAAAAAATTAAAAATTAAAAATTAAAAATTAAAAAAATTATTAAAAAACATATTTTATGAAGAGAAAACGTAATACTGTAATTTGGAGGAAAAAACAGAGTAATTCCGGCAAAAACGGAATGGTTGGCAGCTCTGCTTCTTGCATTAACATTGTGTATGCTCACCGATCTGTGTATATATTAAGGACATGCTTGTGTAGCGAGAATAATCACTATACTTTGGACAAAATGCCAAGGCTTTCAACTGGTGTTATTTTCCGGCATTCATAATCAAGACTGACAGAACGCTGTAGGGGGTTTACCGCCAGTCCAGGGTCTCGGAACAACCCTGGTCTTGGGTGACGGATGAATTGTTTCCCATCCGTGTCTCGTAGGCTAGCCAATTTCTGACAGGTGATATTGATAGCCAATGATATTGATAAGTCTTCAAATTGATTTTCATATCATCAATGGAGAGATTTTCTACAGGGTTCTCACAAGAACAGCTACTGTAGTACTTATCTCGGCAGAAAGGTTTCATCATGAATTTATCAGACTTTTATTCTGGAAATTCCAATCTAAATGCAAATTCAAATCTTCCTTGTTTAACATACAGCTACACAGACTATGCCACAACTTCAGAGAGATATTAGCCGTAATCTCAGTGTAGCGCTTCCGTCACGCATGTTTCCATTTATGTACACAGGCGACCTTTGCTATTTACACGATGCGACGCAAGCACTACACATTTACGATCAGGTGGGACTGAGGACCAATATTGATCTAGTTTTCAAAGGAATCTCCTCATGTCATTGATAACATGATTTGATGTATTGACGGAGATCGAGGAAGCTTTGCTGAAACGAGAAGCGGGGTAAATACCATTCAGCCTATCAATAAATCTTGACACGTAATCTGAAATTCATCAAAAATGTGACGTGATGTAATTGGCACTAAAGGGCAAACACGCTACTGATGGCTTTCCAGGGTAGCTGTTACCAGATTAAGCAGTGTTTGGTCATTGTTATCCAAGGCTATGGAAGACATGATATTGACACTTCATTTAAAGATGAAGTTGAGTTCTGGTCATGCGATTGCATTGTGAAAGAAACGGTGTGGAACCGACCAGAAAATGATCATCTAGCATATAAGAATTTGTGCGTATTGCAAGGTTCTGGAATCATCAAAATGATAAGAAATTTGGCCAAGTCTTGGTAAAGTTACAAACACTTGCAAAGAAAGATGTATATGGGACTACACGAACACGTGGCGTAAAAAGCCGCCCCCCCCCCCCCCCGATTTTTACGATGTTACATGCATATTTAGAATATGAAGGCATTTGAAGAGCCATGCTTTTCAGGGAACATGTCTTAACTGATGTTCTTCCACACTTGCATAATAAGAATGAGTAATGCTCAAAAATTATTTTTCACCTCTTCCCAGAACTCAACCTTCTCTTTAATATATTCAAGGTTTATTGGCAGTTGACATGGGCTTCCATAGACTATTTCGGGTGGAAATTTTAAAGGAGTTACAGCATGAACTTCACATTATAGCTGAAAATATACTTATGATTAATTACTTTAATTTTTCTTTTCTTTACCTTTTAATCTTTTATTCTCTCTAAAAATTGTATGTATCTATCTCTCCCCCCCCCCCACCTCATCTCTCTCATTCTCTCTCTCTCTCTCTCTCTCTGTCACTCTCTTCATGGAGGCTTTTCTCTTTCTATTTCTCATGTAACCCATCTCTCCTTTTGCAATCTAGACACACTCTCTCTTGTCCTCCCTTTTGCTTTTACATCTCTCTATTTCAGTGATAAATGACTAACACATTTGTGCAAAAATTACAATATACTTTTGTATTCACAGCTCTTATTAGATTTCATCTCTACCAAAGAAATTTTCCCAGTAGGTGATTATAACATATTTCTCCCTCTTTTTTTTTGTCGCTAGGTTGATTTTGAGAGCTCCTTTATTCCGACTCTTGGATAAATTGTTTGGATAAAGAGAAGAAAAACTGGAAAGCAGGAAGCCTGACGGCAAACTGATCATGCATACAGGTATAGATCCATCATTGTGGAGGAACGCACCCCTAAACTATCATTATTTGTTGAAGAATTGCTTTTCATATTATAATGATCGCTACATTTATATTGCACACATACATGTATTTATCCTGGGGTGCTTCAATGTGCCAACAAAGTACTATTATTACCCTGGCTTTAGCAGATCGATCATGGAAAAAAATGAAAGATCCATCATTGTGGAGAAACACACCCACAAATTAACATTATTTGTTGAAGAAAATAATGCTTCTCATATTTTTTAATGATAGCTACATTTATCCTCATGATTTTGTATCTTGATAAAGTTGCCTCTATACTTATATATGAATGGAAAGGGGTGTGTACATTGCAGTAAATGGTTTATGAACCCCTCA